CACCAAACGCGCCACCCCCAACACGCACAGTCCAACAGTTCCAATTTCCCACCACCCATCCAGGCGCACACGCAATAAAAATAACCTTTTCCACAAAAAAGTTCAAATCGCTCGGACGGACAAAAGGCAAAAAAAGAAAGGACAGGCGAAAGATTGACGGATTGACGGACTGACTGACGTGCAGCAGTTAGCGGATGGACTAGCACGGTTCATCTCGTCTGATCTCATTTCCGTCGGTGACATGACCTTGTCGTAGGAAGTAGGGTAGGGTAGGTTAGATGGGATGGGATGGGATGGGATGGGAGGTTGGGAGGGGGGATGCTTGGGGAGTCTATGGAGATGGGCATGGGGATAGTAGGGAGAGGTTGATGGAGATGTTGATGGATATCAGGTATATTGTATAGGTAGAAAAATATCTAGCGAAAGCTAACTAACGAACAAGAAAGAAGCCTAGCCACCCGCCCACTGACTATGTCTATTAGATAGACTTCCTCCCAGCCCCAACGCCGTTCCCCAAAATTCCACTGCAGACCCCAGCCTCGCGCCAAAAATCTAAATATGTGGGAAATAAAAGGTGTATAGAAAGAAGGTATGAAGAAGAAGAGGATGTACTTTTAAAAAAGAACAACATTCTAAAGAAATGAAAAAGAAAGGGACTATCTCCAACTCCCATGCAACTTCGTCCTACTCCTTGTTCCCCTCTTCAATCCAACATCCCCGTTTCCCATCAAGCTCTTCCATCGCTTTCCCACGCTCCCTCGGTCTTTCCCTAGACTCCTGGCGCAGTCTTGCCAGTCGCTCTTACTCAATTTGAGCTTTTCCAAGACGAGTTCGACGAGGATACTGTCTTCTTCTGTAGACCATTCGGAATTTCCTCTTTCATTCTCGGATTGGTCTTCGTTTTGATTCTGGCTCTGGTTCTGTTCAATGTTCTGGAGAAGACTGAAATTGAAGTCGGGCTGTTGTTGTAGATGGAGTGTGTGGAAATCTCCGCGTTCCAATCCCAGAGGGAGCACTTCAGGAGCTATTCTCTGGCGTTTGGGAGTACTGGGTATGACGGCGGATTCTTGAAACGCTTTGTTCTGAACGGTCCATTCTTCTTCGCTGTCTTCTGAGTCGCGACTTGAATCTTGAGTTGACTCGCGTCGTCGCTTGTTTAGTCCTCGTGGTGTGCGTTTGGCAACCCGCTTTCGGGGTGTGAGAGTTTGTGAACTGGATTCGGTATTACGCGAGCGCAAACGAAGTTTGTGAGGCGAGGAGAGGGAGGGTGGCATTGAGGCGTGTTGAGTCGGTGGAGAGGGAAGCTGGCTTGGGATTAGAGAGGGTTGCAACATGGAGTGAAGTGCGCGACATGTGGAGAGGAGGTTGTTGAGCGCGGGGGGTGCGGTTGTCGAAGAGGATGGGGGCGGTGAGAGTGGTGGTGACGCGAAGAGCATACGCGCTTGGAATCTGGTTTTTGGTGTTGATTGTTGCGATGGATCGCAGCCGAAGGCGGATGGGAGGAGCATGATTGCGATTGGTGAAGAATTGGATGTGGTGGTGTTGAATTGATGGTCGCAATCGCAAAATGCTATGCGCGTGTAAGCTCGACAGGCGGCAACTTGATGCGCCGGCTGCGTTCGGAGGTTGACCCAATTCGAATTGGAAGAGGACGTGGGTATAGTTCTGCTGATAGGACTCAAAAGTGTCGTTGCGTGCAATATGAATTGTATGCGACGTGGTGGTGTTGAGTGGTGGTTGTTGTGGTGATCTGTTTGTGTGGTGGTGATGATGGAGGGAGAAAAGAAGAGGCCTTGGAAACGGGTGCAGGTGGGCGAGGGCCATATAATCGGCAGACGTTAATCCTCCGGGAGGCTTGTGGGCTTGCTGTGCACCCCGGCAAGCCGCAAGGACCAAGAAACTCGGCGGCAGGGCAGGACAGCAAGACAGGGGGGGTTGGACTCGTGAAGCGACCATGTGCATCGCGAGAGTCCGTATTGGGGTTGTACTACTGTCGCTGTAGCCACGCTACTGCTCTTGCTAGTAGAGTAATAGACTAGCGCCAATGCAATGGGATGTTGTATTGAATCGATAAAAGAGGCCATCAGTGCATGCGCATACTACATCGGGCATTACTCTAGCACATCTGAATTGCAATTGGAGCAGCCAACCAGAACTGCCTTTGGTCCCATTACCCTCCGCGAATATTCGTAACTTTGGGGTTTGCATTGCACTAGTTGTCTGTGATCACCTTGATGGCAATGAGGGAGACTCGCTTACTACTCGCTACTCGCTCGCTACTGCTGAAGAGAGTCCAGGGACTGAAGGGAGAGAACTATCAGACATCCATTGAGACTTTTTCAATGGTCTGTAGAAGTACCAGATCATGATTCATGTCTCTCCCTTCTCGCTCACGTCTGGATCTGGAGCTGGAACTGGAACCCATTGCCTCCGTATTGACGTGGCACTGTATCCATTTCAATATCCATTTCGCGGCTCACAGCTCACCTCTTGCTTTGGCGTTCTCACAGACTCCCGCTCAAGAGCTGTCGTCTCGTCCCTTCGGCGCTTTCACGCTGGTAGCGAAGGTCTTGATTATCTTGCTCGATCCACAATTCCCACAATCGATCGCCTGCAACTTTATCGCGCGCCCGCTTGCCCCTCTTCCCAGTCCAACTGCATGTCGTCAGGTGGAGTTTTGGCGATAACCTTAGCCAGAGCAAGCCAACACCAACTATACGCGACCCGACATGGCATCTCGAGGCGCCACGATATGAAGGTTTTCCTACAAGTATCCACCGGGACACCTGGGCAGCTCTCTGCCAAAGAAGAGATCCTCCACTGCTCTCGCTTCTCCATAATCACTCCCGCCGTCGGCGCTTCAATTCTACTCTTCACAATCGCAATCTACACTTCGTCCTTTTCCCTCCCTCCCCCGCAAACGCAAAACATCTGAACTGTCTGAGGGGGCTACAGATCAGCTACAGAACAGACTCCAAGCTACACCAATTTACAATCGCTCCCTGCAGCATTCAGCAATTGAAACGTCTTCCCCCCTCCAGTCTGGGCTAGTCCATCGTCATTCGTCCCTTTTTTTGCCTTTGCGCATGCAGCATCGTCGTCTTCTGAGTGGTTGGAAAAGGAAATTGGCGAACGCGTTCAGGGGTCAAGTACGCGACTTTTCGCGTCAAGAGCCTTATCCCTGTCCCCAGTCGTCATCAGCACATCCAGAAGCACTCGCCCTTTTTCCCAAGAGGCAATGTTGCTGACCGAAAGTGGTTTCCGAATAAGCCGTCTAATCAATTTCAGAGTGAGTTCTCTTGAAAGGGGATCGAGGCCATAGCAACAGCCATGACATCCTGAGGTGACTGACTACATCTAAGCTGCCCCAAATGACCCTGAAGAGGCCTCAAAATGAGTTCCCCCGAAGTAGCCCCGAATTTAAAGTCACGTTTTCCATAAATCTGAAAACGCCCGACCTGATGTGCAAGACCTCAAGCCTGTAAACGCGTGATCGTGAAAGAAGCGTGAAGAAAGGTGGTACTTACCGCCAGCCCAGACTCAAAGTCACATTAGCTGATGAGGTAACCCCTGAATCCATATCATGAGCCACTTATTACCACACTTCGGTACTTGACTACCACACTTCGGTACTTGACTACCACACCCATTCATCTTCCTGGTGCAGATTAGAACATTGCATGTTTGAGAAGCCTCGATCCCATCTCAACCTCAATACCACCTTAAAATGGAGGGGAATGCTACTAACCTCCCATGCTCTATGAAGGGGTCTTCGTAGGACAAACACCACCATAGCACAACAGCATCCTCGGAACCCCCATCCGAGAGAGCCATCCATCGGCATACGAGGAAAGAATTGCCAGCGTCGTACTTAGCACCAGCTAGCTCTCGCTAGGAACATGCCGAATGGCTGCAGTGCTACGACTCAGTCCATTTGAGGAGGAAATAATTACTAAGGTGTGTGTTGAGACGGGACCAATGGGTTTTCCCCTCCTCCAGCGCGGACATCCGGACTTGGATAGGGAAGGGAGTTTTGGATGTTTTGCATTGCGGACGACCCTGCAGGAAAACGGCCTCGCGGGGTGATCTTCTTGGGTCCCAAGACGGGAGTTTGCATTGTTGTTTGAGGATATGCGAGAGTGTCGGGAAGGGAGGTAGGTGTAGATCGGAGACGGAAATGACATGTTGAGTGGTACTTTACCATCGAGTAATCGAGGAGAGCTTTATGACGAGTATTGGAGGGACTTTGACGTTCAAACGCTTGGTTTTCATTGATCGTCATGGTGATTCTATCAATCAATTCTAATTCAACTAGTCTTTGAGCAATACTAGAAAACTTCATACCGTCATGTTTACTACTCACCACTCCTGCCACCTATTTCTGGAGGCTTAAGTCTCCTCCTATCCGTAAAACCTAAGCAAATCCCTTAGTGTCTCTTTCACTGCTTTCATGTGTCTGTCATTAGCCTACCGTCAAACGACTTTTCCTATGCAGGATCCTCATCTCACCATTCAAGATTAGTCTTTAGACAATATCTCATCACAGCTTCCTTACTAGAGGCACCCTCATTCGCAATCACTCTCAAGAACACAACTTGCCGTCAACAAGAAGTATCCAATCATGCCATGCCATTTCCCGAAATAAGAACCATGTCACAATATCAACATCCTATAATATCCCAATATCCTGTTAACCACCACCATCCCATTGCCCCTCAACATCCTACTATATGACTTCAACTTCTTTTCACAACTTTGGAATTCGCTTATTTTTCAACGACTGTAGCGCATTCAGTTTTTCTTTCTATGTCTTTTAGATATTATATGCCAAATATACTCTATTCAAGGTCTTGTTTTTGTTGCTACTCGTCTCTTCGCTAGAATCAAGGGATATTAAGGGATGGTAGTCGTTTTGGTATTTAAGGTCTTGAGGTCTTGAAGTTTGGTATAAGGGATTCTAGAAAGTTAATTTGTATGCTTTGAATAGAAGAGGATGTTTACCTAATGCTCTGATGTAGATGTACTGTACCTCGTCTGCTAATCTCGCTACCATGTTTTTGGTATTTTCAATTCTTACAATCTTACTGCTTTAGTGCTTCTTTGGCGGTAAGTAAGGTAAGACAATTATGTGCAGTGACATTTTCTCCCAATCACTTCATAGTCTCTAGACTTGAATAGCAGGACTTATCTCCTTTATAAGTGAGGAGATTCCAAGATTCTTGATGTTGGGTACAACGCGGTATTGTTGATCTTATGATCACATGAAGATCAATGACCACACAACCTATATGGGGCTTTGTTAGGAAGTTAAGGAAAAAGGTTGTTACCATTAAAGACGATGTTGAAGGGAAAGGTGGAAGATGCTAGTTATAGTGAGAACTTAGAAGCAGCCATTTCATTTACATTCCCGCTTAAAAGTTGCTGAAGTAGGATATTCCTTCTTCTTTCCTGCTAAGGTGCGACTGCTTTGTTCTTTGTCTTTATCAAAGAGTACGTAAAGAAACTGGTCTTGTGTAAATTAAAGTCTCCAAAAATTGAGGTAGGCCTTGATTAACTTGTAACTTTTCCTCAGAAATTAGACGAAAGGACGGACAGCTTAATATAATTTAGCTACTCGCTAGAGCTAGGGTTCGGACCCTGTTAGCTTTGCTTTTAGGTCACTCAAAAGATCCTACCAAGTCTGTTTGAGATCAAATCCTTCTCTAAAATTAGTATTCACAATCTCAATAATTATAGTCACAGCAATGCTAGGTCAACCGACAGTTGTATCATGTATATTACCAAAGCCAGAAGCAGTCCGCTCTATGACTCTAGTCGTATAACCACTTCCAATTCCACATTCCAAGCAGATATCAGGCCCCCAATTCCACAGCAGTTCCAAGGTCCAAGCTGAGAAAACAATTAATGCCCAAAGAAAACAAAGTACAACCTCCCCAATTCCATCACAGTCTTGGTGAACGATTCTCTCCCTGAGACAAAGATGACAAGCAGCCAAGTATTCCCTTCTGAATATGCCCGTGATCGTAGCGAACAAACTCCAGAAAACATGTGTTGCGATTGCCAGAGTTCCACACCCCCCAAACGCCCCCACAATACAGCCGGGGTAATAAAGATACCAAATTCCACACCTCCCAAACACCCCACAACACAGTAGGAGTATCAAGCTTCGCAAAACCAACCGCAAAACGCCCCTCCCAACACCGCAAAAACAGAGAGAAGCCAAGAGAGTTATCCTATTGAAAGATAACATCCAACCTAAAAAACCAAACCAACCTCTCCACCAAGCTATCAGCCCTCAGCACCTCGTCCAGCGGCTCTCAACCTCCTCACAATATCGTTTTGCTCGGCCATAGCGCTAGCAGCGGCGATCATTGGTCCAACTTGGGGAGATCCGCTATTTTCCTCGTCGGCGGCCACTAGGATCGCTAGGATTACCGCGTCCACAGCTTCTTGGGTGGGCGTAAGCCCTGGGATGCGAAAATCCGCGGCGGAAGGTAGGCTCGGGAGAGCAGCAGGTGCAGGAGGAGTAGGAGGAGCAGGAGGAGGAACGGCACGAGCAACAGGAGCAACAGGAGCAACAGGAGCAACAGGAGCAACAGGAGCACTTGGGCGGGGTGGTGGTGGTGCGGTCAACAGACGAGTGCCCGAAGGCAGAAGCCCCAAGTTGAAGTTGAAGTCGGCTTGGATCCGCTCCCGAGGGTCGAAGGGGTCGGCGTTGCGGCGGAGAGGACGACCTGGTGGTGTGGGCATTTCTGGTAACCTGGGGGCAGGAGGCCTGATTGCCAGTGCAGCTCTTTCCTGGTTGGTACGCAGACGCAAGAAAGGCGCAGGTGGTGGTGGTGGTGCTAGCCCTGGATCACTCCCCTCAATTGAGGGGAGTGGTATGTCCCGTGGGTGTGGTGGGTGGCCTGCTCCTGGACAAATAGAAAGGGCGGTCGCAGGGCGTCGGATCGTTTGGAGGAGAAGGAGGAGGATCACTACTGGAATCCGACATCTTGGTGGTGGTGGTGGTAGTGTCCTAGAGAAGAAAGAAAGAAGAGTTTTTACGTCGGAAAGCAAATGTTTATACCTGCTATCGGCGCTAGTCGGCTACATGTTGGTTAAAGAACGATTTACAGCGTTTCTGATAAGGATGCTTTCTTATTTTTTGCAATTTAATGTGTTCTAGGGGAGTGAATGTTGCGCATCTTGATTCTCGGCTAATTTTCGCCTATTTCCAAACAACTAGACAAACCTATAGAAATTGTATTTGTATTCTAAATAAGAGCTTGCGTAAGATTAATTGTTTACGAACATTATCTTGTCTTCTAAAAGAAAAATGATATTTCTAATAACCTTACGCAAATATAAAAAGATCTTAAAAGTTTTTCTAAAAGTTTAACTTTCTAATTATAACTCAAGTTTGTTTATTGGTTATAGGTATTAACTATTATACAAAAAACACTTTACTTACGCAATCTAGTGATTTTTCATAAATCTTAGATTTCTTTTTTATTCTATCTTTTTAACTCATTTTAGATAAATAAACAACCCTTTGTTTAGTGAAAATTACTAGCTAAGAATTATTAAATTGTTATGATTGTTTTTGTTCAACTTTTCTAATATAATATAAAAGCATAAAAGAATTTAAGTCAATCTATTATATCCTGAACCATTTGAATCTGTTCTACTTCTCTAACTCTCTAATATATTCCAGGAATAACAACTAAGGTTACGTCAAAAAGTGAGGCCAAACAACTTTCGTCTTTCGCTTCTCGATTAGAATGCTTTAATAGTTAAAGTCGTTACTGGGGTAACTTCAAATTGCGGAAGGTCTGGGTTTAATTCCAAGCGTTCACACGCCCCTTGGTAGTCCTTTGGCTGTAGAGCCGCCTTGTCCAGGAGCTGCTTAATCACCTTCTGTCTATCCAGTGCAATTGGTAATGGCCCATCAATAACCAATTCTTTGGCCTCGATCACCTCCAACAGTTCCTGATGCCACGCAACAACGTCTAGTTGCCATTGCAAATTACCATTGTCGTCAAACGGTTCTGGGGCCTCGGGAGGGGTAGTCAAGCGTTCAAAAACGGCTTGTGATGGCTTGTAAAATGCGGCTAACATCAGGATACAATATTGTCCGAACCTAGTGTTAGGGTTCATTGGGTTATCGTCGTCGCGTGTGGAAATCAATCTATTAAGGTACGTTGCTGGAATGTCCCGCTTCAACTTGGTCCAATTCATCGTGGTTGTCCTGATTCCCCCCACCCCCTTTGATAAGTATACATACAGCCTTAGTTGTACAAAGTTCAAGAAAGGAGCTATATAAGTTTGGCGATACGTACTAAAGACTTAATACCATGGCGTTGCCGCATTGTTTCCAAGGACAAAATGATGACTGTAAATGAAGCGTCCTCATCCTTCCCTTGTAAGATCTTATGATATCTGCCGTTACTATCTCTAAGCTCCCCTACGATCTTCTCGCAATGCCCGTAGTATAGCTGACGACTATCCCTGTAATATACCCTAGGACGTAGGAGATCGGAGAATTTTTGGATTTCAGATACTGTTTGGATAGGAAAATGTGCAAGAATGGCTTGGGGGATCAGCCGGATATTGTGTCTTTGGCCTGTGTCTTCGAGAATCGAAGTGGGTGGCAATTGGGATCGGTCTGATTGTTTTTCCATGCTTCTAAATGGGAGGTCCATTGCGTGGTGGCTTGTTGGCGAATAATTGCGCACTAGTATTGTCAGAATGTTTGGGAATAGCATCTCCAGGTTCAAGCAGTTTACCTTGTGGATAAATGAAACTATAGTCCCCGTCTTCCCCCGGCCAGCTTGATCAGAGTCAAGGACGAAGACGACGGTATTGAAGAATATAGAGTATATTAACATTTCAGGATAATGTTATTTTAACTAGACGTAGTAGCCTAGATACGAGAAGAGAAGAGATAGGAAAGGTCTCTTTATCATCCTAATATTCGAGAGGGACCGAAAACGCGTGCACTCGGAGTGAAATTACCATCGTGGCTTTTGAAAATCAATTGCTTAGAGAGTGAATTTGGTTAGGCCATTTTACTAATCTTGACAAGGGAATTGCTGATCAAGTAGATCACTTCACTCTACATTGGAGCAGATGTTCTTTTGCCCCCTTTACTCTATATAGTGTTGAGGTAGCACATGCGAGGGATCCGATGTTCACGACAGATAAACCTGGATATAAGGATATTCGTGAGGGCAAGTTTCGTAAGGATATAACCGAGGTTATCCTTATAGCGAGGGTCTTAGTATATACACTAAAAAGATCGGGACCCAAAATTTAAGGATATAAACGAGGTTATCCTTATATCTAGTATCCTTATATCCAGTATCCTTATATCCAGGTTTGTCTGTAAGTGTGACCTGTATTCTTCTTAGATTCTGATATCTCTCAAGAGGGGAAATTGAAATCGTAGCAAGCAATATATTCTCCTTTTTTTCCAGCTGAAGTTTCACTTAAAAGATCAAAATTTATAGCACAAGTTTGCAAGTGCAGCCAATAATGTTTAATTTTAACAGGTGAATCGTGACGAGGTTTGACACTCCTGAAACAAAAATGCCAACCTCGTTATCTGCCCAGCTGATGTTGTATCAGTACTTACTTTTGTTAGCACTATCGCCAATTCTGACCCAGAGTCCAAAGTCATAATACAATGGGGAGAAAATTAATCCGTAAGCCTGTCTAAACACAGCAGAGAAGTTTCTAGAGGTGCTAAGGGTCATCCTATGTTTAATACAACAAAGCAGGACCGCAGAAATATCCTTATGATCACTTCGTCACAGATTTACGACACTTAGTACGGTAGTCGTGATCAAGTGAATTCTATTTTACTGAGACTTCTCCCTAATCCTCTCAACCGAGTTGCGTTACGCTGCTACCTCCTTCAGCGTCTGATGAAAATGGTCATTTCGCAGAAGTTGATTATTGAGAAAGCTAAAACTTTCATTGCCCTCTCAGCAATGGACTAATATGATCATTGTATCTTGGGAAAATCAAACAGTTTGCTCTACGCAGACGAAAGCTTCCTTTCTTGCCCCATGTAAACCGTGCCTTTCTGTAGCAACCTAGAAAAATTACCCGGAAAAATTCAAATTCAAACAAAGAGAAACAAGCACCATTGTTAAAACATTCCTTTGTCTAAATTTCTTCTATAATTCTTCATTCATGTGGAGGCCAAAACATGCCTTTCTATGCCTTTGAGATTGTCTAGTGCCAAAGAAATGCGCACTTAAACTGGAGTAGATATCCTCTTTATACCGTCTTTTTGCAAAATAAAGTTGGTTGATGAAACAGGATGGCTTTCCAAGCATTTTAGCCTTGATTAGACCTAGTTATCGGATCCACTTCCAGTGCACTTTTTTTTTTCATTTGGCAATTCGTAATCTACAAGGTATGGAATGTCCAAAATGTACAAAAAGAGATGTTCTTTTGGCAATAAAGAGCTTGGTAGGCAAGACCAACTCAAATAAAACAATATCTAATCATTTTTCGCATGACTTATAGCGTAAAATTACTTTCGCTCCATCAATGCCCCTAGTATTCGAACCCCTCTTTCTGAAGACTTGTACTCTCTGTACAAGCTTGTAAAATTGTCTGCATAAAGGTAGAGTTTTTTGCCATACTCTCCTACAGCACCCCCTGCGGAGTTTCCGGAAAAGGGTTATTTTCAGATTAACAGGGGGTATTTTATAAAGACCCTCCGCCTTATAAGGCCCTCTATTTAACGGAAATTTCCAATTAAAAGACTTTATTACAGTATAAGTGAATTGGACTCTTATATATTTGAGCCGGATTTTCAAAGATTAGTCTACTTAAACCTTTTCCGGAAGCTCCGTAGATAGAGGAGCTATACAGCTTTAGACAAATCCGAAACCGAGTACTTGTACGAGAGTTTGATTTCAAAAGTACTCCGTACTTTACCACCACGGTACACTGTTGGTAATCTTGGAGTATCCTTGTTGTTTGCGCCACAGTAAGAGTACATAAGAACCATGATATAGCCCACCTCTATTCATAATTACTTCTTACTTCCCACTATACGGACCACAATCAATCGCAATCAATCACAATCATCATAAGAAAAACTATCATCTCTCGCACTTCTCACCATGAAATCATACTTCCTTACCCTCCTAGTCACCCTCGCACTGGCCTCTGTCGGCACAGCCGTTTGCGACTTCCAGATATGTGTAAAAGACTGCTTTCCCGCTGTAAGTATCCCTATGTTTCTTTCAAAAGATTTCTCTTTTGATACGATATTTTTCCAAGGTCTTCTTCTTGTTAATTGGTACTAACTGATGGCAGCCTGCGTTAGCGGGAGGGTCTTCGTGCGGTTCAGATGGAAAACAACACTGTTCATGTGGTCCTAAAACCGAAGGGCGGTAAGAGGGAGTGGCGGAGTGAGGGAATAGAGATTAAATGTATAACGGCTTGTTTGGCTCGGAATGCACAATCATACTCCAGTCAGTAGCGTATCTCGGAATAAATAAGACTCAGTAAACCTCTATCGAACCCAAATCCTTTGGATTATGATTATCTGTATATTACACTTATACGTCAATCGCTCGTTTGGGTCCTCTTAATAGTAGTGTTATAGTTATTATAGCCACAGCTACCCTAATTATGTTAATAAAACTACCTAAATAATTCATTGCAAAGATCACACTTATTTCAACCACTAATATATGCTTATATACACATATATATAAAGTGGTAGTATTTATGATAGCTGGAATTAGCGAGTTGTATATCCGATATGCGAGCCAAACGTTCTGTGTACTCGATACAAAGCAGTATTCGTAAAGATTATGCATGATACTGATTAGTATGGTAGACCCTGAATATGAACTCCGAGCCAAACGGCCCGCAAAGCAACTTGGCGCTGCTAAAAGCTCTTGAAACCTACTAGAGTAACTTACTAACTTATAAAGCTTTGGCAGTTTCTCCGAAAAAAACGAATGCCTATATTAAGACCATTCCCTATCCATACTCAGGAGCATGAAGATAATATTATATATAATTATCATCTCAAAAGTAACCACTCTCACTTGAAGAGAACAAATCTCTGTAGCTCGAGGCTTGAAATTCTCTTTTCCCTCCCCTCTCATAACTAGTATTCTGGGTGCCTTTAAGAACAGCAACGCTTAGGGCCTGTTTGGCTTGGACTAAGATCGAATAATTATCCAGGGTCCACCATATAAATCAGAGTTATTTACTCGATGCGGGTAATACCTCGTACTTGTTGGCTTCGGAGTATATAAGAGATAAGTGTTTAACTTAAGTTATAGTAAGGTGTGATTACATAATCACAACACAACATATCACTATAAAGACTTAATTATTATATACTCCGAAGCCAACAATTATCGAATCAACAAATCGTTTAGCTCGTTCGTAGGTTATTTGTACAGTACTACTCCGAATCAAGAGATTTAGCTTAATTCGGAATATCCTACAAAAAGTGAATATAGATTAGGACCTGTATTTGCGTATACTATTTGCTTATTCCACCTAACGTAAACACCACTATATTATCTACTACTTTTTATATATAAACCCTATATATATCTTTTATAAAATCCCTTCTTTAAAGACGTTGTACGCGCGATAGGAAGGCTAAAACCGTAGTAATTCTAGCTATATCTAGTACATTCGTTACGTCTTTATACTACTAGAATCCTTTATCCTACCTAGGTATCTAAACGATAATTTAATCGAATATACCTCCAGGTTATATTCGATAATTATTCAAAGTTATTCCGAGTTTTGTGGAAACTAGGGTACGCTTCCGAGTAAACTAAACTTTATTATTCCGAGCCAAACAGGCCCTTAGTAAGACCAACGCCTTACAAAAGGTCACTCAGACGGTTATCACTGATGCAAAATTCGACGTGATGCTGCTGGGAACCCTCAAGCACGAATATTATACCCAGAATTGAAACTCGCGTCACATGCCTAGCAACAACAACTGAAAGGAAATAGGTCTGTCCTAGTAAAAAAGTGTGATAATATTCTAACCCGGCTAACAGTCTCTTACTAGATTCTAACTTTAGCCTCGCGTTGCATGAAGCTCTTCCAGGTAGCCGACAATCAAGTAAGTGGCATTGATCCAACAGCCCCGTGACTTTTACAGTACTCATCAAACTATTAGAAATTCGCAGTTAGTTCTTGTTAAGAAAAAAACCAAAAGTTTCGGGTTCAATGGGTTACTTCAAGAGTGCGCAAGATGTAGGAAGTAAGATATATTTACCTCCAAGCCGCCCAAATGCTCGCCCCGGCTCTCGCAATATGTCAGTTTGTTGGCATCGTCACCGCGAATTACCACTTGACAATCGGGACAGTAATCCGATATTTGATTCCCCGTGCTTCGTACTCGATAATCGTCGCATGACTTGAAGGACGCATCGTTATGTGGCGTCTACAATAACGTATCAGTTCTAATATTCAAGGCAACTTCTCCCATCAAAGAACACAGACAAGGGGGAACATACATTTGTCCCATATTGGCTAATACAGTACAGAGCCTCTAAGATTTCAGATTAGTAAGAGAAATTTATCGCTGATATTATTGAGGGCTGAATTTACTAAACTGAACTGCGGAGGCACTAGTTACAGGTGTCAGTCTGATATTCTTTCTTTGCTGTCTGTTGAAGAGAAATACCTAGCCGCCAAAAGGGCGCCGACGAAAAGAGTTGTGCACTTCATTTTGCTGAGTGAAATGCGGAGAGGTATAATCTGTCGAATCAAAATGGTATGAAAAGGAATCGAGTAACTGAGGAACTCTATCAATTGTATATTTCCTCTTAACACACAAGTGTCTATTCTGAGCATGTATGTAAATTGCAGTGGCAGTGGCAGTGTTCTCGCAACAATTCGAAGACTGGTAAGCATGTCCTCGATGACACTTTATAGATGTAAATCGTAAACGAAGATTACAGGCTAAACCCCTACAATCGACAAAAGATTTTATGAGAACCAGCGTTTTAAACAGCACTACCTAGCTCATTTTGGGGCTGTAAGCGGCCAAGGCGGACCAAAATCAAGGATAGACTGAGAGAGGCTAAAACTAGATATAGTAGTTCAAGCACTGACTACACAGACGCTGGGTCAGAAGACGGCGTACTAGATTTTGTCTAATAATGGAAAACGGGTGGAAGGCATGCGAATACGAGATTTTACTATGCGAAATTGCGAATCCTTCCAGCAATTTAACGATATATTTACAAGCATTTCTTTATGTTGGTGATTAAGTATACTTGTTGGCTTCAGAGTATATAATAATTAAGTCTTTGTAGTGATAACTTATGCTGTTCTGTGGTTACGTAATAACTTTCCGACCAATTAGAGAATTAAGGAGTTTTGGATTAATTAATTTTTTTGGATTTTTTGTACACCCGCTAGCGAGCCGGCGGTCCTAGATTTAAATAATTAATAACTCAACAACCAACGGTCGGAAATGCCTGAATTATATACTAATATTATTAAAAAAATTGCGAAGTAATAGATCCAAGATTGAATAGTATTTTTAATTGTTGGTTGTATAGAACCGCCGGCTTGCTGTCGCGCCGGCTTGGTGTCACCAACCTTTCCAGCGGGAAGGTAAAAAATCGAAAAAAGAAAATTAATCTAAAACTCCTTAATTCTCTGATTGGTCGGAAAAACTCTTACTAATCACACCTTACTATAAGGATTTATTTATCATATATTTTGAAGCCAACAAGTAATTGTGTTTTGTAACTGCTCCTCATCCACGATTGCTTGAATTATACTTACTCGTAATTAGGCATTTAATATTTTTCAGAATTTTCGCCTCTTCACCATTCATACCGTAATTCTTGACTTGGTTTAAAACATCAAATATCGTGTGCGACAACCCTTTTTGCCATGAGAAGCTTCGGCCCGATTTCAGCGCAAATCTGAATCCGAAACTTCCTTTGTAAGCATGAACTTGACGTCAGAGAAGCGTAAATCTTAGACGAACAGGAAGACTTGCGAATAGCTTTTATAATGAAAATTTCAGCACAGCAATCTGTTCAATGAACGCCGAGGCTCATTACAATGTTATCTCATACTTCGCATCTCCTTTCCAGTATGAAAGTAGTCATTCCAAAAGGAGTAGACTTCTGAGTTCAACTTCTAAAGTTCTAAACTAACTGATATTTCGGGGCAGTATTCTATAGGTAGTTATTTACCGGCATACAAATAATTTGGAGTACTAGTTTTCGGTAGGGCTAGTCACGTAAATTGAAAGAGGGAAAACCTAGAGAATAGAGCCTGTCTATTGAATTTGATACGAAGTATTTTATGTTAATTACCTAAACTACAAGTATGCCCTCTTACGCTCCATTCTTTGTACTCCCTTACGTATGTCATATATATCTACTCTCGCGAGCTCTATCGTAGCTCCTTCCTCCTATGCATTTTTTACAAATACCCTCCTTATTCCTGTAGTTATTAGATACTTACTGTTGTAGTCTTTCTAGCTATAATGTTGTACTTTTATAAGTAAAGGTTGTGAATTTTTGAGTAAAAGGGAAGAGAAGGTCGATGTAATAGTAATAACAGGTAAGAGTAAACAATTGTTAGCGTAATACGTGCCTACTAGGCTAGCCTTTTCAGGAAGGTAGTGATCGGGCGCTAGTAATAAGCGATATTCGTATAACTTAAATATTTTTTCTTGCTCCTTGCTCCTTGCTCCTCCTTCTTTCCTAAACATCATACTATATAAACCCTATACAACCGCGAGTCTACGCAGCAGTAAGGATGCGACAGTGGGGCTGCGGCGAGAGTAAGAGTAGCAGGTAGTATACACGTAAGTGATTAAATGAGGTTAATGATCTCTTATGCAAGGTAAGGACTTGGGGATATAGGCACAGTGGCACCAGCAGCAGTGAATGGATAACTTACTTAGGATTACCTCGTTTACGACCTAAATATACACTCAGAATGCCGTAAGTATATCATTTTGTGTAGCGAAGCCAACTAATTCGCAATTTAGTGAAAGGAAAAGTATGCCGCAAACAGCTCTTATATTATGGCAACTTCTCATGGTTCCAATTCTTGGAAAATAAATGGTTTTACCCTCTAATTGTAAATCTTTTAGAAGTGTTATTGAGAGTGTAAATTTTCTTTCCGCCAGGAGGTATTATTGGTCTAAACTTCTCAGGCCCCTTTTATGGGCGTTACCGTTGGAGACTTATCCGAAATTTCTCTGCAAATGATTGGCCCATGTCGACAGTCAGCCAATCAGATATAAATACTTTCTCCATTTTATTTGGTTGGATCCCGAGGTTCGCTCCATTTCTTATCGCTCCAACGGTAAACATCCTGATCTAGACCTCCCACTTTCCCCATCTTTGTGCGTCATGTCTTCTCCCAGAAAGTTTGTAGGAATTCCCCCATCCCTTCTGCTATCAACAAAGCTTAATGGCGGATGAGAATCCGAGACCCTCGAAAAGAGCACGAAAATCTTGCTCTCGATGTCGATCTAGAAAACAAAAATGTCATGGGTTTCCTGTTTGCGCAAACTGTGCGAGCGCGAAAGAAGAATGTATACAACCTCCTTCTGCAATCGAGGAATATAATAGGTGCGCAAATTTTTGCACTTCAGTGACTTGAAAAAAGAATTTTGGCTCACACTGTGTCAGTGGTCCAAACCAATCCCTCCTTGAGAGGATATCGATATTAGAAGCGCAACTGGCAGCATATACAGACAGCTCTCCAGATGCGCGCACTACCCCCCAACAGATCCTCGATCCGTGCCTCATGGCCTCACCAATTGGAGAGGAAGGGCCAAAGAAGAACAATATTGCAGAAATTGTTGGCTTTATCAGTCTCGGTGGAGATGGCGCATATGATGGATCATCAAGTGGCTTCTCTTTGGCCACCCATCTCGGCCAGATGGTGCAGGCCACGGTATGGAATAAGGCCCTGGCTTCTACTGTTTCCCAGAGCCAGCCCAAGGCTATGACTATAGTAGATCTAAAGAGGAACATTTCCGGGCCGCCCAATGATGCCATTGGCGACAGAATTCTAGATACCTATCTCACCCGGGTCCATCTCCGATATCCATTTTTGGAAAGAACCGAAATCTGGAACGACATGCAAATCGATTTCAGCAGAACAATTCTCCACCTCAAGATCAATATGGAACCGTCAAAATCTATATGATATATGCAATTGGAGCTACGATGTTGAAATTGACCGAGCAGTATGACTACACGGCTCCTGAGAACTTTTTTATGACTGCTCTACAGTATATTTCTGCTGCACGCGAGTCGCACTCTGTTCATAATATCGAAGCCATGACTCTTCTTGTGCTGTACAATTTACGCTCTCCTTCAAATTCGGGTATCTGGTACATGATCGGTTTAGCTATTAGAACATGTATCGACTTGGGATTGCACCGTGAAGCATATTACAGCACTCTGTCTCCTTACGAGGGACAATTGAGGAGAAGATTATTTTGGATCGTTTGTTTTTTGGAGCGAGTCATTGCAGTTTCTCTTGGACGGCCTTATAGTGTAGCGGATCGAGATATTGATGTTGCAATGCCTATCGAGATTGATGATACAGTCAGAGATAACAATTTGATTGCTCGAACTGTCGCCGCCTCCCACTCTCCCACATTTCAGTCTTCAAAGCCATCATCGAATATTACTATGACGGTTCAATGCTTTCGACTCAAACGTTTGGAGTCACATATCCAAGAGAAGATATACCGAGTGGATCGCCCAATTTCAAGCCTCATCACAAAAATCAATCCCATTTTAAAAATGTTGGAGGGTTGGCATAGAGCTCTTCCACCATCCTCTCCTTATGAGAGTGATTATCTCGGAATGCATTACTACAAGGCAGTTCGTCTACTGTTGCAGCCATTTTTGACCATTCTCCCACCAACGGACCAGCGCATTGCCCTGTGTTTACAGGCCTCCGGACAATTGTGCCAAATATTCAAACGTCTACATCAGAGAGACAGTTATGGACATTCCTTTATAGCTCTTCACTCGGTTTTCATCGCAGGTGTGACTATGTGGTGAGTTGTGCTTGCCCTGCTCCGAGTCCAATGGCTAATCTATCAACAGTTATTGTCGCTTCATATCTCCAAATCTTTGGACATTTGCGGTTTCTAACGATCTCCGGGCTTGTTCTAGTGCCCTTTTTGTAATGGCTGAACGCACACCTGTCGTGAAGAAGTACCGAGATGCACTTGAAAATGTGATTGGAGCAACAATGGAGTTCCTCGCGCAAGCACCTTCAACATAAAAAATCGACCTTGATCATGATCCCGCATTATTATCTTCTGAACCAAATGGTGCAACGGCCGATAACCCTGGTCTCTCTTCGTCTTCTCCCAGATTTATGAGTGCACCTACAGAAAGTTATCTCCGCAGCAAACCTCGAAATGGGGATATTGTGACAGTTTTTGATTTAGTGAATAAGGGTTCGCTTAGCGAAGTTGCGGGTGTACCCTTCCGTAGATAGACAAATACCTAAGGAGTGCGAAGAGCGTCTCTCTTCCCTCCTTGCGAACAATCTATTCCTTGATCCCCACCATAACAGATATGAACCAGCCCGGAGATCTTTCAGTATTGTATGATTCTTCTGTCAAGGACTCGAATTCGGACGCTTTTGAGTATATGCCCTTGACCCATAATTCTCCTGGAGCTGCAGCGAGAGTTGAGGGTAGGGCAGGAGAGCTGGGACAAATAGATGCCGAATGGTTGTTGAGTCTGTGTGAAGGGGATGGTTTCAACTTGCAGATGTTGAATGAAATGATGAGGTTTGAGCCTAGTTTGGGTGCTTGATTAAGGAGATATATGGAATACCCTTATATTTATCAGAATAATTATAATCGAGCTCGCCAATTTTGCCCCTCTACTGTGGAACTTTCTTCCTACTCCAATCTCCATACCAAAAAAGTGGCGGGATATCTTTCCTCGCACAATACCTGACCTCGCTAAATTCGCGAATAACCGAGCCCGAAGCTTTCCGATGTCTCCAAGAAAATTCGTGCATCAAAATAAAAGTTCTCTTCAGAAAACCTTATTACAAAAAACAGCAGCAAAAGAAAGCAACGCACGATCCTGGGGAGATTTGGGTTGCTCTTTTCCCCAGATTTTGGCCACGACCTAAGCTCGAATTTTTACCGCCCACCCTCAAGAAGAAAAGGACAAAAAAGTAACAATGTATTGTAAACCGACCCTGGGAAGATTCGAACTCCCAATCTTTGCAGGGTTCTAAACCGAAATGCAACGCCTTAACCATTAGGCCACAAGGCCACTTGTGATTGGATAATTTAGTTGTAGCTATTTGGAATTAGATCATGTAAAATTTCCACTCCGCGAGTGTGGGTCGATGGTGGAGTCGGTTCGGATTCGGAGGCTTCTCGGAGCGATTTCGCAGTTGAACTCACTCTGTAAACGCACTTCACGTCCTCACTTCAAATAATTTCAATTAGTCACTTGAATGCTTCGAATTAACGAAATATCTCAGCAGAATGACCGCAGGAACCACTCAGAATGATTCCATGCAAAATACAAAATACATATTCTACTTCCATACTCTTTTCCAGCGCATATCTCGGTAATATGTACTGCAAGTTTTACGACCGAAAATGTGCAGTTCTCAGCGGAGTTGCCTTAACCCCACTAGTGCTGCATAAAGATTCAGCAGCTGAACAAGCCAATGGAAATATGCGCCATACAAGTATTGCGTACTTGAAAAAATCACGGCGTATAATTTGCCCGAATAGTAAGCCAGATGATACAGACCTTTGTTCACTGTGACGCTACTACTCGTACAACGAGGGTAATGTCCTTTCCCGTTCCTGTTGAGAATGCACCTAGGTAGGGACCGGGGAAAGTAAGCGCCGTTTTCCCAGTCCTCTACACTATTACTACTCTTGTGACACTGAATATCTTTTTTGCTCTATCCCCAAAACAAATTTTTTAGCATTGTGCTTGTGTGACCTCCAAAGCTTCTGGGCGACCTGGAAAATCTTGTCGCAATGGAGAAAATCGAAAGCCACCATGAAAGCCCGAAAGCCGATTCGACTTCTGACTTGAAAGCTGAAGAGCACTCCCTGGAGGCAAACGACGAGAAGTCACGAGAATTCGCAACTACCTATGTGGACTTGGGTGGAGATAACGTCAAGAAGACAAAGGAGTCAGAAGTGGAGGAATGGGAGTATGTCACTGGCTTCAAACTTGTTGCTGTGATTTCAGTGATAACATTGGCCTGTTTTATCCTGTATGTGGCATTCTCAACCCCCTTTTGAACGTGACAGGAGAATTGTCTGACTCAGATCCGGAAAGGTTACTAGACACTTCCACTATTGCAACGGTAAGCGAAAACTCTACCCGGTCCGCGTGTGTATGCTAAGTTCAATAGGCTATTCCCAAGATCACTGTTGATTTTCACAGTCTCAATGATGTAGGTTGGTATGGGAGCAGTTATCTTCTTGCTACGTAAGTCAAAGACATCTTTCGCGACAAGTCATATGCTAATTGATGTCGTTTTTCACAGTTGCGCTCTCACTCCAATGAGCGGGAAAATTTATGCGAGATTTAGCACAAAAGTCAGTTATTATAAAGTCCCACTTGGCACCTATTTTGCTAAACCAGCTTAGTATATGTATGTGTGTTTTATGGCTCTCTTCAGTCTTGGGTCTTTGATATGTGCTCTTTCGAACTCTTCAAACATGTTTATCATCGGTAGAGCTATTGCTGGAATTGGAGGCTCCGGATTGATAAATGGTTCCCTCACTATACTTTCTGCTTATGTGCCTTTGGAAAAACGACCTGGTAGGTCTTTTGGGTTACGGTCAAAGGGTCATGCTAACTGTCATAAGTGTACATGGGGTTTTTGATGTCTTGTAAGACCAGTTCCCAACAATTCCTAGAAGAAGACTAATATTGTAGTCGCGCAACTTGGCATTATGCTTGGACCGCTCATCGGAGGAGCGTTGACGGAACATGCAACCTGGAGATGGTGTACGTTTAACTCCCGGTGCAAGTAGACTCCATACTGACCAAGTCCTAGGCTTCTGGATAAATCTTCCTCCCTCCGCACTCACAATCCTCATCCTCTTCCTTATACACGTTCCAGACCAAACGGCAAAGAGGACAGAGAGAACAAGCATAATAGATACACTAATGCTCCTCGATGTTCCCGGCTTTCTTCTTTTCGCACCCACCTCAATCATGTTCCTTCTCGCACTTGAATGGGGTGGCACAAAATATCCTTGGGGAAGTGCAACAATCATTGGACTATTTTGTGGAGCTGCCGGAAATTTGGCTATATTCATGGCTTGGGAATACAAGAGAGGGGACGATGCCATGGTTCCTTGGTCAATGATTCGTCAAAGATTTGTGGCTTGTTCTTGTGGTGTTAACTTCTTCTTCTTCGCGGCACAGATCATACTTTCTTACTACCTTGCCCAGTATTTTCAAGCCGTCCGAGGAGTTTCCCCAACGCTAAGTGGAGTTTACTTACTCCCAGGAATCATGAGCCAGATGGTGCTTGCGATCGTATCCGGAGTACTAGGTAAGTTGAAATATCTGATTTGTGATTTTAGATCAAGACTGATTGTGTTACCGTAGTGAGCAAGATGGGCTACTACTTACCTTGGTCTGTTGCCAGTGGCGTCTTGGCAACTATTAGCTACGGGCTCATCAGCACATTTGATCCGGATAGCTCAACTGGCATGTGGGTGGGCTATCAGATTATCGGTGGTATAGGAAGAGGTTGTGGAGCGCAAATGGCAAGACATCATCCAACTCCTCTGTTTCCAACTCGCTAACACGACATCCCAGGCCCTCCTCGCAATCCAAAACTCTGTACCCCAACAAGATAAAACCCCAATCGGAATGGCACTCGTCACCTTCTCACAAATGTTTGGCGGTGCTCTCTTTTTAAGCTTCGCGCAAACCGGGTTCTCTTCTGCCATGCAAAATACACTTAAAGAATTCGCTCCGGAAGTAAGTGCGTCAACAATTGCGAACGCTGGAGCTCTGGGATTCAGAGCTGTCGTTCCGCCGTCTTCGGTAGCTGGAGTTATTCAGGCTTACAACAATTCTATCAACCAAGTATTTTATATCGCTGCTGGCTGTGGTTTTGGTTCATTTCTTCTATCCTTTGGGATTGGGATGAAGAGTATTAAGAAGGCGAAGGTGGTTGAGCCGGCGGCTTAGATTTGGGAATTATTCATTTCCAAGTTTCGTTCCACGGTCAAACTCGAGGAGATCTCGAGAGTGTAATTTGTACTACTGTATACTTGCAGAAACGCCGTCAGTCTTCTGACGTTGTTTCATATATTTTGGGCTTTTGGGGAACTGCAGCAGTTCATTGGAGTTTGGATACATACTAGTCTAGATCACAGCATAGGAAGGCGTCTCTACTCATAGAAATGGATGATGGTATTTCACAGGGGACTTGATCTTGCAGGAGATTTCTAATAAAATATACTGTCCCAGGTTACAAGTACAAGATTCGTAAATTTTAGTTGGAAAACCGTATACGTAAAGCGTAGATGAGTTGCCAGCTCTTACATAATGGCAGTTTGAAGTCATTACTTAACAAAAATGACTACAGTTTACCGTATGCGAGGTATTACGTAGATACTCCCGACAATTTAGAGATTATTCATATTTTAGCACTCACTGGTCACAATTCGAAGCGAAATCGCACGTGCATTAAAGGACTGTGGATCAAAGATTTCATTGATATCGTAAATGCAGAGCTGCTGAAGAATTTATCTGCTACAACATTGAGTATTCCGAGATGCCTGATTTTGTGGTTGTTTAGGCGAATGATGCAATAATTTCTTGCTTTTTCCCATTGACAACCCTTGAAAATGCAACGATAACGCCCTAATACAATGGTACACATAATACATATTGTGATATGTGCCCTTAGACTTTGTAGAAGCAAAAGGCAACATAGAAACTAGCCGCTTCCATTTCTTCGTCACTGACAAGGAGCGGGCCTCGGCCTCTTTCCCGGACCCCCATACGCTCACTTAATGGGCCAAGTTGGGGGTCGTCCTTTTCAGCCTCCCAGATCTCATCAAAGCCCTTGTGATATTGCATCTCGAGGTTGTAATCTTCGGCAAGCTGACGGAAGATTCCCCATGGGACTACATATTCCGGTACTTCTTCAACGGCCTCGTGAAGAAAATAATTGTACTTTTGGCCAAATGGTGGTCGGAAAATGCCATCTGCTGGTGTTGGTCCAGGAAATCGAACTTGGTAGATATTGTTACCCCACTCGCAAGTTTCCTCTGCCTCACCTTCCTCACGCTCATCCTCTGGGTTCACTTGAACGGTAGCCTCTCCATCTTCGGCAGGTTTATCTCCTTCTGGTTTTGGTGCCATGCGAGCGTTGAATTGGCGAACCTTCTCACTAATAACAGCCGAGTTGGGTATACAGCCAACCAATCGACCTCCTTTCTTCAGTGCACCCGAGACATTTTTCAGCATTTGCCTTGCCTTTGCCTCGCTCTCAAAAGCATAATGCAAACAGAACATCATGCTGACAACATCAAAACCACCACCATCAAATATGGCAGGACCCCCTGAGCCGGAGAATCCAACTTCTTGCACGATTGGTATGTCGGCTATAGATTCTCCGAAGCAATCCTTGGGATACAGCTCTGCATGGAATAAGTCCGGTTGTGGTCTGTTATTTTGATAGCCTCGTCCCCCCCGGCCTCCACGCCCACCCCTCCCGCGATCTTTCATTTGCCTATATCTGTCTTTGGCCTGGTCAATTGAAACATCTGCTGGATCGAGACCGACATAAAGCGCAACCTTCTGTGGTGCTTGTTGCCATTTTCCCAAATCCCCTCCCTTTCCACAGCCAAGGTCGAGAACCAGTAATCCTTTTGGAGTTGGGCCCTCAGCAAATTGATACCCTTCTCGGTCTCTAACTGGAGGTGTGAAGTCTTCGTCGGGAGAGAATTTTTGGATGATTGTACTTTTGATCCAATTGTTGAAGCTTCTAAGCCCTTTGATGCGACTGTCCGTTTTGCGCCATTCTCGGCCTCGTTCCGGAACCATATTATAATGTTGCTTTACCGCATCATGGATTCCTTGTTTGGTGATAGCGGCATCCTGCTCCTTCTCGCGCTCGAGTTGCTTTTGTCGAATAAGCTCCTGTTCTGCATCCGTAATGCGCGCCCGCTTGCCTGGTCGTTTCTGTTTGCGGGCCTCGGGTTGAGGTGAAGGTGTGCGTTGGCGCTTATATGGATTTGAAGGTGAAGCCCCGCCCTTGGAATCTCCTCTTCTCTTTTTGGCGGGCTCAAGTTTTGTCGCATTGAAAGGCTGAGGTTGCTCCTCAATGGGAGAGATGTCTTCACCTGCCATTGTAGATAGCAGATGGTGATGATAGATTCGTAGAGGCTTTCGACTGTGTCGCAGCTGAAGCGACTCAGTGGGGAGTATGTCGTGAAGGTAGATTTACCTATTCCTATCAAGGTATTGTTGTGCTGTAGTTGTGAATTGTATGCTGGTTGGTGGTTGGTGGTTTAAGACAAGACAAGCTGGGTTGAGGTTGAAAGAATGCCAGCAGGGGTAGAAGGGAAGGGGTGCAGGGGGGGGATGCCTCGCGTCACGCTAGTGCCTGGACCTTTGGGGTATGAAAGAGCTTAAGCTGCAAGGCCACCATCACCAGCAACAACAACCAGAACCAGGAGATATCAAACACCCACTGCCCTACCTATCTAATCTTTGATTTCTCAAACCGCTCCAAATCCATCGACAAAATGGGTTCTGACCCTCAGTATGCCAAATACCCTCTGCTACCACTCTCCCAGCATATATTCACCCTCACCAACCCATCATCACCAAAAGCAACTCAACAGACATCTTTGAAAAGCCTCCAAGATGCGATCACTCAGCACAAGATGGCTCCTCTCTACCGATACCTGGCACATCCCGCAGAAGGCATTTTAAACGCCAGCGGGCAGAGCTCTTCACATCCCGCGAAACTTGCTGGCCGGAAACCTAGCGCAGCTGGTATGGTGGCAAGCAAGAACTCAATACCTAAAGTCGATTTGCCGTGGGATGAATCTTTATATGAGAAGTTGAAGAAGGAGAATGACGAGGAACTGGAAGGCTTCAAGAAAGAGGAGGAAGAGGCCGAGGAGAAGGCTGGAGATACCGAAGTGCAGGCTGCACGAGGAAAGCGTGCAGAGTTCTGGGCGCGAGTCGGTGACAAGGTATACATGACCTGTAATAACATTTGAAATCCACTAACCAGATATGTTCTAGGACCAAGCAATTGCAGCGTATGAAGAGGTCTTTGAAAAGACGGGCGTTTTGGGAACCAAGATCGACCTTGTTCTCGCAATAATTCGGATGGGGCTATTCTATGGTGATAAATTACTCGTCACGAAGCAAGTCGATCGAGCGAAAGCGTTGGTTGAAAGTGGCGGGGATTGGGATCGCAGAAATCGATTAAAGGCTTATCAGGGCCTGTACCTCCTCACCACCCGGTCATACAACTTAGCCGCTCCTCTTCTTCTCGACAGTCTATCAACATTCACAAGTTACGAACTCTGCAATTACTCTTCGCTCGCTGTTTATGCCGTTTTGGCCGGATCGGTTTCATTGAAGCGTGTTGATTTCAAATCAAAAGTTGTTGATGCTCCAGAAATCAAGGCAATCCTGGGTGATGGGGAAGACAAGCTGCTAGCTCTCTCTGGCGCAATTTCTGCTGGTCCTGGTGCGGACGAAGAGATGAAAGATGTTTCATCTGCAACCCCCGGTGGTGCTAAGACTGTCGTCAACCTTACCACCTTGGGAAGCGAGCAACCTGAGGCCGAGGAAGCCATTGACTTTTCACCACTTGCTGAACTTGTGGGTAGCTTATACACCGGAAGTTACCGTTCTTTCTTTGGTGCTTTGGCTTCTGTAGAGGTCAACTTTTTGACCCAAGATAGATACCTATATGAACATCGTGGGTGGTTTGTTCGCGAGATGCGACTCAGAGCCTATCAACAGCTACTTCAAAGCTACCGTGTTGTGGGACTCGAAAGTATGGCTAACGATTTTGGTGTTTCGGTTGATTTCCTTGATCGGTATGTGCCTTCTTTCTGAAAATAGGTCTATGAAATTTCCACTAACGCCCTTCCAGGGATTTGGCCAAGTTCATTGCAGCAGAGCGAATTCCTTGCACTATTGACCGTGTCACTGGAAAGGGTATTATTGAAACTAACCGACCCGATTCCAAAAACAAGCAGTACAACAATGTTGTGAAGCAGGGAGATCAGCTCATCACCAAATTGCAAAAGTACGGACAGGCGGTTAGATTGAGAGGCAGTGAGCGTGCTTAGAGCGTAATGGGCTCGCCTCTTATTGTAAGATATTGCAGCAAATAGAGCCAAAGAAAATACATTATTGCCAAAAAAAATGTGGCGCCTTCTTTTCCTACACTAAGAGGAAGCTTAATTTAATAATGAGACTGCTAGTAACTTCAAGCTTTTGTAATCCCTGAATTAGAGTGTAGACGATATTCAAAGGGGGCCATGAGTAGAATACCATCATTTGGTACTCCCCGTACAGGTATTTACATTTGGCCACTCCTAGTGATTCTCGCCTAGGTCGTCTTGTTCATAGCCGCTTTTGCCTCTAGTTACAGCATCACGTGGGAGGGGTTGATAGGTACCTAGTGAAGGCCTGTTTGTACTTCAACTCCCTCGCAGCTTCTTCTCCTCATCACAAATCAAAAATCATTCCCAACATGACACCTTGTATATTTTTTGCGAAGGGTAATTGTAAGTTCGGGCAAAAGTGTCATTTTGGCCACGATGAGGCAGCTTCTCAAGGTGAGACTCACTTGGGTGACCTGATTATGCGTGAAGGACTAATCGAGGGTTTTCAATGTTAGGCTCGACTTCTAGCTCACTCCCTTTTCGACCCAAACTTCCTCAGGATAGAAGGATTACCCCCAATGGAAAAGACAGTGAGAGATCAACGCAGATTATCCTGCAAAATAAGTCGAAGGAACAGCCAACTCGCAAGGAACGGGAAGAAGCGAGAATGCTGAAAGGACATGGTGGTTTCCTGCAAAATCTCCATGTTGAAGGCTCAGTGAAAGATGATCAGCCTGTAGAAATGAAGAACTACGAGTTCGTTGCCTCATACAGTTGGAAAAACATCGAGCATCCAACTATCTACGTGCCAGGTTCGAATGTATATCTCTTGAAAGATAGACCAAATTAAACTGATCGTTTTCAGGTTATCCTTCACAATTTATACCAACGGCGGCACCCTTTCAAATGGAACCAGACAACATTCGAAAACGTCTGCGCAAGCGCTCGCCCGCGGCAGCTGTTGATCCCCTGTTTCAATCACTACTCCAAATGCACCCAGAATTCAATATGTCCTCCATCGATATAGCCACTGACCGTAACTCTCTTCGAAAACTCCTCAATTTTTCTTCCGGTATCATCGATCAGTGGCGTCTTGAGGTCGACATGATCGATGACACTTTGTTCTTTTCCCAGTGGGAAGAGTTTCGACAGAAGCTGATAAACGGACAGCAAGATTCGGGCTATGGCCATTCATTAGAAGACCACGTAACTCAAAAGCCCACGAGTATGGAAGATTGTATGCACTATGAAAGGGTGGTGCAGTACGAACTAGGAGGTTTGAAGTTTCTGGTTAGGTATGAAGCAGATGCTTTCATTGAGACCGAGGAGAGTCCCGATATAGACGAACGGACTACAGACGACCCAGTGGCACCAAAACCGTCGAAGCCAGTTCTTAAGCCACCATACAAGCTTGTTCATGTTATACCCCGAGGCCGCCTTGTTGATCCGACTTCGATAGTGGAGATTAAATCACACAAAAGACCGAAATTCAATTACAGCAAAACTCTTCCACAGCTGTGGTTTGCGCAAACGAAGTTCATCTGCGCGGCTCGACATGAAGATGGGCTCGTAAGTGAGACGTTAGAAGTGCGGGACATGAGCGAAGAGCTCGAGAAATGGCGGATTCAGAATCAGGATAACCTGAAGAATATGATGAAGATCATAAAAGAGATTAAGGAGATCACTCGGGAGTTCAGAAAATGCACGGTCATTTATAGAGTAGTTGATGGAAGGAAGTGCTTAAGTGTTTTCAAGCGACAGAGTGAGTTTGCCATCCGACCTGAGGTGGTGGAGACATTTTGGGGAACGAAATCAAGTACTTAAGCAGTTCGTTTTCTTCTTGGATAGAAAAGCTCGGCCAGGGCAAATTATCTTTCTTATGGAGAATACAAGCAAGTTTTATGCATCCAATTAAGGAGCTCAAAGGACTAGCAACAACTGGAAATTCCGGAACAATTATCACTTATTTGCACCTTACTACCTAGGTCACATAAAGCGATACCCAGATTCTCCTTCTTAGACCCTTCTAAATGTATAAAAAGCCAGGCTAGTTTTAAAATGATCTACGCTCATAGGAACAAAAAGAGACTCTACTACTCACTAGGGGCGGGAGTGGTAAGAATAACCAAGCCATTATTCACGGCCAGCATTAAGTATCAAATTCGATTCTTTCTCATCGAATTTACCGTCCCATCTCAAGTCCTAAGAAGCCGCCTCTTCTCCCTCCTCACCCCGCCACCCCCCCAAAAAAGCAACAAAAAACCGCAAAAAACAAATAACGTCAAGTGGGCCCCTTCCGGGATCGAACCGGAGACCTCACACATTTAATTTCCTAGGAAACCCAAAGCGTGAATCATACCACTAGACCAAGAGGCCTATTATTTTCTTGTTGAAGTGTGGAAACCTTTTTCTAGTATAGAAAGCTTTCTGTAATTGTGGAGCAGCTTACCCATGAGTCATCTTGTGGGTTCGCTTAGCGACCAACCAAGTCCCGGAGCTCGGGCCGGAGTTCATGCGGAGATAGATAGTGTACTAGGGAATAGAAGAAAGATAGTGGGATATCCCTTAGACCATAAATCACTCAGCGCCCAGGCTTGGTACGGGGCTTCAAGCGAGCCGTGGCGCCGCTATACCTAATCAGGACGTGCCAAGTATCAAACCAGCACTTTAGTAGAGGGTACGAGAGGCCTGTCGCGGCGTAGACGTGGTAGTGGCGTTAGTGGTTGTCTAAGGGGCCTTTTAACAACCTTTCTACCGCTCTTTTTGACCTTGTTGTTCTATATTAAAGGATTGTTTTTCCTTCATCCTGCGCGGGGTATATCGAATATAAGAAAGAAGGAGTAGTAGTGGTGGTAGAAGTGGTAGAAGCTGTGCGCGTTCGAGTGTAACGAATACTCAAACTGGCTTACTAAACTTGGCTGGGTGTTCGCTGGTTGGTATGCTATGATAAGAAGAAGACTATCGGGTTGTTCACTTGGAAGTGAACTCGTTACTTGTATCAAAGATGTCAAACTAATATGATAAGATTGATAACTAAGTTGAGCACGAAGCTCCTATCTAATGGCAGACATGCCAGTCTTACATAGAACCTTCACTTTCCTGTACTTTGCCAGGACCGCTGGTCGGTCCTGTCGTTCCAGAAGTTCAGACCGATCGTTGGTCCAGTCGATCCAACTAGTCACGTGATAAGATACGAAGGAAATCCCTGGATCGCTTAGCTAGTCTAAGCATCCCTATTTGCTATAAGAAACCTGGATGTGCCTGTCGAGGGTTGCGCCTCTTTATTATGACAAGTATCACGTGAGCACGTGATTCGTGACATCGAGACCTGACGTTGCGGCCAAGCATTAGCGCTGAGTGATTTACGGTCTAAGGGATAGTAAGTAAAGTAGACGTTCTTCTTCTATCTCGATTTATTCCTATATCTAGGCTTAAGCTATAGTATATGATTTTATTATTATACCCTAGTCTTACTTATAACGTTAACGGCGTAGGATAGGACAGCGAATATTTATAAAGCGAAACATATTTACTTAATAAGATTTAGGAAAACTCGTTCTCCCATTTAACCTAGGAGACTTAATTCTACTAAATAAGATACATCCTCGCTTAATGCCGTTAAGCGATCGTTGCTATAGGTGAATATTATATTCCTACTAATACCACTGTCCCTAGCAAGTGGTCTTACTACCTCCGCGATAGTATTTTACCAATATCGTTAATGAAAACGATTTGTTGAATCGAACGGCAAATGCGCAAGAGATTAACCACGAGATAATGGTATAGTAAGAGGCACATGTGGTTTACATCCGCTTTTATCCTATAGTCAACATATCCCTTCCAGACTCTATATGTCAAGCATTTAAGCCTTAACTTGACCGATATATCGCATCCGCTTATATCCACTTCGAGTGCACGTTTTTTGGAACATACAGAGTCTGGAAAGGATCCCGCACCTGTAATTAAATGTACGATGTGCGGTATAAGATAGCATTGATAGAGTACGAAAGAAATTCAATACGTAGACTCAATCTTGGCTCAAAGAATTGACTTAATTAAAAAATATGAATTATCTAATTGTATTCGTCCCAGACGTGGCAGAGCTCGTAAAGCTCCACAAAAAGCCTATACACCGCTCTGAATCTCATGATTTATCGTAAACTTCTTAACCAACTCCAGGTGGTTCTGAGCCCTCCACTCCGCCATCCACTCCAGAACAAAAGCCACCAAATACTGCTGAGTGTCACTTACAGCAGGAGGAGGTAATACGCCGGGAACGGTCTGGTTCGGGAAAAGTCCGTTCTCATCCCAGTGATGAACAGCGCCTTCGATCAACAAGAAGGGTTCGCTGACAGTGCTTGTGCGGTTTAGAGCAGTGCTATTGAAAGGAGAAGCATGAGGAGAAGCTGGTCGCCAGGGATCTTGCTCGCCATCCACTATTGCAAGTCGTGGGTAAGAGATTCCAAATCCGCCGTATTTATTGATGGCTGTGACGTTTGCTGGTGTGGATATGTTGAAAGCCTGACGACAGATATTTGAATGATATTCCAAATCGCTCAAGCGGGAAATCAATGGTAACGTGTCTTCAGGGACGCCAGAGCCAGTCTGAAGATAGCCCCATTGCGTGCAGTATTGGTAAGGCCAAGCCCGCCAGTCATCATCAAGTGAATCTTGAGTATAGTAGGTACTGTTGTATGTTCCGAAACATCGATCGTGAGAATCATCGCAGCGGGCGAGCAAACCCTGGGTGAACCACCCAATCCAATTTAAGAGAGGAGTTTGGAGGGTGCTGATTTCTGAAGCATAACCCCCCTTTGTCAAGAGGTCCTGCGCCGCAAATTCATCCGTTGTTGTGTTGTAATCGACAGTAGGGGACGTGATTGCAGCGCAGAATTCGTCGAAATCCGGTGAGTTGAGCTCTGGATCCCAATTCCGGCTTTGCCATGATGACACACCTGAGATCGCCACTGCGAAATCGTTGTCGTGTGTGATGTTCGATAATCCAAATGCAGATTTAAGGTCTGACGCAGACTCGGAAGTGTTGACCTTTAGGAAGATATTATCAACCATGTTGGTAATCTTCTGTACATGTGAGATACAAGTTGGCTCTCCGTAGACTCTGATGGGCTCATAATACGCCCAATAATCATAGATAGCCTCAGTAACACCACTGGATGAAATGACACCTGGTCAATTATTAGCCAAAAGTTTGTGCAGACGAGTGAGATAAAGTACCCCAGAAGATATCGGGATACAATTTCCTTAAGAAAGCAACAAAAGCACCAGCATAACTTCCTCCATAACCAATGTAGGCAGTGTTTGGAGCAGTCAGATCGTATTGCTCTAAACCCTTGAAAACCACGTGCTGCGCAAAATAAGCTTCATCTGCCAAAGCTTGGTCGGTTGTAAGGAAGCGTAGGTTTTCGGTTGAGAAATCAGGGGTCGGAATGCTGGCTCCATAATATCGATGTTCTAGCACAACACCAACTCCATTCGTGGCGACAGCCAACTGATGCAAGATGCCCTTTTGAAGAAACGGAAGCCTCCCAACACCATCAGTCTCTCCCGATTGAAGGACAATCACAGGTCCGCCAGGTTTATAGTATGTTGCATCAAACCAATAGCGGAGCTCGAAGCTTTCCGAGCTGTGAGGTTCGTACAGCGAATCGTTGTGAAAGTGGTCGATTGGCACCGAGAGGGTATAAGCGGGGTAGAGAAGTGAAGGGTCGTAATCATCTCGTTTGGTAAGGAGAGATCGCGGGTTGATTGTCGTTCTCTAAATATGATCAATTAACGAAACTTTCGGAACTGAGAATCATTCTCATACCCGCACTCGCTCCTCAATGGCAACTGGACTCCCGGTGATTGCTGCATTGGCGATTGCGACCAGGGCGCAGACTATGCCAATTAGTCGAACCATCTTGACGGGTTGGAGAGTATAGCAACTCTGGAAAGGATTAGTGACGGCTATATCATTAAGTAGTAGCTCTGGAAGAGGAATTATGAGGTGCTGTAGGTACATAGCACAACATGGCGCAAAGCATCCGAGGTGGAACCACGTACATTGTCTATCTCAACGCAGTCCCGTGAGAGAAAGCAATTTACACGCTTGGCTATATAAGATCAAAACGCTCCAGGGAAGCACCCTTTATAAGTTGATTTTCATCATCCTAACGCTTGGCGTGGCGGCTTCTTGATAAAAAACTCTCTGAGGTACTTATACGAGTACCGGCACCGCAGCCGGAACCAGCTCACCGTTGCGTTAACCCCTCGCTGTTAGACCCAAAGCAGAAGGTCCGTGAAGCCCTGGAAGAAGATCACGACTTTTGTGGTACGTTTAATATCTTTGGTAGGATGATAGGCTTATCATGAAAGCTGGAGGAGATTCCTATTCGTTCTCATGCGGAGTTTTCTGCGGACTCACAGCAGTTGCTTGATTAGGTGCGGTTCGGTCAGAGTGTGGAGATCGGTTGGTGGTACTGCAACGAAAGTGGGGAGTTGTTGGAAAATTGTTTCCCCGCATCGTGACGACAACATACAGTACCTGCTTAGCGATGGTTTTCATGTCTAATGAAATTCTATGAAACTTCCCCAACCTTACAGCCTTTCTCAACCTTTCCTAATCCAATTACTAAACTCTTTAATTAATTTCATGAAAGTCCTTACCTACAAGCAGCGTTGGGCAACTCGAATTCCATTCCACTCCATTCCAGACCGCCTATATGGAATATTCCAATTCTAGACTATGGAATATGGAATTCCCCTTCTGGAAGTCTCCAGATAACCTGTTTAGAATTGTTCCGCTCCGTTCGACTAATAGGAAGCTCCCTGAATATTAAGTGTATATGCGTGACTATTTACACTTAGTAGTGGAACAGTAGTAGACCACGATAACACATATCTAGCGTGTTGCGCTAGCTAGAAAGGGAGTATTGCTACTTTCCTCCCCCCTACCCCCTATATAAAAGGTTATTTCGTGCAAAGTGGGTACATTTTCTTATTTAGAGGGGGGGAAAGTAGTAATATTCCCGATCTAGCTAGCTCAACACACATTTCCTGAGCCCTAGCAGAGCCTAATCTAGCCAAATAACAACGAGCTATCATATTAGTAACCAGTTGGTCCACTAAATAAACTTGATAGCGAACAGTCTTATTACTGTACTTACTATTGTCAAATAGAATTTACGCTGCCTCCCTCACGTGTACCCACTTTGCTCGAAATAACCTTTTATGTAGAAGGGAGGGAAAGCAGTGATATGCCATATCTAGCTAGCGTAACACACATCTTCTAAACCCTAGCAAAGCCTGTTCTAGCCAATCAAAAATGAACCATAACACTAGTAACCAGTTAGTCCACTAAACAAACTTGATAGCGAACAGCCTTATTGCTGTACGAAGTACTTACTGTTCTAAAATAGAATTTACGCTGCCTCCCCCACGTATACCCACTTTGCTCGAAATAACCTTTTATGTAGAAGGGAGAGGGGGGGAAAGTAGCGATATACCTGATCTGGCTAGCGCAACATATCGGCAATGAACAACTGTCACATTCACTAATTGCTTACTAATACCTGAGTATCTTATTTCACTTCAATTAGAGTTCTCTTAGTACGTGTTTGGCTGGGATACACATGCAACCAACCGAGTTTTCAACGGCACAACCATAACTTTTACAAAACTTAAGTGATCTCGAGTGTTCTAGAGCGTTTACATCCCAGTGTGCATTCAAGTGATAAAACCATTTGGATAGCGTGTTATGATAAAATGGTAGTGTTGACGTTAGGTGTACTAAGCGAGTTCACAGAGTGTAATCTTACGTGTCAGATTGTTTGGGCGCATCGCGATACATCGTCTGATTTGTAGGTATGGTACACTCCTGATAAAGCTAGATCAGGCATTCGGACGAGTACTTTTCTTTTCACTCGATGTGATGTGCGAACCGAACGTTCCTGTACTCAAAGTATACACTTAGAGTATACACCGATATTTTTTTTGTATGGTGCACGCCAGTGCATGGCCCGAGCCAAATAGACCCTTATTAGTGAAAAGGTAGTATATATATACTCCCGAATTCCAAATTCCAGATCCTCATCCTCTGGGATATCCTGTTCCATTATAAGGGACCTCTAGAACATGGAAATTCCATGGAATTGGACTCCAGATGCCGAACGCTGGGGGGGAGAGCACGTAGTAACCCTAAGCTTCATAAACAAGAAGAAAGGGGAAACGATAAGTCTAGCGATTAGGCTATCCCTTCCGAAGCAGAGGCCTACAAAAAAAACGTGCACCCTGAAAGCTAATATGAGTCGATGCGATGACGGTCAAATCAAATCAAAGTTTAGATGACTAGATACCTGTTCTGGTTGGCCAAATGACTTTGTTTGCGGGGAAGATGTAATAAGAGTAGAGACTTTTTTTCTACCTTCGTTGCACGTCTTTTTTGTAAGTCTCTGCTCTGGAAGGGATACTCACATACCCAAGTCCACGAATTTCCGTCACTCCTGGCGGCATATACGTCGTCCCAGACGAAATAAATGTAGGTTTGCTTGGGTGGCTAAGGCTAGGAGCAAGGTAAAACCACCTGAAAACCTACCTAGGTACGATTGTTTCATCTAGGACAAGTACTACAGTATGAAGACCCCTCAATCCCCACTTTGATCAATTAGACTATTGCGAACGTCATACTCGTACCATAGAATTCAGAGCTCCCGTTATCCTCTCCCCTCCCCGGAACAAAAGGTTCTTTCGTGCAAACTGGAGTGGGTACATTGTCTAGACCCTTAGGACCCTTACAAAGCCTACCTATTCTAGCCAAACAAATGGTGCTCACTCTAGGATGATTTTAGTACAGTACTAGTTAGCTAACCCGCCCTGCCGAAGAAGAAAGTATGGATAAAGTGTCGTATTATGCTCCACCGAGTTACAGTACCCAGTCCCGAGGGACACATGCCGCTGACTTATTAGACTACAAAGTACACTGTAGGTCTAGGTTTGAACCTCCCACTACCCAAAAAACTCGCTTATCTATACAGTACTTTTACTCGCGAAAATTAGAATTCACACTACCTCCCTTGGGAAATATAACGTCTACCTACTCGAGTACTTTATACAAAACAACCTTCCATCAGAGTATGAATAGAGAGATGTCGCGAATAGTCAACGAGCCAGCTCGAGCCACAAGCCAACCCCTAATCCGTGAATTTCTTTTTCTTTCTCTTTCTTTCTGCGAAAAAGAATAAAAGAACCTACATAATATCACAATTTACAGAAATGTTCAGCGACGAGGTATAGTACAATACAGGGTATTCACAAATCAAAAGCTAGCTAGCTTCCACCAACAATCAAAACAACAATCATTCAAAAACCAAGAAATCCACCAATAAATCAAAGAATCCCACCATATTCCTCTCAACGAATCACCCATATTATCGATCGCATAATCAATCTGCGCTTTCCACACCACAAATCGCGAAATCCACAGATCGAGACATAATCCACAACTCATCCCCTTAGCCAGCACAAAAATATTCCGAGTTCTCACAGAAGTCCCAGTACAGTAAACCAGCCCTATCCCATACCCCATATCAAAAACTCCCAACCTACTGTATCAAAACCCCCCTCACTCCTCTCCGACCTTCTCAAACCCATCTATATCCCTTCCTTCCTTCCACACACCCACACACTTACTCTCCCCATCATTCCATAGTCAACCCACCATATCCACATCCCAGACACGCTATACAATACAATACAATACAATACAATACAACACAAGAACCCCCTTCCCATCTCTCATCTCTCAACAAGCAACCCAAAATTTACCTTCACCACAGTACCGTACCGTCCTATAGAGATATCAATCAAGATCCAGTATCAGTATCACCTCACTTGTCCATCCAGCAAAACAATCATCTCTGGACTCTGGTCTAAAGTTCAATTCCGTTCAGCTCGGCGAATCCTTCCTTCCTGCCTTCCAGCTTGGATTTTCGGATTTCTTTACAGTACCTCTCTCTCCCGCTTTGCTTGGCTTTGCTTGGCTTTGCCCGACATCTCATTGCATTTGAACTTTCGGAAAATTAAATGGGGAAATTCGTATGTATCCCTTACAGAGTAGATACATACAAGTGCTTTTCGTACACGCCGAGGTGGGTATAGGTGGATTCAAGTGGATGCGATAACTAGGCCAAATTAAGTCCTAAATACATGGAAACCTAGCCTTGGTTGACCAAATGACTTTGTTCTACGGGGCAGGTCTTGCAAATACATCCACTTATACCCTTTTTAGAGTGCACTTCTTTTTTTGTGTCTATATTCTAGGCGGGGGTATAGTAAACAACTACTAGAGAACAAATTAACTACTGCACTACAGGAGACGACGACTCACAAATCAATACACGTCAACACGTCAACACGTCAACACGTCAACACGTCAACACGTCAACACGTCAACACACACACACACACAAAAAGGAAAAGAAACATGGAATGTAACGTGTGTCTATCAATCTAATACAAGACTAATAAACAATCACCCCTCTCTCTCCCTGGCATCAAGTTTCATTCTTCCCCCGGCTTTCTCTCCTATGTGACGTCGTCCACTTCTCCCCATTCACATATCTCTATCACCTCTCATGGATTCATCCCTTCTTCGTTCATATAGGAAAGAGGCGTAAATTCAGTCCATTAAAACTGAAAGATGTCCCATGCGTCCCCCAGCGACCCGGTTTACAATCCACAAATCCCTACTCAGAGAAGCCGGCCTGTAGCTTTCCGGGATAAAGAGAAAGGAAAAAGAAGAGAATATAAAACCAGACGGAAGATAAAACATCGAAATGTCTTGCAAACTGATAAATGGGGCCCGGCAAGATGAAAACATCAAAAAGAGCCCCCGATGATTCATCTCGTCACCCTACTTGACTTGCTTGCTGCTTCTCCTGGCCTTTGCTGAAAATCAAAACAATAAACACAAGAAGAAAAACTGATGCTCGTGTATGGTGCATTTCGTTCCCTCCTGACCGCCCACCCCAAACGCCACGCAACATGGAATATGCAATCAACAGACTATAGGGAATCGCAATGGTGGTATCAAGGAAAAAAGGAAGGTTCGTTCTAATTCCGAGGGGAAAGAAGATCAATTACGTCGCAGATATTCGTACAGGTTGCAGGCTATGAGCTGTGAGCACGCATTAACAGCTAGGTGTAATCAGTGAATGAAGGTGAAAGGACGCATGCAGGTCAATGTACCTGAGACAACGGATCTTCTTTTTCTGCAGTCACAACAGCCGGGCTCTCAACAGAACCGTGAGTTATTGGCCCAGTGGTTGTGAATGGACGAGGTTCAAGGGATGGACGCGCGAGAAGCGAGTCAGGATTCGCTGGTGCCGGAGATATTGTTCCGTTCGTACCCAGAGGCTGAACGTCGCCATTTGGTGAGGCTCTGATGTCTCTTCCCTTCTCCAACAGAGCCCCGCCAAGTGTCGCGCATTTCAAGATCGTTTGGATGAGATGGTTTTGTTTGAGAGGCTTAGATAGGTACTCGTCCATCTGAGCCTGTATACATTTCTCCCTATCACCAAGCATAGCATGTGCTGTCAAGGCAATGATTGGCGTTCGATGTGTGCCTAAGCTACGCTCGTACTCTCGAATCTTTGCTGTTGCTTCGAATCCTCCCTGTTGATTTGTTAGCAATGCAAACGTGTATGTGTTTAGTATAGACCTACCATGATCGGCATTTGCACATCCATCAAGATAACGTCATATCTCTTCTCCTTGATCGCGTCGAGGGCCTCTTGTCCATTTCCTACGACGGTGACAATATGGTGATACTTTTCCAATATCTTGACAGCCAAACGTTGATTAACAAAGTTGTCCTCTGCCAAAAGGACATTGAAGGATCTGGTGTTATCCGCCAGAGAGGGTGCAGCTCGATTCTCCAAGGCTGGAATCATTCCGTTTCCAAGGTCAATTGTAAGACATGGAGTGGTCATATAAGACGTAATGCCCAAATCCAACGCTGATTTGAGACTGACATGAACGACAGGCGCCAAGAGGACAATCGGGATGTACTTGAACTCGTCGATAGCTCGGAGACCACGCGCGGTATCGATTGAATCAACAATAACAACGTCATACGAAGCTACTGCTTTTCCAGAGCCGCCTTTGGTTTCCGAATCCACAACAACGGGTACGAGGCCAATCTGTGAAAGCATAGCGATGATTTCCTGTCCATGACCGGTTTGTCCCTTGTCAACGAAGAGCACATTGTGACCTTGGTATGGATGTAGTGCCTTCTTGATAAAGCTAATGTCGTGCGTAGCCAATCGAACAGTGCAAGTGAAATAAAATTGACTTCCCCTACCATACTCACTTGTCACCCAAACATCTCCTCTCATCAGGTTGACAAGACGTTTAGAGATAGAAAGACCAAGTCCAGTACCTCCGAACTTTCGAGTCATTGATCCATCGGCCTGTTGGAAAGTATCGAAAATCAGGTCGAGTTTGTCCTCTTGAATTCCAATTCCAGTATCCGATACGGAAAATTGGAGTGCATATTCGTTAGGCATACAATGATCTTGAGAAGCTCGTTGGATTGTCAAGGAAACCTCTCCGTTCTCCGTAAACTTGATGGCGTTCCCAACAAGATTAAGAATAACTTGTCGCAGACGGAAAGAGTCTCCGACAACATGATCTGGAACAGAGCTGTCAACGCGGTAGGTGAGATCAAGAGACTTTTCGTTTGCTTTGACGGCCAATGTCTTGAGAGCGTTGAAGACAATTCCTCGTACAGAATATGGAATCTCCTCCATGATCATTCTGTTTGCTTCAATCTTGGATAAATCTAGGATGTCATCAATAATTGTGAGCAAACTATTCGCAAGGTTGTGAACAATGTTCAACATCTCGCGCTGGTATTGAGTGAGATCAGTATCAAGAGTCAATTGTGTCATTCCGATAATCTATGCAACTGTTAGCTCTTATTTCAAGTACCAAGGGGTGAGATAACTTACGCCATTCTGTTAAAACTGTTAGCGAAGGTTCAAGCGACAAGTGATGTAAGCAAATTCTGTTCAAAAATAGGAGAAGGAAAAAAGGAAAAGGTGGGGAAGGGGTTGAGGTCAGCAAAAGATAGTTGAGAATCAATGGGAATTGGTAGTGGTAACACCCAAGATGGGGATTTGAAGAAAGAAAGAGGTGCATTACCACTAAAATCAAACTATTAGCTAATGTACGGCGATGGGAATGCAATTCCTATGGAGTGTGTCGGAAAGGAAGTCATGACTTACTTGGAGTTCTAATTTCATGAGACATGTTTGCCAAGAATTCCGACTTGGTTCGATTAGCGAATTCTGCAGCCTCTCGAGCAGCCGTGTTTCGTTGAATTGAGTCTCTTAGATTGAAAACCATTTGATTAATCTTCCTCTTCAGTTCGTCCATCTCACCAGATGCCTCAACAGTGATAAGTTTTGTAAAGTCTCCATCGGTGGCGGCGTTGGTGATATCTCCAAAAGCTCGCACCTGAGCGGTCAGGTTCATAGCCATAGTGTTGACATCTGGGAATATTATTAGCCTTCTGATTTGAAAACATGCACACCAAGGTTCCCCTTTACTTACCAGTAGTGATTTCTTTCCATCGACCGCCAATGCCAGCCACGTCAGCCTGACCGCCCATCTTGCCATCAACGCCAACATCTCTGGCAACTCTCTGGACTTCATTGGAGAATATACTCAAGCGATCCACCATGTTGTTTATTGTCTCCTTGAGTATCAGAATTTCACCAGCTGCCTCGACCTCAATCTTTTGACTCATATCACCGTTGGCGATCGCTTGCGTAACCGTAGAGATCCCCCGAACTTGGGAGGTCAAGTTGCTGGCCATAGTATTGACATTTTCGGTGAGGTCTTTCCACTTGCCTTCCACGTTTTCAACACGAGCTTGTCCACCAAGGGTGCCGTCGGTTCCGACCTCTCTGGCGACTTTGCTAACCTCGAATGCGAAGGTGCCCAGTCGGTCAACCATGGTGTTGATGGTATCCTTCAATGAAGCGATTTCCCCTTGTACTGGAATGCCAATCTTCTTTGTCAAGTCACCTTTGGCCACCGCCGTAGTGACCTTTGCGATTTCACGCACTTGATTGGTGAGATTCATGGCCATGCCGTTAACATTTTCGGTCAGGTCTCTCCATGTACCCTCAACATTATGCACCGTAGCCTGTCCGCCAAGTCTACCTTCAGTACCGACCTCTCGGGCAATCTTTGTGACTTCTCGAGCAAATTGTTGAAGCTGGTCCACCATGGAGTTGATAGTTTCCTTGAGCTGTTTGATCTCTCCTTTACACTCAGCTTGTACTTTCTGTGTCAAGTCTCCCTTGGCCACTGCGGTGGTAACCATAGCTATATCCCGGACCTGCGTGGTGAGGTTATTGGCCATGGCGTTGACATTCACAGTCAGTGTATTCCACATGCCTTTGACGCCCTCAATCTCAGCCTGTCCACCAAGAATACCTTCGGTGCCGACATCTCTTGCTACTCTAGTAACCTCTGAAGCAAACTTTCTCAACTGATCCACCATGGTATTGATCGTTTGTTGTAACTGTAGTATCTCACCCTGAGCAGGTCTCTCAATCTTTTGTGTCAAGTCTCCGTGTGCAACAGCAGTTGTGACCGAAGCGATCTCCCGCACCTGATCCGTAAGATTTTGCGCCATAACATTGACTATGAATTGTTAGCTCTCCGAACACAAAATAACGAATCCGGCTGCAGCGTTGCCGGCGCTTGCTAGCTCTTCATCATCTTGACAAGAAATATTGCTCACCATTGTTGGTAAGTTCTTTCCATGTGCCGTCGACACCGACAATTTGTGCCTGGCCGCCTAGTATTCCTTCTGTGCCGACTTCTCTTGCCACCCGGGAAACTTCGCTGGAGAAAATCTGTAGTTGATCCATCATAGTGTTGATAACCTAAACATCAATTTTGGTTAGTAGGGTCAAGTATGAAAGCGACTCGAATTTTCCGTACCATTTTAAACTTGCTGATTTCAGGATCTAACTCTTTGGCATGTATCAAAACCTTCTTACTCAAATCACCCTTAGCAACAGCAGTGACAATCTCTCCGATCTCCCGTAAAGCCTTCTGGAAAGCCTCATTTGCCTGCTGGTGCTTTTTGAGTTCACGCTCCAGGGTTTCAACACGCTCCAACTCTTCGCGGTTCTTCTGTGCTTGTTCTCGCTGGATTTCGACACATTTCTGTTTGAGGGCCTCGTATTCGTGCTTTCCTTTTTGAATGAGGGCGGCCTGGTCGAGGACCTTTTCAAAGGCAGCTTCGGGGAGAGTCTCATCACTGCAAGTCTTGGCCAGCTTCTGTGGTCTCTCATCGTTCAGAGCCTCGCGAGAATTGTTGGAAGGATTGGGTGATGGATGTTTCGAGGTGTTTTGTTTCTTCTGTCCGCCCGTGAGAACATCAGCAAAGCCCGATGGGGCGCCTAGTTCGCTTGGTGTAATCGGTAGGGTCTGGTGATTAATGACATTGGCTTTCTGTTCTAATCTTTGCACTCTTGAAACCAGAGCCGAAAGCTCTGCCTCAAGCTGGCGTTTTGCCGATGTGGTAGGGCCTGGAAGATTCAGACGACTCCCGGATTGTGTCGAATCGAAATTGTTGTTCGTCGCAATGCTCTTCAGGATTGCGCTCGCGGCGGCGAGGGTATCTTCGCTCATTTGGGCCATGGCTTGTAGATTCTAACCGCCAGCCAGGCAGTACGAATGGGGGGTAGTGAGATGGGTGTTTAGGTGGGCGGCATGAAGGGTTGATCAGAGGAGATGGCAGTCGAGAGTGGAAATGGGATGGGATGGACCAGGGCACTGCCGAAAGGTGAATCTGATGGTTCTGGCAGGGTTAGCGATCTTTCCGCAGTTCACGATGCCCGTTGGAGTTGGTGCAATCCAAGGTTTTCCATAGCCATAGGCCGGAAGGAGATGGGCGAAAAAGGAGACTCACTGACAGACAAATTTCTGAATTGGACGGTGTTTCCAGAAGAAATGCGGTCGAGGCAAGTGAGCAGTGCAGGAGGGCGGATAGTGGATGGAATTGTGAAGATTCCTTTGTCAATGCGGGTACGAAGCGAAAGCCCCTTGCCGATGCCGATGACAATGACCACCCCTCGAGACCTTGAACGCTGGTTGGACCGGGGCGGCTGGACAACGGGACTTTCACTGAGGGGCAAAGTCAAAGAGCAACTCAAATCAAAGATAGACGGGACGAAGGAGAGGTGGCTGTCGAGATCGCTGCTCTCGCCTTGACGGACGATGCGAGGGTGAGGTGAGGTGGAGGATGGAGATGGATGAGGGAGGTCGTGGAAGTGAGTGTAGGGTACAGTACTGTCGTGCTGGTGTTCACTCGACCAGCAGGAGTTCTTCTGTACTGAGTAGTGCTCTGCGCCGTAGCCGTCGAGTGGAGAGGGTGTATGCAAAGGTCCAGGGTATGGATGTCGGATGGCTTTGTTTTGCAGGCAGGCTCAGGCCAGACGATACGATGCTGAAGCCTGAACGGGTCTATGGGGCCCTCTGTGGGAGCCCTGTCTGGGCAATGTGCTTGAATCTTACTGCAAAGTAAGCAGAATGCTAGCTGTCAGGGCCGTTGGTAGGCGCTGCACTACACTCCAGGCCTGTCACTGAATGCCATTTCAAAGTACGACGTGTTCTATAGGCTCCAGCTTGTGAGGGGTCTTTCTCATGAGGCGAGTTGGATGACAGGGCTCGGCAGTCCCCACTAGTGGCTTCAGGGGTCTCATCCATCAAGACGAGGATTGCACTTCGTAGTGGAGAGGCAGGTGGTACGGAGTTCTCTGTGCAGTTGCCAGTACTCGTACCGGCAGCACTGAAGCAGCAGATAACCATTTAGCCTCGTTAGGTACTCGAGTTGCTACTGGTTGCTTTGATAATGCTTAGGGCCTCGAGCTTCCGCCCTATCCCAAGGCATTCGCCCTCAGCGGCCTCTAGTGTTGACATGTGCATAAGGAGAACCATTCCCCTCCGAATCCTCCGTAAGTACCTTGGAGCCTTTCCTTTCTCCGACTACTCGATACCGGTACCTACTCTGTAACTTCTACTCACTTCTACTCTGTAGAAGTATGTACTGAGCACTAGCACCAGCACCAATCCTACCGCCGCCAACTGAGCCCTCTACCTCTCTGAATCAGGCATGGTCGGAACTCTAATGGCGGTATGCCAGCTGCAGATCCCAAAAAGAGTTGAGACTTCGAGAAGGCCCGGGGGTCAGCCGTCAGGGCATGAAAATGGAAGCATGGAAGGCCTTCTAGAAATACACTGAAAAAGATACCGGTAGTCGTATCTGACTTTGTCGCTGTGGTGGTAGAACTCTGAACCGCTTACCATTTCTACCGGTATTATTAGAAACCCCGTTGTGGACAGTTCGTCGTTCACTGGCTGCAGTGCCTGTCGATGTACTCGAGTACTCCCTATCAAAATGTTAGGTCCTGTCATCATCCTCAGCCCGCTCGCGTTGGGCAGATGTTAAGATTGGGCGATGAGGTCGGTGGCGTCGACTAGCGCCAGGGACCCCGGGTAGTTGCTTGTCCACCTAGCGAGCCCCTACAGCCAGACTGAGCCAGTGGCAGTGGCCATCCATGGATACGCCCCCATGGTTGAATGGCCCGGTGGACCCCCCCCCNATGGATCCTCGGCCACCACCTGCAAGAATCGTTGGACCATTCTCAGTGCAGTTCGACTTCAGCATCTCCGGAACCGGCATTCTTGCACCGCAGCGTGCTGAATAGCAGCACACGCACACTTCACCATCAGACTCGCATGCCATTTGCCGTCCCTTCCCCTGCGGGGCCAAGCTCAACTCCAGATGGAGATGGTGACCCAGATGGAGATGGTGACGGGCAGACAGCAGGCGCCAGGCGCCAGCCTGGAGAAATAGGGTCCTGGTGGCCCTTACTCCTCACTACTACCTCCGTACAAAACTTACCCCATCCCATGTCTTGCCCGCTGCCCGCCCTGCGCTTGTGGTTGCTTTGGAGTGCATGAGAGCCGAGCGAAGAGAGCACGTTGAGGTGAACCCTCCTCCAGTGATAGAGTATCATCCCGCCTAGTCTTCTAGGCCCACCTAGGCTGGACATCAAACCAGCTGTATAGAGGTACTAACAGCATCAACACTTACGAGCATTCTTGTCGTGGATAGGCCTAGCACCGTCTAATTACAAATTCATGGACCCTACTCAACCATTCGCGAGGCTCCTAGCCAAGCATAACAAACTACTATTTGTACAACGGACCATTGCAAACACAAGTTACCAAAATAGGAAATTTCATTCCATCAAACCTTCACAAAGACGTCATAAGGAAGGAACTTGCCCCCATCATACCGAGGATTATCATACCATTTTGTGTGTTCGTCAAAAGTGATCCGCACGCGCTAGCAACTCTGAAACGTTTCAAGTCAGCATTGGAGAATTCGAATCCACTTTTCTCTGCAAAAAGTGCATGTATTTTATCTTCCACAATCCACCCAACTAGAGAAACAACACGCCATGTGCCCACGCTGCGCGACCGGGTGCGTGGTGGAAAAGGGGGTGGAGTGATCACCACCCTCTTAACCCGTAAACGGATCACGCTCGTCGATCAACCCCTGTTTTTTACAAAGCACGGGAGCAAAGGGTCCATCAAGCGAAAAACACAGCCACCCAGGAAGCGAGGAAACGAAGATGAGTAACCCCACCATACCGTCCCCTTCATATCTCCCCCTCCATCCGTTTCAGACTTGTCTGCCCAAATCTTCTGGTCTCACGGTAACTTGTGAACTTGACAACTGGTGGTCTGTTCAACGGGACTGCCGAGACGACTTGACGCTACTCAAGTGCCATATCGAGTTTTTGTTTCTGCCCAATCCAATTGAGGGATCCCGTGGACGGACGTATATCGCAGAGTTTCCGCGCTTGCGCAGGCGGCTTTACACTACTGTCTAAACCAACCATTGAAACATCCTCCATCACATACAGAATATCACACGACACAGCCTTTATAACTGCGGGGCAAAGGGTCCAATCCTCCGACCTCATTCTCATAACGATTGGACGAAAAAGGACTCAAACCACAACACCGCTCCCATCGCCCATCCATCCCATCCCATCCCAACAACACAATTAGACTTTCTTCGTTGTCAAACGCTTCCTTAGTATCCATCCGGCCTGAAATCGGGCTGATCTCCCACTCGGCTCTCCTTGTCAACAACATCGGAGATGTACAAAAAAATCGCTGTACCAGTACACCACCGTACAGAAACCGTATTAGACAACCCACCCCGTCCCCTAAAAGGCTAAACCTACACCTCCAAACCTTAACTCGCCTGGGCGTCATCATAACAAGATCGTCCCCGATTGTCGACAGGGAACTGGACCCTTCTTTTGGTCTATCATCGCCTAAATCCGACAACTTCTCCCGAGATATCCACTTTATTGTTCCCAGCTTTCCTTCTATGGCAGATCCTTTAAATGACTGACTGCCTGACTACTTGGAATTCCCATCTCTTTGGTGATTATGTTATAATTATAGTCGTATATTACGTATAAGAGAGACGGCCATTACATACTCTGTACCTATACTTGTACACTACTAAGTTGCTTTACAACAATATCATCCTAAAGACCCTCCCTCACACAACTCAACCAATTATCCGAATACCTTGGAATAATTGTTACTTTTTGCAACTTTTTATTAATCTAGGTGGAATGGGAGATTTAGGTTCCTTGTGCCAGAACTTATGCCAGAACTTGTACCATGATAACTTGTGGCATAATGACTTTTGATAGCGTGTACTCGAGTACAGAGTCAATGACCAGGTACCTTACACATCCGTAGACCCCCAGACGCTCGAAGCAGGAAGGAGTTTATTTCCATTTTGACCTACCTACCTACCTACCTACCTACATAAACGAACCACTCCTCTCCCGGTAGACAGGAAAAAGCCACAGAGACAGACTTCTTATCAAATCATCTTAACCCAACTGAACTTAAAACTCTTCTATTCTATTACCTGTTTTATTCATCTGGACTACTCAACAAGATCCATCTCAAACGATCCTATAGGAGTAGAACAACAAAAGCAAATTGTTCCAAAGATTTGAGGTATTTCGATACGTAGAATTACCTTACGCTAATGAGTCCCAAAAAATGAATCTCAGCCACTTTTCCGGGAGCCACTGAAGAATCGTGATCAGAAGGCTAAGCAGTGTTGTAAATGAGTTGAGTTGAGTTGAGTAGTGGCACCTACTCAACTCAACTCAGAGTACTGAATAGACCTACTCAACTCAACTCAACTCAGAGTACTGAATAGACCTACTCAACTCAACTCGCCAAGTACTCGAGTGACTCTGAGTACTATTTGAGTAGTACGGAGTACGCCGGGCCGAACAGGTCCGAGCCTCGCCCGGGCGGTCCGACCACTCGCATTATGCCTGCCCTCCCTCCTCTATACCGTATGAGCGACGATACTCGTATAACCGAGTGTATTTGAGTCGGATAAAGCCCACTTTTTTAGGGGATATATATTTAATATATTTAGGTAGCCTTAGAGGAGGAGTATACAAGGTAGGTAACCTTTAAAATATTTAAGATATATTAAATAATATATTTACTAATATTTAAAAAGTACTAAATTAGAGGTTCTTTAATCCGAGCTCCCTGCTAGTCAAGCAACTACTAGGGAGTTACTATTTATAGTAAACTACTCTGAGGACTACTCGAGTACTCAAACCAACTACGTGACTCAACTCAATAATACCTACTACTTATACTCAGCTCAACTCAACTCTAAGTAACTCTGAGTAGTACTCGAGTTGTTGAGTAGTTTGTTACAACGCTGAGGCTAAGCGGTCTCCAGTACAGTAATACAAAGTATACAACGATTATGTATGTATGTGTAGGTAACAAAAAACAAGTCAATTCGACTACAAAACTCTTCCGAAATATTCATTACAAAAAAACGTTCATAAACACAAGTGGTATCACTTCTTACGCCATCTGCAAAAAGTCGGAAGAAAAAGAGAGAAGAGAAGAAATAAGAAAAGAAGACTCCTAATCCATCCCCATTCAGCCGTCAATCATTAAAGACCCCCCAAACCACAAAGGCCCACCAGTTTTCCTACCTCCATCCCAAAATCCTCTACCGTCTCGGCAAATTGTTGGACCCAAATCGAGGTCCTCCCTGTGCCAGACTCTGTCGCACAATCGTTTCCGCCGCCGCCGCTGCGGCAAGTCGTTCTTTCTGTCTACTCCTATCTCGGATGTAGGACGCAGCTTCAGGTCTCATCCGCAGGATTCTCAAGACCATATCGTCACTTGGATCAGCCTGTGCTTCCTTGCGTTTTTCCTCCTTGGCTTTTTTCATGGTGCCCAGGTTGCGGCTCATCATGATACTCTTCGCTCTCTTCATCGACGTCGTGCCCATGAGACCACCAAACGAGGCACCAAGACTGGCAGGAGCAGAGAGACGGTTTCGTTGCGCCTGTGCACGTTGAGCAGTTGCTGATGCCATACGTTCTGATGTGCGAATGAGGTTGTCCGTCGCGTCGAAATAGAAGAAGTTGAGCGATTTCAGTTCATGGTACTTGGAAGACTTCAACACGTCCTCAGGAACACCCAAGACTTCTCCTGTCTCGTCATCCTTTGCATGGAAGAACTCGAAGAGGAGGTCTAGCCATCTGAAAGCAATATCTAGTTCCTGTTGACTGAGAGGCTTCTGTGAGGACGGCTTGTCTGATAGCGGTGGGACGAGCAAGCTCTCAATGGCTAGAAGAACTTCTTTCCACAGTCTGGTCATGACCATAACCATAGACTCGTCCGTCAAAGTCTGCTTCATAATTTGGAAATTATCGTTGAAATAGGTAAAAAGTGGCTGGAGGGCAGTTTCGATCTCTAGAGGCGTGATTGGTGTTGGCATAAGAGATTGTCGGTTCTTCCACAAGCTTGTGACCGCGGCCACTGACATACCGCCTCGAGATAGCAATTGCCGTAGAGCTTCGTGCGAGAGGGATGAGTTAATGTATTGTGAGAGCTATCGATATATTAGTTTTTGTGTGAAATATCACTGTCGCTCGAAATACCTTGTCTGTGATCACTCGTGTCATATCCCGTTCGGTTCGCTTCAGTAGACGAAAAGCTTTACCAAAATAGAATTGAATGTCGTCTCTCTCACCCTCCATGCTAACTCGCAGTAGGAGCCGGCCCTGTGTGTCAAGGTTCAACCAATATTCCCGTGGCATATAGTCGCTGAAATGAGAGGGGTCTAATTTCAGGTTAGTTCTCCCGACGTAGTCGTGATCACCGAATGTATCCCAATCCCACACTGTTGCAATTATCATAATCGCCCCGCCCACAGTGATGTCAACAGATTCGTCCCAGCGCGGATTGAGAGTCCTCATTACAACTCTGGTCTTCGATAGTCTCTTTCCATACTCATCTCCAAGCACAACATAAGGATCGCTAGTACCATTTGGATCGCAAGCCTTGATATCCTCCGCCTCTACTATTTTGATAGTAAAGACATATTTTGAAGGTCGGCGTAGCTTCTCTCTAGGCGGTTGAAACCTAGCTAGAACTTCTGCACAAGCATCGACTTTCATTGTCTTCTCAAGCGTATCAAGCTGCTGAATTCCGTATTCGATATTATTGAGTTTGACGAAGGACTTTACATGTGTTAGCTACGATATCAAGTGATTGGCTAGGTTAGACACTACCTCTGGGTAAAACTGAAATGGCTCGATCTTCTCCTTGTTATTCCAAGCATCCTTTGCAAGCTGCATCCACTTTTCCTGTTTTGTCTGTTGGGCGGCAGCTTCTTGAGCCGGTGATAGTCGATCCATCTCCTTATTGAAAGTTTGATCGAGAACTTCACAGTATCGACCAAGTGCAATTCCAAAGGACTTTGACATAGCTGTCATGAACTTTGCATAGTGAAATTCATTATCCCAGTCCAGCTGGAATATTTTCTCTGCTGTTTGGTTGAAAAAAGTGAATATATCAACAACAGAGGAGCTGTGCCTCTCTGAATCGGAGGGAATATAGTCAGGGTGCTCCATATGAACCTCAAACTTATCTTGCTTGATGGCATTGTCCACAATACCAACCACAGTCTCATCTGCCGTACGAATCCATCGCCAAACAAAGTCTGCCAGAACTTCCTCGATGGGAAAAGCAAATGGCTTCTCAGGCAAAGCAGCCTGATGGATACTTCGGATTTCTTTGAGCTCTTTATAGAGCTCGAATCCATCCTCCAAATCCACTTCTAGTTCCTTAGACTGGGCTACGTGGAGAATCCGCTGGATCAAATCATGCGCATCGCCTTCGAAACTTGGAAACATGGTTTCGATAAGTATGGTTAATGGGTTGACACCCATGATGTCCGGGTTCTTACGATACTTCTTCTGAATTCTCTCACAGAGCTTGACAACAGCCTTTCCAAGTTGTATGACGTGGTAAAATTGCCACTCCTCTTGATTTTGGGGAACCTGGGCCTCTAAATAGTCGCGATAGACACCAGCAGCTCTGGAACGAAGACCTTCTTCGAGCTGAACTCGATAAGACTCCGCTTCTTCCTCACCTTGGAAAAATGAGGGGTCGTTATAAATGTGGTTGTCAAGTATGACCATGATGGGTCCTGGGGAAGGTGGCTTCGGATCATAACAGTGCTGTAACACGTCGTAAAGATCCCGAAGAAGCCCATCATGCAAATTTGATAGTATTTGTCGGTATTGAGCAAAGTCTTGAACCGTCCAATAGTTCTGGTCAATCGAGGATAATCCAGCAGTATGAGGCTCAACCTTGAGACGTTTAGGGTCCGGCGGAGGAAACTTAACGAAGTCGAACGCAGTATCTAGCTGCTCAAGGCCAATTTCTTGATCTAGAAACTTCTGTGCTGCAACATCCAGAAATAATACCAGTCTAGTGAATTGAGGAATGCGCCATCGAAGACATAATTCTGCCATTAGGTCCAACGATGGCCGGGAGAGTAGTTCAGTTGCCACAGGTTCTCCAGAGCCGTCGTTCGATCCTGCGCCCTGGAGGTGGTCAAATGACATGGCGTGTTGCAGTATCAATTTGTAGTAAGATCTTGGATCGGGAGGAATGAACGTGTAGGTAGACTGCTCAAGGAAAAGGCGCCCAGGTTCATCATCCTGTATAGATAAGGCACTCATATCAACAGGCTGGTCAAAAGAGTAAAGGGATGTAGGTTCAATTGGGCTTGAGATGGACTTGGATAAATCTGAATAAGCTTGGTCTTCAGCACTGGTCGAAACCGAATGAACTGGCGGAAGTGGTTTATTCGAGCCCGAAGAGGATTTGACAAGCTCTGGTCTTGCTTGCAATATTTCCGCCATCATATGGGACAGGTCGGGTATCTCGCCCTTCTTCCAAGCTTGGTATGCCTCCTCCAAGTCGAAGTCATCACTCCTAAGAGTGCGTTTTGTGTTGGAGTCCAGGCAATGCTGGTAAGCCTTCAAATCCGTAAGGGCGGCCTCCTCAGTCCAAAGTTTCTTGCTGGCATCTATGTCAGCCTGGACCTGTGAATTTTGAAGACCAAATATTCTGGCCACAGTCTGAACCATTTGCATGTCTTTGACATCGAAACTTAGGGGTGCTACCACTTCAATTGTGGTGCTTCCAGCATTGTCGCTCTTGTTAATGAATAAATCTTGATCGTTAGTCAACAGTTTTTTCTCCAATGTTGCCAGTCGGCCCATCAACTCGGGACGATCTTTATCATTCCCATGATCTTTCAGGGTGTTGCTAATCAGCCGGACAAATAAAGCCACATGGCGATCCACCAAGAGTTTCCATGAATCATCATCAGGGGCCTTGCCCTTCTGAAGGGCTTTGGTTGCGTTTGAGTAAAATATTAGAACCAAATCCTCCACACGTCTCTCTTTATCCATTCGTTTGCGAAAGCCTGTTTCCGTAAATGCGGTATATGCTTCGGCAAAAGTACGCTTCACCGCAGCCTCGTTATATCCCGGCAGTCTCTCGGTACCTATCAGAACGCCTTGAAGTCTTCTCTCTAGGGGTGACATGAATCCATGGGGAAATTTGGCGCTTTTGGTGTCTTTCATTAATGAAAAGTCTTGGATCAATTCCCCTATCATGACCGACTTCCTAGCAGCTATAGGCTTTGGCGCCGAAACATACTGCTTTCTCTTTGCTCGAGGCTGGAGAAGATGGTGGAGGAATGCCACTCGGAGGGCGAATGTGTATGCATCGTTGTAGCTAGGGGCTTTCGTTCGTGATTTGGAGGAGGTATTTCGGCTCAAAGACAGTCGTTTATCATTTTGTATACTCTCGATGCGCCGGTGCGGGCGAGTTCGAGAGGAAGCAGAAGACATGCTGTGATGCTATCGCTTCAGCTGGTTGGGAGGAGGCCAGAAGAAGGAGGAGGGTGTTTTGTTTCGAGATGTTTGGCGGGGTGCGATGTCACTCCTTGAAGCTTGTCGAGTATCTATTCACGTAGGCGGCACAGCGCAGCGCAACGACGTTGGGAATGCAATGCGAAGGCAGGCCCTTCTGCTCGAGTAGAGGATTCACGGTGACGAGAGCGTGGTTTGTCACAAGCAATAGTAGTTGTAGTTACTTGTGACGAATGCATTCGCATGGAGAATAGAACTGAGGTGGTGGTGGGCATTGACCTCATATAGGTTGGGCGGCGACAATCATGGATTTGGGCAGGGGAAGGGTGGTTTTGGCCCCTCGTTGTGAGGCGAGGAGGCGCTTTGCAGCCTTTGCTTTGCCGATCGAGACAAATCGCTTGATGAGATGCAACCCCATGTGCGGCCCGGCGCAAGACGACGGGGTTGGATATGATATATCTTAGACACGGAGTCCATTCAATTATCAAAGAGTCCCTTCAAAAAGACACGAGTTCTATACCTCACAATTTCCGCTGATATTCGGTCCCACCGCGGTTGTGACGTATCTTGTTACTAGTGAGCTTGTGTCGAGCGCCAAAAACAAGCTTATCCCCGTTGACGATGTATCCAAACTTCTGCCATGTGAAGTGAGGCTATACACATCTACTTCATACAAGGAGAAATACGGAGTAAGCTATGGAACCATGGTGTGGACACGAAGACGTGCAGTGCAGCTGTGCTGTACATAGAAGTACTTTGTGACCTTGAGGATGCTACTCTGAAGTGGCTTTCCGTCTAATAATAGATGCACCTGCATCCTTAAGCGTATGGTCCGAGGTCTCATAGTCTCATAGTCTCATATTCATAGGCTCATAGTCTCACAGTCTCATAGTCTCATAGCCCCATAGTCTCATAGTATCAGGCCTAGTACAGTTACAGCCATAATTCTCTCAAAGATTGCCAACACCGCTCGTATGCAATCTAGTGTTCTCCTCTCGCCTTGATGGAGATTTTCTCCTCGTACCTCGCATCTCCAAAGTCTCTCCTGAGACTCTTATATTGAGATTGGCTCGCTTGATGCCTCCGTAACCTTCACAAGAAGCCGTATGGGAGAATAGAGCCTACACTAGCTACTACCAGCCCAGCCTCCCAACCTCTCTCCTTCAATCAAGTGCCTACCTAAATTAGGTACCTACACTACTGGTACATGTCCAATACTCCGTAACGCACAGAGATGCAGCCGCCCTTGAATTTATACTTTCCGGCTAGGGCTCTCCCTCTCCATTCCCATTGGCAGTTCCCCAGGCAGTTCCACTCACGTGACATCGCACAGACCATTCTCCTCCTGGCCCCGTAGGGACCAAGTAGTTGTGATGGGCAACCGCTCCCATAGGCGAGTTGATACCTCTCTAGTAGTTCCGTTCAGGTCTACCTGCTCGTACATCACCAACTACCACTACCTACGATACAACCTCGCCTTTTATCCACCCGTCCTAGCACAATTCCCACGCGGCGCTATGATCTTCTAAATACCACCGCTACCCGGAATTTTATGGTCTGCCCTGTAAGAAGCTTGCTCCAGCTTGGGGCGACCCAGAGTGAAAGTACAACGCTCGAAACACCGCAGCTCATCTTCCAGCAGGACCGAGAACTATTATGACCGCCGACCTGCCGGGTCCTAATCTTGCACCTAACGACTCGCTGCCTGATGAACAATTGATTACCGTGCCCAAAACTTCCGCTGCCTGCCAGCCTCTGAACAAAATGAAGTCGAACGGTTATCCCGAAACCCATGAGGTTCCTCTGCCGGAGTCGGAAGCTGTTGAGAAGAATACAAAACTCGGTATTGATGCGAGATCCAAAATCTCAAGCCTACTGAAGGATAGAGAACAGGAATGGACAGCGGTAGCAAAGAAAGAGGGACCGCTTCAACTACTGGATTTGCCCATGGATGTGCTGAAAGAAATTGTGAAAGAGGTAATGTTTGGAGTGAGTGGTATACACAATTCCTAACTAACTTAGTATAGGTTACTCATACAAACGATCTGACTGCCTTAGCACTTACCCATTCTGCTCTGCATAACCTTGCCATCCCACATATTTATTCGAGATTCGACATTGTATGGCCTGACGCCCACGCCACGAATGACCCCAGAACTGGGGTTGATGCCCTTACCTATGGACTTGCAACACTTTGTATGGGAGACACATTCTCACAACAAACCCCTGACCAGTCATTTACTTGTTTGAACTGCGGAACTGTCAACTCCACCGATTGCACCCATAGTCTGATAGCGGCTCCAGGGAATGGCCAAAGACGATTGGGAAATCAATATCCACAGTTTACAAGAAAGTTTTCATTGGGAAATGGACCTGCTGATTGGGTACAGGAATACCTAATTACCAAGGAGAGCGGGAAAATGTTGGGAACACTTGTAGCCTTAGCCGTGGCTAGGATGGTAAATTTGGAGGCATTTGTTTGGGATATGCCAACTGGTGTTCTGACAGATGTGTGGCTTGCTCTCTCGTCCCTAGAATCTAGGAGTCCAAACAAAGAATGCCGATTGGAGCGGGTTTGGGTTAGGTGGCATGATAATTCTGAAGCTGCGAATCCTTCTGCTCCTCCTGCTCCATCCAATAATCCCCAGCAGATGTTTTCGGGGAGTACCATGACATCTGTTGGTTGGACAGTTCCTTTAGGATCTTCAAACCCTCCACCCCTTCGAGCGCTCGCCCAGAGTCATGTTGAATACCCAACACTGAGCGTTTTGCCTCCGCTCAAGAGTCTGTCGGTACTGGATATCGATGAGCTAGACTACCTCGATGAAATGAGTGTCTTGATCGCAAAATCAAAAACCCGCCTACGTGAATTGAGGGTTGGCATAGCTGCAAAAGCTGTCACTCGGGAATTTGCCATTGCTTGGGACGGACAAGACTTGCAGCAGGTTGACCATAAGGCACAGTGGCCAGGCGCCAGCACTATTGGGGAAAGACGGCTGGGAGGTGTTTTAGGGATTCTCTTGGGCCGTATATTCGACATCCGCAAGAAACCACGAGCAGCCAAACCTGAGAAGAAAGATGCGATTGCAGTGGCCTCATCTACACCGATGCCGATTGAAGCTCAACACATAGAGACCGAAGTACCATTTCCAATCGACATGTCAAATGGAGAGAGCCTGGGAAATCATAATGTGCACCCTACAGAGACTTCTTTGGAAGAAGACTGGGCTGGAAAACAAAACGTTTTAGCTAATGAAGGTACATACAACACCGGTGCCCATCATATAACGGATCCGACTTTCACAAGCATGCCTCTCGACCCAGTACAATCTGATATTGAATCGCTCAATGCATTGATTTCTGCTCACGGCCTTCATGCCACTCCTAACGAAGAGAGCTTTGCTGACTTGCAACCGGTTACTGGCACAGATCCCACTTTGAGACGAGTGCCAACGCAAAGTCAGAAACAATCTCATTTTTCAGAAAATCACTCGGCAGAGCGAGAACGGCTTGATGGGAGATTGAGATTACAAACGTTGGAATTGGAACGCATTCCATTGTCTGTGTCGGTTCTCCAGAAGGGATTTGACTGGTCTGTCCTAACAAATTTGACCATACTGGATTGTCCACAGCATGACAGACTATGGGTGATGCTGCGGAGACACTTCCAGCCTACGCCCATTGGCCCAGGCCACTCATCGAGACATAGTTCCAGCGCCATGCAGTATCATTTAAACTTGAAGAAAATTCACACCGATGCTGCATCTCCATCGCTCATCTCGTTTCTGAAGGAGACTCTAGCACCGAATACGTTGGAGACTCTCTTCCTACAAGACAGGAAACGTTCAAGCGCCACCAATGTCACGATTGTAAGCTGGCTCTTTTCGTTTAAGGTTTGACAACAAACTAACCAAAGATTCTTAGGATGCAATATATAAAGGACCATTAAAGAGACATCGTGCCAGTTTGAAGAAATTAATGCTCGACAGTTCAGACAAGATACCCCGAGGCCCAACAAGTTCATCAGAAAGCTCAAGATATAGAGCTTGGATGCCAACCCGCGATGTATTGAGTTTCATTACCAGCGGTCGGATGTCTAGTTTACGAGAATTGAGCATTGCTATTGATTACAAGGATTGGGTAAGATATTCCCCTTTCTTTCAAAAATGTGATTGGAAGCTTACGCTGGTTAGCATCATTTTCTTCAACGCCTGTGTCAGATTCCTCATCTGCGATCCTTGAACGTTCCTTTTATTGCAGACCATGTTACGGCGGCTTTCGTTCCGCGAGAGCTGGTAATGCAAGTAATTGATGTTATACACTTGCGACCGGAGGTTGAGCTCTGCTACATTGGTATATCCGATAAATGTTTCGAGATCCTTGAAAACCGCTCCAGCGATGAAACGCATGGCTCTACAGATATGGGGCAAAGCATATTGGCTGATGGTCCCGAGGGGGCTGATGACGAGGATGAGGACGAGGACGAAGGAAGCGAGGATGATGAAGACGAGGAAGAAGACGAGGATAACGGGACCGCCACGGCGGCTGTTGACCCCGATGAAACAGAATCCGACATGTCAGATCACGAGGATTCGGATTCGGATTCTTCGGATGGTTCCGACGATGGGCACTCTAAAATTCGTCTTCGACCAAGGGAAATTCTGTTTTATGATGACAAAGTAGCTATATTCAAAGCTCGTCACGGAAAGCTATAATCGCCGGGTTGTGGGGAGGGGGAAAACGTAATGGAGTCATTTACATGTACAACTTCTGGAGTTCTTGAGCGCATTGGTAAATTTGCACTCTATTGCATTGCCAGAGGCATACCAAAAAACGGGCTTGGGCTAGGTGGGGTGGGTCTTGCAAGCTGGAGTTTTTTCTATTTGAAATGGTGACTAAAGCGACACCTTTTGTAAAGCTGGGAAGTAACCAGGCACATGGGTGACATAGTTAGGGATACACGTATGATACCCACTGGGTTCAGCGCATGGATTGATTCTACATGAATTGGACATAGGCTCTTTGCTCTTTATGTCTTTGGTGTTTCTCCAAAGTTGTATTGTTTTTATAATAATGTATTGGATTCAAGCGATTTTATGGACGGTCTTGGGTGGACTATTTGCGCTGTGTGTGATATCTTGATTATTAGACGTGTCTTTTGTAGGCAATCTTTGGATGTGAGATTCTGTTCTTACAGTTCACGAAGTTCGCTCTATGGTTGTTTTGGCTTGTGGTGGTCACACTTTCTCTCTCTTGCTGAAGCCATCTCATTCAAACACTCCCCACATGATTGAATTGCTGTCAATAAGAATCCAGTTAATAATAATCTAGTGAATACGAATCTAAAAGAATATAGTAAGTAAGAATTCAGTCCTCCATTACGCAGTTAATTCGCAAAAAGATAATCATCTCACTGTAGATCAGCTCTTCGACGGCAAGTTCTTCATCATCTACGCTGGATAGAATCATATACAGGGTATTCATCCTGCAGTCTTTTTTTTGGTGACTTGATATGTCTACAGAATTTTACATAATCGTGGACGTTATATATAATATTTGGGATGTGGCGAAAGATGACTTCGGATATTGAATCAGAGTCTAGGGTAGGAGACTGAGATGCTCTTTTTGTATTCTCTTGGGTCGTGTTAGGTGACTGGAGTAATCATAGACGCTTAGATACTTATGATACGTACATGTAGTTGGATACGAGACATGGATGCATTTGAATATCTCCGGGGCTGATATAGGCATGGTAGTTGTGAGAGAATCGTGTGATATTGCTTGTGTTAGGTATTCTTCTATTCACAGTCACTGAGGTATTTTGTGATAGAAAATCCAGGAAGACCAAGCCTGAGAACAATCCTTACAAGCAGTCTCGACTCTCGAGAGAAATACGTTCTTCACTCCCTGATTACCCTGGACCAATTGGATAACTTACAAACCATTATCTAAGTCATCGGAATCGAGATTCGAGGCCGAGACTGATGGAAGCCCTGAAAAGATTCCTTTCCTAATCTATGGAAGGGACTGAGTTTAGGTGATATATCCTTCCTTCACGATGGATTGAGAAATTTCGACTCTTCACATGAGAAAGAATTACAGTAACGCCGAAGAAAACTCGGTGAAATAAGGTTGGCGACAACACACAATTAAAAGCTAAGCATTTGTTTATTAGAAATTTCCCATTGGGCTCGGCAAAATAAAGAGTCTGGATGAATTCTATAATTTATTCGTATGTTAAAGGATGGTTGGTTCGCTACTGTACTACTTTACTTATTTTATCCCCATGGAGATAGCTTGAATAAGGTAACCATCCAGGTCGAAGTCGGTGAGATCAAGCATCAACGGTTCCCTCCTTTCTTGTTCCAGGAACTTTATTTAATTAAGGCCTATACCTAGTGGGTGGATGGAACCTGGAATCAAAGGGTGTATTTTTAGTGGAAATAAGCAGTTTGCAGTCGTCCTTGGGGACAAGTTGGACCAATGGTTATCAATACGAGAAGTTATCCACATTATCTTTTTCACTGCGCTGTGAAAGCTCTACGGCAGCAACGGAACGTTCATAAGGAAGTTTGGGAAGCTTTGCTTGCGAAGGGGGGAATTCAGGCGGGCTTTTGTTGAAAGTCCCCTAATAATATTTGGTAAGTCTGATACTTCGGTTGTGGTTAGCTGGGAGTCTAGGATGGTAGAAGTGATTGCTATTCATTTAGCAAAATAGATTGCTTCGTTATTGAGATGTTTGTTGGCGCGATTATAAGTGTAGGCAGCGGAACTCTTTGGAATGAATTGAGGAGTTATCTTGCTGGTGATACGTAGCTAGGGTTTATAAAAGGAATCAACCTTTGCGGTATAGCTTTTGTATTTAGGCAGCTATGCTTTATAGGTAGAGAACGAGAGGATTAAAATTACCTATAGAGTAGCTAGTTCGTAGTAGAGCTATATAGTACTATAGTTATAAGATTCTAGGTATGTTTTATTAATTTACTACTTATTTATTTAATTTTTCCATATTCTCTCGTATAATAACGTTTTATAAAGGGGTTTTGATTAAATATTTTAATAATATATACATAATTTTTTTTTAAAAAATGTATTTATTCTATTACTTTATTTATTTTAGTTATTAGTATGAATTATAATTATTTAAGATAGAAGAAAGAATTGATTATATATATTAAAATATTAAAAGTTTTATATTCGAGGTTTTTATTTACGCGAGAAATAATAAACTAACCTTTGATTTCTATATAAAATCTACTTAAATTAGACTAGTTTTCAAGGTTAGCTCTTACCTAAATAAATTCCCGACTATCTATTAAGATATAAAATAACACGAGATAGTCGCGTTTCCGTCCCTACTCCTAAGCGAGAAAGACCTGTAGTAAACATTGATGCTACTAAAATTACTCTAGTGCGGCATTTACCCATTCTCCCGTGTAACATGAGGTGCTTTCCTAAGCCATCAGTGCAGCTTATGGAAGGAAATGTGTATGAACAATGTGACAGAAGATTATTCCATCCATTGTACCACGAGCGGGAGTAGCTCGTGATGGCTCGTGATCGGGATGAACAAGACGCTGGTTTAGGGAATAGAAGCAAGGGCGAACCAGGGATGCCGGACTAACTCAAGATCTTGAATTCGAAAAGCCTTTTTGTGGCCGACAAGTTTTTTTTTGGTGATGAAATGCCCGAACATTGGCGGATATTCACATGGATTTCGCGGGTTTGTCGAGGGGAAAAAAGATTGAAATCGAGCGATTGCGAGAGCTATCGGAGATCAGATAGATGGGTGTATTTGTGAATTTGTAGATATTTGAATGGATCGACCAATGAGGTTCTGGTCTTATTACGTGCAGGAAAGGGATGCAGGTTACGTCAAGAAGAGCTCGAATTGGAGGGATTAAATTCTACGGCGTGCATGGAGAGTGTAGGTAACGTATCAAATACCGTACCGTCGTACCCGCCAAGGACTGTGTGCAAGGCGAATGGGATATTGGGAAAAACATCGGATATTTTTTTGTTCTTTTTTACTTTTCTATTTTTCTTCAACATTTCATGATGGAGGGCGATATCGGATGGGGCCAGTAGATTTTGACTCTTCTGGGATGGGATGGTAGAGAAGAATTATATCATAGAAGAGGAGAATTATGGGATTTGGACCAATAAATGGTGTAGGACAAGGATGAAGCGAGTAGTTTGATGCGTGGGGAGGCAAGCGGAGGACTGTGATTCATTTCAGAGCAAAAAAATATTCAAAGGGTGTGGGTGCGGAGTTCTCAACGTAAATTTACCATTTATGATTTGGAACTTTGAATTTGCAGTTGAATAACAACGAGTACCGAGACCTTTCTTCCTTATTGGCGTTTTGGTTTCCATTTCGCCAACCTTTTCCTCTGCGGTGCATCTGAGCGGATGTTGCCGAAGTTGGCTTGAAATGACGTCTTATAAATGATTCGCCGCCGGCTGAAGAAGAAGCAACCATTGGTGCATGGAAGCAACTATTCTTCTTGTTCACTGCGCCCCGGCCTGGTCACACGGTCTAGAAGAAGGCGACCGAGACCAGCCAGTCTTCGCTAGAGTGATAAGAATAGTTTTGGTAGACACAGTTATAAGATAAGTTATTTCCCAATATCTGAGATCGGACTGGCTGACCAAGACAAATCGGCTTAAGAGGAAAGGGACGGGGTTCGGACAGCTACAGGGCCTTGAAGACGATCCTATCGGAGAGAATTGATCGCAAAAACACAGGGGAGGCATGTAAATTCAGCCCCTTCAAGGTCCCGGACTTCCCATGATACTGCTGAAAAGCACTAAAGCGCCCGGGCCCCTCCTGCACAAAGCAACAGCTTGCAGCATGCAAGATCCGAGAAAATCAACAGTTTGACGGTGGTCGTGGTCTGGTCGTGGAATCTTGAGATGGCGTGAAGCGAGAGGGCAGTCGCAGCCAACGGGCAAGTCAGGTTGCGTTGCTTTTGCCATCACATCACGGACAGAATTCTCGATTGGCCTTTTGCCTTCTGAGTCCTGACACGCTGTCCTCAGACACCAGACACTGGAGCCCTTGAAGTCGTCATACATGTAAACTTTGGAGGGGAAGAAAGAATTGTTCAACCCTGAATTAGATCTGTGGCCCGTGACCATGGGTGATTCTTCTGTTTTCGTGAGGGAACCCGCTCAATCGCTTAACCCGGGGCAGAGGTGGTGCCGACCACACCAGATCACGGAGACGAGACAGTGATCATTTTGCCAAAGTGCGGAGGGGCGAGTAGAGTCGCACGTTGCTGGAGGCTTTCCTTTTTCGGTGGTGTCTTGACCAGAAGCGTACAAGGCCTGTCAGGGCCACTGATCACTCTCATTACATACTACATAGCCGCATGGTAGGGTAGCATGTGCTGTACGAAGTACTGTAGCATGTATCAGGTACAAGTACAGTAGTACCACAATTTCCTGACACTTTTATTGTTTGTTGAGTGTTGAAGCTCTTCAGACTTCAGCATGCTCAGTCCGGTCGCTGGATGAGGCCCGCACCACAGCTAAATGAGCTATATTCCGTACCCTCCCTACCCTACCCTACCTCAGCTCGGCAACCTCAGGCGAAGAGATCCTAGGCGAGCTTTTTAGCTTTGATGCCAGCTCTTAAATGTGCATATAAGACACCCACCAGGTGAACCATACTGCAGGTATCGTACTGTTCCTCGGTCTCGGTGTCATCACGAAGGTTGATGCTTTGGGCAGAGGCAAAGAGAGGCAAGTGCAGAGGCAAAGGCAGGCAACTAGAGACACCTAGACATTTAGACACCTAGTGACCTAGTGACCTAGCGACCTAGCGACCTAGACGGCTAGCCACCAATAGCCACCAATGGCCCTCGTACAGTAGCAACAAGACTACTGTAGCTAACTCCCAAATCGAAGCCAAACACGATGCACGAAGCGAAGCGATGCGAGGCGAGGCGAGAGGCAGGTGCAAATCAAATCAAATCAAATCAAATCAAATCAAATGGGACAGCTCTCCCTCTGCTCCTCCCTCTGACCAGCGCCCCCCGGATCTGACTTCCCTCCTCACTCATCCAGATCACGGCCATGGCAAGATCATGCCGTCTCCGCCATATTTCTGTAAGGTTCTGTAAAACTCTAAAAAAGGGCACTTGGTGGGTTTGGGTTAGTAAACTTGGTCATGGACCCTCTCTGGCCCTCCTCCCTCGTTCTCGCCCTGATCATCGCACCAGCCCGCTACCCCTACACACTACCCTTACGCTACCCTTCCATTACGCTACGGCTACGGGGACCCACGCCCACGCTCGTCTTGCCCTCCTCTCACTCACCCATACCTAACCTACACGCCCCCCCTCCAAATTTCTCTTCTCCCACCCATCCCACATCATCTCTCTCATCCCTGGATTTCGTTCTGCAGTCCTTTGCGTCAAGTTGTTTCTCGTGGATCTCTCTGGCCTTGTGTTCTTCGTCGACCTTTGTTTTCGAATTTGCTGCTTTCTCTCGGGATTCCAGTTCTTCCAGCATAGTGAGTGGCCCGCATCAAATTTCTGTGAAAGTCCTGCCCCGGTGGTCGTGGTGGGTGATGGTCCTGGTGCTGCGCTTCTACCGACTGCTGGCTGGCGCAACTGGGCACATGCCGGAGCCGCAAATCGCAACCCATCGTCACCATCACAATCCCAACAGATATCCTGACTCTCCCGATACCCCTCATTGTTTGCACGTTGGGCTGGCCATGGACGCCAACAACGTTGCCATCATCGATATTGTTGCACATGACGGAGAGCTTGCACTGTTGAGGAAAGTGCATTGGTGCTTCTGGCGCATTCTCTTGGAATCGGTTCGCGATTCTCAGCAATGCGCGTTTGTTGGCAAACCAGGCGCTTACCCTACCAATACATGCGAACAGTTCATCCGTAGAACTACAACTGCGGGCACAGTGCTTTACAGTTCTTTGATCTCATGCGGGGCGACAATTGACTGACATTTGCTCTGGTCGCAGATTTGAATTCATCCCTAGCGACCATCCCATCCCTTCCAGCGAAATCCTATCTTTACCGCTCTCACTCTCTCGAATTTTTGCAGGCGCAAGCGTTGTCGTAATCTCGAGGCGATTAGTTTTTGCGGTCTTGCTTCCAACTCATCTCCGCTGCACCTTACGACTTTCACGAAGGCGGTTTTAAATATCTTCAAGCAGGTGTTGGATTTCTGAGGTGAGCCATTACCGTCTATTTTCTCTATAGCCTGTCAGCGGAGGTCCTTTCATAAGCGCAAAAAATGGAAGATTGAGGCCCAAGACCTACACACCAACTGCTCAAGATTGATCGATGGATTCAAAGAGTACCTGTTATTCGCCCAACCCATGAGCTCACTTTGTCCTTCAAGCCACCGGGACTCTTTCATATAGTTCTGGAAATTTTGCTGGAAATTTGTTGAGTATGGGTTGCGTGAATCGATTCCACTGTGGCAGTGCCTTTTGGTAAAATTCTATGAACGAGGTTTGAATGCAGAAGCTTCATAGCCTTTTACCATTGGACCTCCTTTTTGAATTTCTTAAGGGAGACGCGTCGGTCTGGAGCCTGATGTTCCTTTCCGGTCTGATCTGACCCATATGCTCGCTGAATACGGATATCACATTGTTTGGTATCAGCAGTGGAGTATCGAAAGATGTTTTTCTCTCCCATGTGTTTGAATACCTCTGCAGATGGGGTGATGCTCCTTATCTGGGTAGTGAAATGTGTGGATAATTCACACTGTCCTCCTAGTATGCTCCATGCAATTGCAAAATATTGCGGAAGCGTAAATTAATAGCTTCTTCCAATATCTTGAAATCATGGCGCTGGAAGCGAAGTTTCGCTTCTATGGTGGTTGCGAACCCAGCGTAATTCACCAGAACGTTGAATAATTTCGTGGATATCTGTTCACGACATTATCAAGTGAATGCGGGGTATCAGGGGAGCTGGGAATTGGTGTTTACCTTCACTGCGAGTCACTATGCTGGGCGAGCGTGGCAGTCTGGCAGCAACGACACGGAGAACGCCTTTGCGCACTCTTCCTTGATGGTGTTGTCCAGTCCTATTTCGTATTGAGTTGCGTCGTATTCCACACTTCGCAAAGCTATGCCCCACCGCGGGGTAGTAGCGCTCAAAGATCAAGTCCAATCGCGTCACTCCACCCAGCGTCCAAGCTGCATACTACCTTACGTTGTTTGCATTCTTCTCCTCTCAGCTTCAGCATTGAATCCGTCGCATGCTGCTATGGCGAGTTAGCTGGGTTGCATATGCAAGATTCTTGTCTGGCCAACATATGGTGGAACCAACTTACAATATGAGAGAACTAGCGTACTCTTCATGTAAGACCATTCTTTATCCTCTGGGTGGTGGTGATTCTACCTGGGGAAGATTCTGTTCATCTGCGCGTATCCTTGACCAGTAATTTCTTGCGTTGGCCTCCTGTTTTTGCATCAGGGGGAAAGTCGGCTATTTGAGCACAGACTCTAATGTAGCAACTCTAAGTGGTCAAGTGAACAACACCATCCGTCACTCATTGAAGCTCTTTTCAACTTTCCCACAATATCATATGAGCACAAACAATAGCATTGTGGGAAGGCCTCACCTTCATTCCTGAATTCTGGCGAGTGCACCGTGTCCTCCGGTCCGCGGCCGATTACCAGGAAGGCAGCCCCACAATTAGCGCGATTCGTCATCTCCTCGACCACCAGGACGTGTTTCGCAACCCCCTCATTCACACTTCTTCCATTCACACACAACAACCTCCCGTCTGCGCGATGACTCCAGTCTGGACAGTCTGACTTGAAATTTGTGCTGATCAACGTGAATAGATCTTGCGTTTACTTTCGACCTCGTTTCGATCTTCTTTAAACTTCCAACCTTCCTTCAAACCTCTTTCACAACCACAAGCGTCAGCTTTTACCTTCGTCGCCATACAACATGGCCTTCCAATACGACCCAAACCAACAGGGCCAGTTCCAACAGGAGAATAACGGCAACGGTATGCAGCAACAAGGCCCGCCACCACCGCAAGGTCTTCCGCAACAACAGCCTGGCCAGCCACTCATGCAACAGCAACCAGGACAAGATGGCGGCTCTCCTGCTCCGTTCGCTCAACAAGGCGGCGTTGAAGGTTCTTCTGGCAGCGTTACTGGTGATGCAAAGACCACACTCTGGTATGTACAATTTCTTTTCTGCTCGTCTCAGGTTCTCTGGGCGCTTCCTTCTTCAGATCGTGATTTACTATGAGTCACGACGCGGGAAATAATGAAGTCTCTCGATCTGCTTGAGTCACTTGCCCCGCACTGGATTTATTGCTGACTTGGGCCGTCCAGGATGGGCGAGTTGGAACCCTGGATCGACGAAAACTTCATTCGCTCGGTCTGGTTTGGCATGGGTGAGCAGGTTAACGTGAAGATGATCCGTGACAAATTTTCCGGGTAAGCCATCGTCCCTTCCTTGATCACATGAACTTTATTGATTTGCTCTATAGCAACGCAGGCTACTGCTTCATCGACTTCGCTTCCCCCGCTGCAGCAGCTAAGGCTCTATCGCTCAACGGCTCAATGATCCCAAACACATCCCGACCATTCAAACTCAACTGGGCTTCGGGTGGTGGTCTAGCCGACAGACGGTCAGAATCCCGGTTCATATTCCTTGACTCGCAAACGCGCTTCCATACAGAATCACTGCTAACTGTTTAATAGTGATGATCGTGGTCCCGAGTACTCCATCTTTGTTGGCGATCTTGGACCGGAGGTCAATGAATATGTTTTGGTCTCCCTCTTCCAAGCCCGCTTTCCTTCTTGCAAGTCTGCCAAGATTATGACCGATCCCATCTCTGGCATGTCTCGTGGCTATGGATTCGTCCGCTTCGCTGAGGAACAAGATCAACAACGCGCTCTTACAGAGATGCAAGGTGTTTACTGTGGTAACCGCCCCATGAGAATCTCCACAGCCACTCCCAAAAACAAGTCTGGTGGTGCCGGCCCAGCTGGTATGCCTTTGCCAGGTGCTATGGGTGGTGTTGCCGGTGGTCCTGGTATGGGTGCCCCAGGCATGTACTCCATGGGTGCCCCAACTCCAATGGGTGCCTACTATGGTGCTCCTCAACCAATGAACCAATTTACTGACCCCAACAATACCACCGTATTCGTCGGAGGACTCTCAGGTTACGTGACCGAGGATGAGTTGCGCTCTTTCTTCCAAGGTTTCGGTGAGATCACCTACGTGAAGATCCCACCAGGAAAGGGTTGTGGCTTCGTCCAATTCGTTCAACGTCACGCTGCCGAGATGGCTATCAACCAAATGCAGGGCTACCCAATCGGAAACTCTCGCGTTCGTCTCTCCTGGGGCCGTTCTCAAAACAACTCTGGACCTGCCGGCACTCCTTATAGACCAGCACCCCCACCACCCCAATATCAATCCATGGGCATGCCACCAGCTCACAACCCCTATGGAAACTTTCAACCTTTGCAGGTGAGTTACAGCCAAATATATTTTAAGATTTCTCGGTGCTAACATCGCCCCAGTAAATCATTCATACGTGTTTCGCAAAACGGAGTTTGTTCTAGCGTCCATGGAGTTTTCTGCTCTTGAATTTGCCTCATTTTGACGGCTTCACTTCTGCGCGTCCAATGCCTGGATAGCTGTTTCTCCTCTTAGCGTTACTTGAAAAGTATCGGATGGGTGGGGATCTGCATTTTCCGCGATGCCCATGTACAAAAAGTGCATTAGATATCCTTTCATGCGTTCACGAAGGATCTATCACGCGGTGCTTTTCTTTCCTTTTTTCTCTTTCCTTTCACATTATCATATGTATGCTCATGAGGCTCACGCAGCGGCTTTTTCCTCAGCTATTCTTTCCATTTCTAGCGGATTTAATCTGCAATCAGGAAGGGATCTGTTATTTCGAAAGAAGTCTTCATACATCACGGCTTACTAGAGCGCGTTTACGCATCGGAACTTTGCTTGTTTTTCCTTTCCTTTGTTTTTTTCTTTTCCGTTTTCAATCACCAATTCGCTTGAAGAGGCCGTTTTTCAAGAAACGCTTCACCTGGCCAACAATCAAAAGTTCTTAGACTCTCTCTGCAACATCAACAACAACGCCAACTCGTCACAAACTTTCAAATTTCGGAGAGCGAGCCGAACTTTTCATTTCTGCTGGCTGTTTTCTTACGAGGCTACCTTCCGCTGAAGGAGGGGCACACGATTATTTGCTTCTGCTTCATAGGGAATTGACGGAAACACTTTGTATCTTCTCCTTCTCGTTCTTTTCTTTCTTTCGTCGGTTTGCCTTGCCTCGTTGATTACTAAGGTTACTCGTGTTTTTTGCGGGCGGCGCAAGGGGATGAAAATGCATGGATGCGAGAACCTCGATTGAGAGTTTAGCTAGGACTTGATACAACAATGATATTTTCGCTGCTTTTAAATGTTTGTTTGCGTCTGCTAGCGGTGATTTTCCTCCTTCTTTTTCGCGAAAAAGTATGTAAATATCTGTGATGTGCTTCTTTCGCCGTGTACTTTAGTTTGCTTGATTGGTTGGTTTGGTAATTCGCTTTTGCGTGCTTTGCTAACATGTTCTATTTGTCTATATTGCGGAGTTTCTCCTTGGGCTTTGGAGTTGGACTCTGTTAGGCGAAGATGACGGCGAAGTAGATCGCCATGCAATGAGTAGCTGATATTTAGGAGGTTGGGATCGCTTTTGTGGTAAAGGTACTGGGTGGAGTGATGGGTTGATATCAGATTAAGGTGTGTGCGTTTTACGAGAAGAAGCAAGAGGCCTATCTTCACAAATTGATACCCCATAGTTTGAATGAGATCGAAAAACTATTGTGTTGAATACCAGTCCTTCTTTCCTGGTTCGTGGCTCATGTCCAGTTCATGTTCTGTCAATGGTAGAGGGTAGAGTGAGTTGCTACTCTGATTGGTTTAATAAAAATTTTGGTTTTCTCTCCCTACCTACTCGTAAGTTATCTCAAATAACTCTTTCGAATTTTACTTGGTAAGTTTTATTCGCTTGGACTGACTTGAGTGCCCTTGGAAATAGCGCTGGTTGGCTATGTGGAATGAGAGGGATGGGTTGTTGGTGAATTTCCTACTGGGCTCGACATTGTGAGATTGAGGGATCACATGAGCATTTGGGTAGGAACGAGATTTGAATTAGAGAGGGGAATGGGGAATTGGAGAGGATCTGAGGATATTCAAGTACATGTTATTCACTTCTTATGAGCACCCTTCACCTCACCCCAGAATAAAGGTGTGATACGAATGGAAAGAGGGAGTGTTACGTGAAGGTGAATTAGTATCAAGTTGCGTAGCTGTGAATGGACAAAGTGGCTGGTAGTTTGGGATGTAACAATACAACACTAGCGACTGAGAGCACTTTAGGAATTCTAGTCACAACTTCTACTCAAGTGAGGTAATATTAAAGATCTGATTTTGGGAGTTCTTGAAGGACAAGGGTGGTGAAAGTGGACATCATTCATTCAAACCAGATTTGGAATGGGAGGAAATTGGTGATGGATGGTTAGTGGCTTGCTTGCTTGCTTGCTAGTGTTATTTTTCAATAGTTTACAAGTCAATAATAAGGAATTTGATTTTTAAAAAGGGAGGAGAATTGAAGCTGCACTCGTTGTCATTCTGGAATGTGAATTAATATTGTCTTTAAGCTGAATGCTTCTTGGTCTCTGTAACTTGGAGCAGATATTGGATTCGAAAGTAAGATTCTGGTTCAAAGAGGATACGGGTATTTGGGGTATAGGACGTATGATGGATGTTGGATGATGATCTGAGTGTAGAAAATTGAAAGTGTGGATATGAAAACCCCTATCTTGACGTCAGATTATGTAGTCCCTGTAGCTCTCCTTTTTATTAGTAGATACAAGCTACGAGGACCTTTGTTCTTGTGACTACCAAGGCTAGGCTTTTGATTTCATTTTTGTAGAAGGGTTTAATAACATGTTGTCAATGGGCTATAAATAAGTGAGGAACGCAGACTGGTGGTTTTGGACTGAGTAGTAGAAAGATACACAACATGGCTGGCTGATTGGATGTGACTCACATGTCCCTTTAAATTTTCATTGATACCTGACTGAGATGATCTCTACATTGTAGATCTGATATATAAGAGTATCTCAGCTGTAAAACACGGGCATCTTAGTCGATTTTGTGTTCGTCGGTCTTGCCGTTCATTCGAACCAGATTTAGTAATTTTTGTAAAACCAAAATTTGAGGGAAAAAAGTAAGCAACAATCTAGCACTACCCACTCCCTGACCCAAAGACTAGCACTCAAGAACTTTGGAATTCGTTGTTTCTAGTTCTCTTTTCCTTCACGTACACTACGCCGCAGACAAAGTAACAGCGAATAATCATCTCATGGTTTTACTTTTCGAAGCTTATTGAACGATCAACCTGGATGCTTCGAAGAATCATTTCATCTGCTTGAAAACGCTCTGTTAAATATCTTGGTCATTTTACTTTTTTGGATTAATCTGAATTAATGACTCTTTCTGCTATCACTTTCTTGTCTACTGGGGTCTTACGTTTTGTCCTCTGGTTGGTACTTCAAGTATACTAACTCAATTTCCTGATCCTAAGCAATATCCGTCTGAGTATTTGAATTAGCCCTAGCGGAGAATTTTATTGCAGGTCAAATAATGCAAGGTGGAGTAGACGAATTCAAACATATCTACTCTATTCTGAAAGCAAGTGTATACTTACAATATCGTGACAGATACTACACATACTCAACCAGTTAAACCCCACCTCCCCCCTCCCCCAAAATTCAATTCAATTCAACCTAACAGCTTTACAGACTCTGTGCCGTTCCACACAAATCGCGTGAGCTCCTCTTACAGATTTCACTATTCCACTGACTAACGTTACAACGTACGCTCATTTTCAGAACCATCTTATACCAAAAGGCACGATTTAATGGGTCTCTCAGGTATTTACCATAATCCATAGGATAGATCTGTCAGATACCATTGTTACAGAGAAGGCTGCAACCAGGCTACAGGAACGTCCGAGGATTTAACTTGATTCGGAATATTCATCTGTACATGCGGGGATCTGTGACGATAGTCGTAAATTAGAGTTATCTTGTCATCGAACCGTAACTTTTCAGCACAACTCGCCAGAATAATAATTTGATGCGAATGATATATGGTGTATTAATATGGTAGGCTCTAGAGCCTAAAGTCTATACTCCTCATTCTATTCGCCTACTTCCTTGTCTTTCTAGCATGTTTCACTAGATTCTCAATCACCCCCTCAAACGCCTCTCTATCCCCGAGTTTTTCATCTGTTCTCTTCGTCCAATAATCCAGCACCTCCTTGGCAGTAACCCGCATAGCTTCCAGCTTCTTGACATGCCCTTTCAATTCTTCCGCCGTGAGACCATTCAATGCCTGATCTGTGATGGTACATAGTTGTCGTGCCGATACCAAGTCAAGTTGTGGAGCTGGTGGTGGACCTCTCCTCCTCTTCGAGTCTGAGCGAGCAGGTTTACCTTGAGAATCCAGAGACGTTGAAGAAGCGTTGTCGTTCTTCAACCGGGTAACAGAACGGGAGTCCGTGGAAGTCCGTGGCGAGGTAGAAGGTGGGTTCAGGTGTATTGAAGGGAGGATGAGCTTTTTCTGCTTAGATGCAGGTAATATCTCGTCTAGATCAACTGGTACACCTAGAGATACTAAAAAGAGCCTTCGAATCCGAGACCGGATCCAGTTGGGAGGTTGAAGTGGTGGCGGGGCTACTAATTGTGACCAGAGGGAAGCACTACGTGACGTGAGAAAGATTGGGTTTTCGGCATTCATAGGAGGAAGAACAGAAGTATCAATTGTGTCAGGCGGAAAGAGGGCATTCATATATGGTTCTGTGGCTGCCATAATTTCGTGAGATGAGCCCAAGTTGGCAAAATCCAAAACAGGCTGGTGCATGTTAGCAGTGGTCACAGTTGCAGGGCACGAAGCGAATTATCATGGTAGTGTATAGATTACTACTCACATATGCAGGTGTAGCTGGTAAGGACTGTTTGATAGGAGGAGCTGCCTCTGCCTCTTTAAATCCGTCATCAAAATCGCCAAAATCCTCATCCTCTCCTCCCTCCTCAAAATCATCAAAATCATCGCCAAATCCACCATCCGAGCCATCCTCCTCTTCATTGTAATCATCCATGGGAACCGCTGCCTTTGATGCACCTGATGACTTTCGTCTCGCGTGGCTCATGCTTGGGGATTTTGGAGATCTAGCAACAGGAGACGTTGGCGACCCTGATTCGGTCAATGGCTCTGAAGGATAAGAAATCTGACTATCCTTACCTGGCGCATCACCAACTTCTTCCACCTGGTCCGGCTCTGCGTCTCCTTTTCTGAGCTCAAAAGCCTCGGTGCCAGGGATTTCGCCATGGCTAGGCTTTGAGTCGACCTTCTCGACCTTCGTTGTTGGGATGGGAAGGTCACCAGGGGTACTATTGGCTCTGAATCGGTTGCTGCTTGGTGATTGACTGCGTTCTCCAGATTTCACAACTAAATCCGGTACGGCGTCTGCAAGACGTTTCTCGTGAGCTGCAGTACCGGGAACCTCTCCAAAGCTGGGAGTAGCTAGGTCGACTTTCTCAACGATGGTGATAGGAATTGGTTGTCCCCCGGGGGTGGATGTAGGCTCCTTGGGGGTAGAATCGCTGGACTCTTTCTCATCAGGTATCACTGCAATCTGGTCGGGCTCGGCATCATTCTCCCTCATGTTGTAAGCTGCTGTGCCAGGAACCTCTCCATAGCTGGGCTCATTATCGACTTTTTCCACGCGGGTAATAGGGACGGGAGAGGTAGCCCCGGACTGTTCGAGGCCGGATTGAGCATCTGAGAAGTGATCATCGGAATCAGAAGACTCTACAGGAATGCGTTAGTGAAATGTGCTGCTGCTACATGAAAAGCGAAGTTGAATAAGGTCTTACCAAGGTCGTGAGCACCTGGGTCGCTGATACTTGTTCGCCGAGGAGGCTCAAGGGTTAGGTGTTCTTCTGGCATGATTTTTGCAAGAATCCCGCAAGCTGGAAAGCAAAGAACGGCCTCGGGAGGTGATAGAGGCCTCGGGGGGGGGAAGTTGGTAGAAGTTAATGCTCGAAGGGCGGGTGGATAAGCAAAGTAAGTTCTGGGTGTTCTAGACGTTGCGTTCGGACGATCCCCTCGTGATGCTGGCAATCGACTGCCGGCCGGGGGGTGTGAGAAAAGCAGCGTTGCACTAAAATGGAGAGGATGAAAAGTTGGGATGAACATAGGGGAATAGGAATTATGGAATGGAACAGGAACTCTGCATTTGTTTTGAGGATTTTTGGAACGGTTGTTTGTGACAAGCCCCCTTCATTCATTCAATATAGGAGTAGGAATAGGGGGGTAGAAGAGGCTGGTGAATCCATGCCAGCTCGAGGCCATCGCTGCAAGGCAAGGCTGGCTCGCTTGCGTGAAAAGGTCAGGCAGGGCAGCTGTTGCTGCGGTTCCTCAGACGCGCAAGACAACCACAATACAATACTATACGCGCCCGCCAATGCTTTGCAACTCCAACTCCTTTTCCAACTTCGAATTCTCAGCAGCAAAACGATAGCTCAGATTCTGTAAGGATCAATCTACGAGGTGCGTGTGTGCTTTTATTCTTGCGACAAAGCTCTAACCCATCTATCCAGGAGCTCTCTTTTCGCCTTGGGCGAGCTAGGTAGCCTTAATCATGTCGTTCACATTTGGTGGTGCTGCCAATAGTGGTGGGAATGCGGGCAGCAGCACTCCAACCAGTGGAGCAGGAAATATCTTTGGAGGAGGGGCAGCAAAACCGACCAGCAATCTATTCAGTTCAACTCCAACAACCAGCGGTTCTTCGTTATTTGGTGGTCAACAAGCCGCTACATCGAAACCAACGACATTTGGAGCAGGAGCAGGAGGAGGGGGTCTCTTTGGCTCCAACACGGCATCCGCCCCGGTCTCTGGCACTTCTACACCTTTGTTTGGAACGAGCACCGGTAACACACCTTCATTCGGGGCAAATCTAGGTGGAGCTACATCTTCCGCTGCACCAAGTAGCACTCTTCCTGCAGCTTCTGCTGGAAACACATTTGGTGCGAACTTCAAATTGGGTGGTCAAACTCCAGCTTCTTCTGCTCCTGCGGGATCGACGACTCCGGCTGCCGCAAAATATAGCTTCTCTTCAACAACGCCAGCAGGACCACCTCCCACAAGCAATTCATCGAACATTTTTGGAGGAGGTGCTGGTGGAGGTGGAGGCGGCTTGTTTGGGGCAAAACCTGCAGCAGGAGCTACCACTAGCAACCTATTTTCACCTCAAGCACCAGCTTCGTCCGCAACACCAACATCATCGACGCCGGCTCCATCACTTTTTGGTGCAGGCGCTCAGGCTTCCAGCACTCCGGCTGGATCATCAGGAACTGGCATGTTTTCGAATTTTGGAGGAGCCAAACCTCCGGGTGGAAATGCTGCAACGACTTCTACTGCGCCAACAGCTACAACTACGACAGCACCAGCTTCTAATCTATTCAGCCAGCAACAAACTACCACAGCACCCACTTCAAATCTATTTGCCCAGCAATCTGCAACCTCTCAACCCACTACGGCAGCACCCACTCCCAATCTCTTTGGACAGCAACCGGCAGCCTCTCAACCTGCTTCAACAACCTCAGCAACTACTGCTGCCGCTCCAGCTCCAAGCTTGTTTGGCGGAGCCGCCGCCGCAAAACCAACCCCAACAACCGGAGCTCCAACTTTGGGATTAGGTGGTTTTGGAAAACCTACCTCTACACAAGCAGCATCATCATCAACCCCAGCTCCAAGTTTGTTTGGGGCGGCGCCAAGTACCACTACAGCCTCTCCTGCAACACCAAGTTTATTTGGAACCCCTAAGCCCGCTACAACAGGAGCAGCTCCTTCAAGTACACCTGCAGGTAGCGGAACAAACACTGGTAGCAGTGGAGGACTAAACCCATCTGGCGGTGCAACTAGTTCAACTCCTGCGCCTTTAGCAGCATCTACCTCTGGGCCAACTCCCCAATTATCTCGCCTCAAGAATAAGACAATGGATGAGATTATCACCCGCTGGGCCTCTGACTTGTCAAAATACCAAAAGGAGTTTCAAGACCAAGCAGCTAAAGTTGCAGCATGGGACAGATTGTTGGTGGAAAATGGAGACAAGATTCAAAAGTTGTACCAGAGCACTTATGAGGCTGAACGAGAAACAAGCGAGGTTGAACGACAACTTTCTAACGTCGAAAGCCAACAGGATGAGCTTGCAGGATGGTTGGATAAATATGAGGCAGAGGTGGACGAAATGTTTGCGAGACAAATTGGGCCGGGTGATCAACTTCAAGGACCTGATCAGGAGCGAGAGAGAACATACAAGCTTGCCGAAAAACTCACTGACCGTCTGGATGAGATGGGTAAGAACCTCACAAGCATGATTGAAGCTATCAATGATGCATCATCCTCGTTGAGCAAGAGCAGCAAGGCCGATGATCCTGTAAGTAGTGCCTGGAAACGATCTTTTGACAACGGTTACTAATTACGATAATTCTAGCTCTCACACATTGTACGTGTTCTTAATGATCATCTCACACAGTTGCAGTGGATCGATCAGAACGCTACCCTACTCCAGGCCAAGGTTTCTGAAGCACAAAAGCTCAGTCAGGGTATGAGTGCCAGTGGACTTGGGGGTGTTGAAAGCGATACCGCTGAGTCATTCTATCGTTCTTATATCGGAAGAAGATGATCAGCAAGCATTTGCGTAGTAATGTGAGCCTGGCGGTTATTGAAATGATTGTGGTAATTCTTCGATATTGGAGATTGGGCTGGGGTTCAGCATATATGTCCGTCACAAAAAGGACGAAAATTTTCATTTCACAGCGAAAGAGTGGTTGTTATGAATTTGTACAGTAGAGGAGAGGATCCCAGGAAGAGAGCAATAGTAACAACTCCAGAACTAACCGATCCTCGACCATAGAAACGTGTAAATGTGGAGATTTCGTTTCCTTGTATACAATATCGACCGTTGGTCAACTAGTCATTTCCCGAGTGAACTTCCTCCTGACAAGTTCTGTTTCCCTTTCCCTTCCGGCTCCACAATCAAAATATGGCATTTCGTCAACTGTGGAAGCAGTGATTTGACTCAGCACATTGTTCAGATGAACGAAGCACGAAACCCAATTGACCCTCCAAGCAACTACAGCTTAGTTGAGATACTCACTTTTGCTCTCCTCCAGAAGTTTTGGATAGCTCGTCACTGTGGATGAAAATGGTCAGCTTGTGGTGTTTGGAAGCGAGAAATCGGGGAAAGCTGATGTCAGCATTGAAGTACAGCATCCTCACAAAGCCGAGAGCTGGAATTGGGGACGAGGGAACATACAGGTGTTCTTCGAGTTTCTTCAAGTGACCTTGTTGCTCTGCGAGCTTTTTTCGGAGCTCGAGGAGCTTCTCCTTCTCTCGTTCGCGGATGGCGTAATCCTCGTTTGCTTTCTCGCGTTTGTTGAATGCGTCTCTGTGTGGTTGATATCAATTAGCATCCATTCTTCTAGTCTTGAAAGCTAGATGGCAGCTATGGAATAGGTGAATGAGTTGGAATGGTACGTACCCTTGGGCGGACCCGCCTGGTCGTACGGCTCCGGTGTCTCCTGCAGCCATGGCTCGGGTGGTAATTGAGAAGGCGCGGGTTTGGATTGCTGGTCGAGCTGCTCTGATGAGGGATTGACGGAACATCGTTGCGGATTTGCTTGTGATGGTTGGACAAGGAGGGGTTGTGATGGTGGTTATGTAGTTGAAGCGAGGGGATTGATTCTCTTTGGCCAGCCAAGCTTGGAGCTACCATTGGATGGACGTCATTTGTTGGCGCCTTGATTGAAAGGCCACTTTCGCCGGTCAGGTGATGGTGGTGTGATTTGAGAACGAGTGATGCAGATTGTAATTATCTATTAGTACTCGTAGACCCATCTAGAGGTGTTTAGAGTTTTAGGCAGTTCTGTATCCCAGTTTATCACTCAACCATGTGTTCCAGTACTGTGTAAGTAGATTCGGGACATTCTATCAATTGCTTCAATAATTGATAAAGTACTATATCTGTAGACGACAGAGCACTTTGGACTCCAACAACATCATTGGGGAGTAGCCAAAACACACTATCATATCTAAGTTTCTTGTTGTTGTTTTTCCAATAATGGATCTCCTTATGTGGATGATAGAGGAAGTCACGATTTACTCAGTAGCGGAAGAGTATTGCTGGCTAGCCAAAGCACAGCCACAATTTTTCGTCCAATATGCAAGTCAGGAAATGGAAGTTGCAGGTTTCAGAGCGCAAGTGGATTGCTCGATTGTAACAATGCCAATACCGTATTTAAGGAAAAGATGCGAGTGCCGAATCAGGCGTGAGCAACGTGTTACCCGTTAAATTATGCGATTGAGTTGAGATTGTTTTGATGGCATCACCAGACAAGTATCTGCCTCGGTGGATTTCCTTGGAGTTGATCAGCCCTACTCGCCCTACTCGTCGACGGAGTCTTTATTCCAGCAAGTGCACGCACAAAGTAGGCACAGAGGTGCAGATGGGTTTGTATGCAGGTCGAGAGAGGGCGTCGTATATAAATATCTATCAATGCTATTCTATACATCCATTCTCTTGCACCAAACATGGAGATGGTCCCTTTTATGCAAAGTGTAAAATCGATATCCAATCAATAATCTTCAGCACTGAGCACTGAGCACTGAGCACTCCCTCCTTATCGAATCCCGTGGCCGAGAAAGTCGCTTAAAGACCCGTTCACTCCATTGCCAGCAGGGCCGTATCAACACAGAAACCACGATACCAGCCGTGGCAGGCGATGGTGAGCCCGCGATTGGATTCATTCCAGCAGCAGCAGTAAAGACACCAAATTGCAGGAGCGAGGGCCAGGTTGACGTTGAGGCGGTGGACGACAACCACTCAATAATTGCGGGCTGCGGCTACTCGTTGCGGTCTGAAAGTCGCTTCGTGCTGCCCCCCTGTCAACCCAGCCAGCCAGTAAAGTCAACCACACCAACCCCCGTTCACTCCTCCGTTCACTCCCACTAGCGCCAAGTTGGCCCTGCGCTGCGTGCTGGCCCTGCCTGCCCTGCTTGCTTCGATCAACTTCTCCAATTTCGCCTCGATCCTCAACCCAACCAACCTCATCTACTTTCCCCCAAAACCCGCACTCTCTCGCTACCCAAACTATACCTCGCATACACTTCTTCCGACCGATACAAAGTACACGCTGATTCCAGATCCCATCAGCTTCACCCACCACCCCCACAGTTCGGTAAGAATCTTTCCCCCCAACACTTCGTCATCCCCTCCTTAGCCCCCTCGCCGGTGCCATCACTCTTCCGCCATCAGGCAACTTTGGGAATGGCCTCAAACCAGCACCACGCTCATCAACATGTCAAGCCGACGGCCATGCCATGTCGTGTTCCTAAGTTCTGGGTCCGCAGATTACCCAGGTCTGCGATTGCCCCTCATGTATGCTGAGGGGTACCCGCTCATATGCACCATTGATAGCGGATGGCTCCTTTGATAGATGGGCATCTGCTGCCATCCATATTCTGAGATGGCGCCGATCTATTTGGTCGCGCATAGCCATTTCAATGCGGGAGTCGCATCAACGCATTTGGCCGATCACCAGAGAACGAGCCCTGGCCCCCTTCACTCCGAACACCCACCACAACTTCTTGCTATTCTATTTTCAACTTCAACTTCCTTCCCAATCTCGCGCGCTAACGCTCCCATCTCAATAGACCTCTCAACCGCAACCATGGGTTACGAAGACTCAGTTTACCTCGCCAAGCTCGCCGAGCAGGCTGAGCGATATGAAGGTTAGCATATCCAAACATCCTCGAATCACACGCGATACTGAACGCGATTACAGAAATGGTGGAGAACATGAAGTCTGTGGCTTCCGAGGACCAGGAGCTTTCCGTTGAAGAGCGAAATCTCCTGTCCGTTGCCTACAAGAACGTAATTGGTGCCCGTCGTGCCTCATGGAGAATCGTCACCTCAATCGAGCAGAAGGAGGAGTCGAAAGGAAACTCATCCCAAGTCACCCTTATCAAGGAGTACCGCCAAAAGATCGAGGCAGAACTCGCCAAGATCTGCGAAGATATCCTTGAGGTTCTCGATAAACACTTGATTCCTTCTGCCAAGAGCGGCGAGTCCAAGGTCTTCTACCACAAGATGTACGTATACTCAGCTCATAACTCAAATTGTCGTTCTAACAATATCACAGGAAGGGTGACTACCACCGCTATCTCGCTGAGTTCGCCATTGGCGACAAGCGAAAGGAGTCCGCAGACAAGTCCCTCGAGGCTTACAAGAACGCCACCGAAGTTGCTCAAACCGACCTTGCACCAACACACCCAATCCGTCTTGGCTTGGCCCTCAACTTCTCTGTTTTCTACTACGAGATCTTGAACTCACCCGACCAAGCATGCCATCTCGCCAAGCAGGCCTTCGATGATGCTATTGCCGGTAAGTGACCAACGTACGCACTGAGATAAGGATGTAGCTGATGAGATATTTAGAACTTGACACTCTCAGCGAGGAGAGCTACAAGGACTCAACTTTGATCATGCAATTGTTGAGAGACAACTTGGTAAGCAATACACGGCCAAGTATACACAGCAAGAACTTTACTAATTCTCCTGTTACTAGACCCTCTGGACTTCCTCTGAGGCCGAGCCAACCACAACTGACGCAAGTGCCGCACCAGCTGCTGAGACAAAAGATGCACCAGAAGCTGCCGCTGCCACAGAGACACCTGCAGAGCCAAAGGCTGCTGAGTAAATGGTCGGTTTTGGCGTTGATGTTTGGTCCTCTGGGTACACATGAGAAACTAGGGCGGGGATATTGCATGTTTAGGCATATGTGATGAAGAAAAGGGTGAGCTGAAGCGCTTTCTTGGAGGTTGATTCGCAACTTAATCTTGCATTTGGACTCCATGCATTGTACTGCGGTTTGCCACTTCTCATATTACTGCCAAAGACTCTTAGAGACAGCCGGCATCTTTTTATTTTCTCCAACAGACCTCTCATGTCATGTTACGATTGATGCAGGCTCTCGTGGCTTTGTTTTCGCGCTGGCTCCTTCTCAATTAGACTACAAAAAAATAGCAAATTCAATCAAACCAAGCTCCTTTGTTTTTTGGGAGCTCTCTCCGCTTTTCTAAACATATCAAGATGCCTAGAAGATTTACAATCTCTTCTTGACCAGCTTATCAAGTGTCCAGTATTGGACTTGACCACGTAAGAAATGATCTGCTTGATATAAGTGGTTATTAATACCAACTAATGGTCAATACAGGGTCCTCTGATTGCAAAACCTCGTCTAATTTACCACTCTCACCTTAGCCTTTTATGTAACTACAAAGTGCGACCACCTGATTTTGATTGGTAAGATTACAATGGTTGGGATAATCTGTTATAATAGGTATACCTACCTAGGTACGTAGTGGTCTAGTTTAGATATTACTGGTTAGATGGTTGTGAGTACGAGGAAGTATTTGTTGCTCTTACTCCTGCTACTGTTGTCTGTTGCGGGATATTCGACATTTACTGGGTAGGGTTTGCACTTTTGGGGCGGGAAATGGGAGGGGAGGGTTTGTGGGAGTAGGTACTGTGGGGTATGGGAGGGTGAGAAGGTGAGAAGGTGGGTGAAGGGAGGAGATGGGAAGTAAGTTACGGTGGCGTAGGGTATGAATTCTGTCTGGTATGAGTGTTTTCTTTCAAATGCGGAATTTGGTGGGTACTGATACTGTAATGAAGGGAAGTGAAGGTATGGATAGAGTTGGGTTGGTTTTGGTTGGTGGTAGTGGTAGAAGAGACTTGTGATGTGAAGGTGGGATTCCTATGATATGATGATATAGTGTAATGATGTGTTATTTACTTCTGCTTACCCCTTGGACCTTGAACTATGTGGCAGTCGTGCTTGGTAAGGCACCAGAGACAGAGGTTCGGAAAGCTGTGGAAGTGTACAGTGTAAAGTGGAAAGTGGAAAGTGGAAAGTGGAAAGTGGAAAGTAATGTTACTAAAGTATGGAAATGGTGTTCCTGTATGTAAAATTCCTATACAGTGAATATCATTACTAACGAGTATTTATTACTACTTTGGAGCTTCGGATTTCTCTCTCTCTCTCTCTCTCTCCCTCTTCTCCTCGATCTCTGCCCCCTCTCTCTTTTTTTACACATATATTTATATATATTCACAAATTCCAAGATTCAAGAGTTCTCTCCTCGGAAAGCTTCCCTATCTCAAAGTCTGTCTGTATACTTAACTTTATCGTGACTTACTCAAGTAAGATATATACACATACACGTTGGTGATTAACAACTTACGCTATACTATACCGTACCCATAGAAACCTTACCCTACCTCGCTTTACTACCTGTAATACAACCCAAAAAAACCAAGTTGTCATTAACCAACATCTACATCTCATAACCAAGTCCATTAAATCCCAATCTTTCATTCTTCTCAAACCTTATACCTTAGCCAAATCTCTAACTGATCCAATCAACACGCCAGCCTGATACCTAACCCTCAAGCTACTCGCTACTCGCTACTCAACCACTATACCCTACCCTTACTTTAACTACCCTTGCCCTTCCACGTGCCTCCCCTTCTCCCCCCCAGGAAGGTAGTCACTACCTACACCCTTACATCCCGATATCTGCTCTCTCAAAGGCAGAATGTACAGGTATATAATTAGCGTTGGTAAAACCAGGTCAAGGACGTATAGATTCGAGTGAACGAGTGTTCTTACTATACTCTGATAAATAGTAGTAATTGCGATGGAAGAGGACTATCTACCAAGCAACAGTCTGCACTTATCCCCTCCCTCGTCGTGGTATAGGTAGTATTAAGGACCATGCTAAGTCAGGTCAGGATACAGCGAATATATACCAACAGTTGGGTTTATATTAGGGTCGATGCTGGTGATGGACTTTGGCCTTTAGAAAAGGAGTGTTTTGTGATATTCCAGATGCCTAACTCTTCACGAGATTCACGTCAAGTAAGATAGTACATCATACACATTACACCAAGAAGTATTTCTTTTGAAATTTTTATGTTTTCCAGAGTCTTTAATCTCTATTTGTTCGTATGCAATGCCTTGCTCATCACTCATGAAAAAACAAAATTAAAAATAACAGACTCCCAACCGACCCAATTCAAAAGAGCAAATCCCCATCAATCAATATCCACACGAACGCGAGCCAATACTCCAATCCAACGTGACTGAAGCAAAAGGAGCAAGGCAAGAATCGAAAACTCATCAAGACGCATAATACTCAACAAATACACAAACAAAACGCCGTGCCCCGTCCCTTTCCCTTTGCAAATAGAGCCGAAAAATTCATATGCTTCATCCTCAGACGCCGAGTTCTTTTTGATGCAACCACAATAGCAATAGCATAATATTTACAGACCGGAGACCTTGCGGGCGGCGGAGACTGTTACACTGCCAACTCTTCCACTGGTCTTTCGAACGCCGGCACTTGTCTTTTCTCTCAAGCTGTCACCTGTTCGCTTTGGGCTTCCACGGACTTTGCTCATGGTACTAGAACCACTACCAGATTTCAGGGCTGCTGGAGTCTTTGAACGGCTCGTCGAACCGATGTTTTCGATGTCGTTGCTACTGTCATCGACTGAGTAGATGGTCGTGGTGGTGTGACTGATGGATCTGTGTTCGCTTCTGCCTGGCGATCGTGACGACTTGCGGCTAGTCTTCGTTCGCATGCGAATTTCGTCCTCGGCATCTGCGTTGTCTAGTGACGATCGGTGAATTGAGATGACCTCAGTTTCCCTTTGAATCACTTGCTCATCATCAGCAGAGGTATAGGCCGAGACATTCCGGTTGTATGGATGATGACGGTCAACAGCTCTACTCGTTTTTCGTGGCTGGCCAGGTGTTGGAGCTGGTAGGCAGTCTTCCTGGACCCCAATGGCGTGGCGTTGTTCATTGTCTACCTCTCCGAGAGGCGATCTTCTGTTAGCATTTGGCGGTGTCGCGATCTGATTATTCACCAAGTATGGCTTGGAGCCAACTCTGGTTGGTGTGGTTGGTGCCATGGCGGCCATCTTTTCCTTCATCTTGATTTCAAATTGCTCTTCAATCCACCATTGACGGAAAGTCCCCTGATTAAGATGCAGCCAGTGCTGTTGAGGCCCAACTACCATCCCAGGCCTCATGAAACGCATGTAGGCAATGATCTCGTTGGCCGTGAACCCATAACGATAAATGAGGTAAGCTCCAATCAAGCAGCCAGTGCGGCCGAGACCAGCCTTGCAATGAACTGCAATCCCCTTTTTCTTGACTGTGATCATCTCATGAGCCAGTCTGATGAATTTGCGAACCACGGACAGGTTTGGGCAAGTGCCGTCATCGAATATCATATCCAAGTGCTCAATTCCGAGTGCCGTAAAAAATGACGGGGAATAGAGCTCGGAGTTGAGACGAACCACTAGCCCGATGTCCCTCTGAGCGAAGTGTTTCAGTACGTTTTTGAATGGAGAAGGAAGAGTTGGGTGTGCATCAACAGCTTCAATGGTTGATGGTAAAGTGGCATAAAGGGGGGACGAGGGCGATATCGGTGCCACAGGAGTGTGCTGAGGAGATGCGAAGGCGAGAAAGTCCGGAGTCAACCAGTTGAAGTCACCTTGGTCTACACGCTCATAACGTTCGTACTCTTCAAGATCAAATGTGGGCAAAGCACAGAAGCCCTGTTCCTTTGCACGCCATACACCATATACTACATCCTGAACTGTAATCCCATAATCTGCCTGGCTATATCCTGCATCGCGGAAAGGCATGAGTGGAGGGTCGGCTTGTGCGATTGGGGCGAGTGCGAGATGTGGTGCCCATGCTTGGATTAGGACCATGTACGAGGCAAGAATACAGGCAGCGTTTGCTCGACCTTGAAACGCTTGTTAGTCTTCCAATTAAGCATTTTTGTTCCCATTGAAAACTCACTTCGCGCATCTGCTTTACTCCAGAATACAACGGGTTTATCTTTATTTTCGGGGGCACCAAGAATGTCATGGAATTGAACGGCAAATCTGTACAGGTGGCCGATGTGCAATGGTCCGAAATCGTGATGGAATGCATTGTATAACAAGGAATCGTCAATGGAGAAATAGTATGGTGGAGTACGATCTCGGTCTGACACCGCAGAAGGTCCATCTGCTGCCCTGGCTGAGCGTTTGCTGGGAGACCTGCGGGAAGGTTGGCGATCGGGGTATGGGAAAAGAGTGTCTTCGGTTGGGGGGGTCGTGTATGAAGCTAGATACAATCGGTCTGTATACATTAGCCATTGGAACGGGGCATTGTTTATTATTGTGAGGCATTGTTGTGATTCATGTTGTTTTGCGGCGACTTCATCCTCAGAGCTGGAAACTCGCGATGCCCACTCGAACATGGCCCGGTAGTCCATTGCCACGCACGATGATATAGAGCTGGGTATAACAATGCGTAATGATACTGTCCCGGGGAAAAATACTCGATGTGCAAGAAAGGATGTGGTTGTGTGGGGTTGGCATAATTGGGGCCGGCTTACCTGGAATATACTCAATGATCTGCCCATACTTCACGGCAGGAGTCATCTTGTGGTTGGGGACCTAGTACGTGTGCTTCAAGGTCGCAGCTTCCGTTGGGTAGTGGTGGGTTGAGTATCGATGTAGGGGTTTTTGGACTGAGATTTCGATGATAGTGATGGTGCGACGGGGGCTCAACGTTCAATAACAAAGCATGCTCGTCGAAAGAATGCGGATGGGAGAGAGAGAGCGGCGGAAGAATGAATAGAAATGTTCTCCAATGTCAATGTCACAGTAGGGTGGTGGTGGTGGAGGTCGAGGTGTAGTGTATGAAAGAAAAGGTCGGAGTGAGTAGACGTAGCGAAGCTTATCAAGGACAAGAATGATGTTTGGGTAGGAGCACCAATCTGGCCTAGCGCAAAACCTACGGTTGGGATGGCAACGCCCAGCGCTCCTCTCACCTTCCCATCAGACGCGCCAATCTCATTGGGTTTCATGCGACTTAGGACAGCAAGACACCCTGGCCCCGCCTGTTGTCACCCCAAACATCTATTTACACACAACGCACACTTGAATCTGCTCGCCTGCGCTGCCCTCGGAAAAGTCTGCCATCATAACAGTAAACACTGCAGGCATCATGGCCACCCCGGCCGACCCAAGCTTCCCATGTTTGCTGTAAGGCCCTTTTTTTCTTCCTACTTATGGATGATATTTGCCCCTGCCGCTCTCGTGGCAAAGCCAGGCGCTGATCTAAACAAAGGACAATCGATTTGCCCCTCCCGACTGCTCGATTGGCATCAGCGGCACTGCAAGCTCTGCGTGTTGATAAAGAACTTTCCCCTCTAGTCAGCCGATCATTCTCTACTATCGCTTCGAGCGCCTCGCATTCCTCTGAAGAGTCTGTGCTGCGCACCGAATACAAAGCCACGACGAATAGAATGTTGAGAGTCGCTGTCAATGGTTTTATGGAGAGCTTGAGTGTGGTCCTGGGAGTGATGGAAGAGCTGGACGTTGATGTTCTCGAGCCTGGAGTGGTCAAGGAATGAGGAGAGGCTTGATATGCAATGGTTCAACCAATCGTTCTTCAACGATACCTACAAAGGATGACGAGGTTCTATGACTTATGGTGAAGGCTACAAACAGAGCCACCTCCCGAAGCAATCTTGCTGAAATCCAAGTGGATCCCCTCCCAAGCTTCCGATATTCAAGTTTGAACGGACATTCAGAAAATTCCATCAACTATCTCAATATCAGATAAGCACATTCGGTTTATTTTTTACAAAGTATTATTCGGTCCCTTTGTTCTTCCTCGACGACTTCTTTACAATCAATGCAGAAGAACCCCAAATCGAGTTCCTGAATAGACCTCAGTGCCTGCCACGGATATATACATTGCCCGTCCGCTAGAGCGATAATTTTCGCAATACAATGTGTCTAGTAACACAGCTGCAATAGTCGACCTTCACACCATGCATAGTAACCCTCTCCTCGCAAATAATTAGCACCAAAATAATTCCAGGTATATTAATCCCCCAAACTCCAAACACCAAACTGGCCCAGTCCCAAAACATCCTCTAGACAGATTCCTTTAACCGCTTTTCTGCTTCCTCGGCTCTCTTTTGCGCATCCGCGAGGTCGTTTTTCAGTTGCTTGATATATTCAATGGCTTGCTCCACTGTGCTTGCTTTACTATTCGCACTCTGGGCACCTCCCTTCGCATTGCTACTAGGTTCATTGCCTTCTTCAGCCTCTCCACTTCCGCTTTTCTCCCCGGAGCTTTCTTTTGAACCTCGTGGTAATAAAGTAGCAATCTCCTGCAGAGCGGAATTGATGCGGTTCCGTCTGCCTTGTTCGGCAATTTTATGTGATGTACGCTTCGAGGTTAAATTTGTTGATAATTCCGAAGGGTACGTGACTCCTGGTAAATGCGTACCCTCGAGGATGTTCTGATAATTCGACTTCGACGCCAACAGAAGAGACGCGGTGTTCTCGGATAACGTCCCAGAACCCGGCATTAAGGGTTTAATACTGGGTGAGATTCGAGGAAGGAGGGCTGGGGACGCCAGAACTGAGGAACCAGCTCGTTTCTTAATTGAACGTCCTCCACTCTGCGTTGGTCTCTTTGTGGCACCACCTCCATTCATAGAGTCAATTTGAGGACTTGAACTTGCGGACGTAGTGTTTCTTGGTCTTGCAGTAACCGAAGAGGGTAGTGGTTGAAATCCAGGAGTTTTAGCACCGTTGGAGTTTAAAGTTGGAGTCATTTGACCGTCCGATTGAGTATTCAAGGGAACAAGTTGTGGTCGAGTGGTATTGGCGGCTTCTGGTAGGGCAAAGCTATCCATGGCCGGGTCATCGAGATCCATAGTATGGCTGTCTGAGGGTTCATTTACTTGGGGTGACTGCGTGAGTCTCATCAAAGACGCAGGAGTAGCCGGTGAGCCCAGGACAAGACGTTTGTTCCTCGGGTCATCTTTTTGGGCTGGAATATATGGTGACCTCGTATGCGATCCGGGGGTAGGAACTGGAGGCGGTGCCATGTCGGAAAGATGCTCTGGAGAAATGGAGCTATTCTCAGATTCCTCCGTACTTGGAGCTGAACGAGAACAGCTGAGTTCTTTAGAAGGGATTGGAAAATGTGACGGCTCCAGAATCTCCCCCAGGGCTTGATTAACAATAGGCCCCCTTTTTGATCGTTTTGGCTTCACAATAGGCGATTGACGTATCGCGCGGGTTGCCCGAGCTTTGGGTACCGCTTTCTTGTTTGTTTTCTTTGCCAAGACACCAGAACCGGTTGAGGCAGAATTTGATTCCATATTCATATCAATCGGGGAGTTAGTGGTAGCAGATAGTCGTTGGTCATACAAGTTCGACTGCTGTTCGTTTTGAGCACGAATAGCAGGAGAACTTAGTGGGCTGAAATAGGCCCCGGGTACAGTGTACTCAGGTATGTTAAAGTGAGGTTCGAGGGGTGTTACAGCAGGAGACACAAGGGGTGTGAATGCCATCTGTGCAGTGGTCAGATATGCAAGAGATATTTTATATATAAAAATAATCTACGACAGAACGACCGATAGAGAAAAGTTTGCTTTGGATATGTGTTGACAGAAATATGATTGAAGAACGACTGACCTCTTGATCTTTCATTTGCATCTGGTATCTCTCGTAGACAGCTCGGGGTTGAGGGTCGCTCTGAGGATAAAATTGAGAGGTATTTGCGTGTAATTCCATGCTATTTGGTGTGGGTGGTATCATCCTATTGTGAACATAGAAATTCCGTTGCTGCTCTTGTATATGTTGATGCTGTTGCTGTTGCTGTCGTTGTCTTTGCAGCTTCTGGTGTTGCAAATACTGTATTTGCGCATCAAGGTCCGACAGACTCTCGGTCGAGTGGTGAGTGTGGCTCATGGGGGTTCCAATAATCACAGAGTGACTAGTAGCCGTCGTCATTGGAGGCATATGTTCTTGCATCGTAGTGTCGTGGCCCTGGCCTACGCTATTTCCCAATCCTGAATGCCCCATCTGTCCTTGGCCGTGTTGATGTAATAAATGCGCTGGCGGCTGGCCACCAAAATCCTGAAAGTCATAGTGAAGGGCATCGCCGAGACCGTTCATTCCTATATCGAGAAATTGGTTGAAATCATCTTGCGACGGGATTGACAAGGTCGGGTCTTGATTATCCCATACCCCAGAAGTATCCATCATTGCGACCAAGAGTTGACTTTCAATTTCTTCCTGCTCGAGGGCGATGGCTTGATATGCGTGCCGAAGTTCGGACTTTGAAGTTCGAGGAGTGAATGAGTGTCGTACTCGATCGTGGAATGAAATTATTCCGCGATGATGTAGGGTATCGGTCGAGATAGATAGTTGAGGTTGGGGCGGCAGCCCGGTGCCAGTGCTGCGGGCAAGGCTTTGGGCGACTCGTCTCTGGCTGTATTTGAGTCGACGATGCTCGGGTGCAAGGAAAGTTACGAAGTTGGTGAATTCATTCTGCGGCAGCAAGAGGAGACCCAGCACTAGCCATGGACGGCGGGAGGGAGGTAGCTGGAAGCAGAAAACCCTTTACACTAGCTTGGGGAGTATCCCCTTCTTGTCTCAAACCAAGTCACGTTTTGGATGGATGGTTACTCGACAGACTCAATACTCCCTTTTGGGAATATTCGCGGCAGGCCAGGCTTCATGACGGACTCTCCGACCACAAGGCCACTTCCATCAGGTGAATCATGCGTGGGACAGGATGGGATCCTTGAAAATGGAAGACATCTTCCAAAAAAGCTTCTAGAAGAACTTTGGACGTGGGGAAGAATTCTATCAGGGTTGTCGAAAGCGCGCGAATCAGAGGCGCTTATGTGCGCACGCTTCAAGGTAAATTTATCTTCGGGCGGGATCTGTGAAACATGGCCACCCTTTGCAAAAAATACTTCTAAGCGAAGAACCGCACCGAGAGACTTCTGAAAGATTTCTGAAAGGTTGAGAAGACCATTCGCGGACTTTCCCTAATTCTCGATTTTTCAAAGAGCAAAAAAGGGTTGGTTTGTATAAGTAAATGCGTGATTAAATTGTCCATCTCATCACCGCTACAGGCAAAAAGGATCATTTACTAATAACTTTTCTTAAAGGTATACCTCCTACCTTTATTGAAAAGTATGCCTGAGTTTCTTTTGGATGATCTTCTCTGAAGGCGGACTAATGGTGGCCCAGTACCCGTCTACGATCAGCTGTTCCATACTTTCAACCCTCATTCGCTACAAACCCTACTTACTCGGACCGAGGCCAAAATCAGCATGTTGAGCTTAGTCTAGTTGCGTCTCTTTCCGCAAAAGGACTGCACAGCCTATCCGCAAAACTAGAAGAACGTTTCGCGGCCCCAAAACCCTATGGAATTAAGCAATTCACATACAAAATACCCTGCCATGAAATACCCTACAATACACCAACAAGAGACCCTTGAATCTCAATCTCACTACTTTTGGGAAGGGACTCTATGTATATCCTGAAACCTTCACACTTCTCTCAGCCTCCAACCGTGGACCTTGTCTTCGGGAGACGGCCAAAAAACCAACTATTGATTCTGGGTTGGTTTTGGTTTACCAATTAGGATCCCCCATCGGCAATAGAAAGGGCGGTGTTGATCTCGATGCGGGGGGCCTTTTGGGCTTGGGTTTTTGGTTTGATCTGCTTGTCGATTATGGCGTGCTGATATTCCGGGTTGCTCTTATGTCAGCGGGTTATCTACGAGAGGTGGCTGTGAACTGTCTATTGTGGCAAGCCAAAGGGAGTCTTCCACTTGTAGAGGCATGATTTCAAGCGAGGTCTACGGATACCTGGATGCGAAATTTACTCTATGTCTTTCCGCCTAGGATGTTTCGATACACTTCTATGCTCAGGTAAAGTATAGATATGAATACAGGTTTTCTGGAGGTTCAAAGATTTGAGTTACCAGTAAAGGGCTATTTCCCAACTTGGTAAGTTAAGTTCACTCAATGGATGTACAGGAAAGAGTTGGGAGTTAATACCTACATGTCTGTACAAAGTCGGTGAAGCTTCTTCTTGATAACATCAAATGTAGTAAGTAGCATTCAACCTACCCACATCTCAGTTTGTCGTTTAGGAGAAAGGTACATGTTTGTTTCGTTATTAGTTGAATTTCCTTCCTTCTTCTATTTTCCATGACTAGCGATTAAAAGACCTAACTAACTACTTAAACCCGAATTACTACTCAAGTCAAGTGTCACAAACTGGGTATTTGTGTGATTGGTCACGTGTTTCATTGCCACGTGACATCCTCCCTTTTCACCTACTTTTGACAGACGATTTGTACGCGATTGTTATAAGCCCCGGTCACTTCCTCTTCGCTTTGGAATGGCCCTTCGGAAAACACTTCAAATAAGTCAATTTATCGAAGCCGTACAGATGGTCCTGTCGGACGCTCTCCGCTGTCGGGCAGCGTAATCAACCCCTCGAATGCTCCGTCACTCACAGACGAGCTCGACACAAAGCCCAGCGACAAGCGCTGGCCACCCGCATTCCTAAGGGGTGTTATATGGGAGCTTGAAGCCCAGTAACCTGGCGCTCACTCGCACATACACACACACACGAGCTTGAGCCCTCTTACGTAGGAGCTCCCTCGTACACAATCAACCGGAAGATCAGATGCACGCACACGAGCGCTGGCATACCCTAAGGGGTGACTTCATTCGGAAGCCTAGCACTCTTCGAAGCTGGCACGAGCAACCCTCAATTCTGGGATATGCCACCGACTTCCACCACGTCACTGAAACACCGCTTGCGTACAGCATTATAAGGAAGGGATTGCCCAATCTTAAGATTAAGAGAAGTATCAAACAGAGGCGATAAGGTATTTTGGTCATGATGTTCCATTTTCGGGAAGCTCAATATAATGATCAAAAATACCTTAAAGCATGGTTCACAGAAGGGCATAAGGAGGCCGCAAGAGATTCGAGGCTTAGGTAATAGTAGGGGACTTATAACTGTCCGTACTATCCAAAACCAAACGGGAAGAGTAGATATAGAGATCTCAAGAATCATCATGAGAGGAAACAGAGGTAGAAATGTGTATACGTTCAAGACGACCAACCAATCTCCTGCTGGTTCTTTCAATAGCAATTACAACTGGAACCACGATTATCGACCATACCAATGTTACAACCATATATACCTACGAGTGAGCAACGCCCAATTGAGCCATTGTTGATACGTTGGATGGCACTGTATCACCAGATGGAAACAATGGATAAGTTTGTCAAACTGTGTTAGTGGGGAAACAAACGGCCTTCTATCTTCGGATCGATCGAGTCTTGTAAAGCTTTGGGAACTTGTTGCTGAGTATCATGATCGCTGGCACCTTCGATATCCGACGGCTTTGAAAATTCAGCAATAAGTGGAGCATATATAGACGACTATGAGAAGGAAAAAGCAGAATTCGCTTTGGAATTTGGTTATAGATTAGGCCTATTTGGATTAGATTATTTTAGCGATTATTTGTATAATCGCTTATCTAAACGTAACTCTAAATTATTTATAAAATAAATAATTTAGCTAAGATAAATAATCTGGCACTTTATAATCGCTATAGTAAAAATATAATCCGGTTCAAGGTCACATAGTCCGCGATTATATACCTACTATAGTGAATTCCACCAACTCTCTACTATATTCATAGTACTATTCCACTTCTTATAACTCGATAATAGCGATTACTACCACGAATCTACCCTCCTAGGATGCCTCTACTAAAACTACCTACGTGCGAGTCAGATACGAAAGACGAGATAGAAAAAGAAGCTATTATCACAACGTGTTTATTAGCTAGCGCAGGGTAAATGAAAACATCAGCTTTTGCTATTACTCTCCACATTTCAAATCTGTGGGGTTATCGAATTCTTTCTCACGGACGCTCTCCTCGTTGTCCAGGCCGAGGAAAGCGAGAAGGGGGATCAAGAGTCAAGACGATTTTGTGGACCTTTCGAATCCTCCATCAGCGATTGAGTCTGAGTCCGAGTCTAAGTCTAAGTCCTGGAAGTTAGACGAGGGGGAGAGAGAGAAGCGACTTTGAAAAGGCGATGCGATGGAATTTACAAGGAGCGAATTACATGATATTTGCAGTACAGTCGTTGCGAAGATTTAGCCGAAAGTAGCACCAAAAATCACAGTTCCCTAAATAACCAAAGAAATATCGACGGACCTACTAGCTCACTACTCGTATTTGAACCCTAATAACCAAGGGTCCTTAGTCACTTAGTATTACCAGAGAATTTTGGCTTGGTATATTCGCAGGAAAAAATGCTTCACAACACATGTGTTTGTTTACAAAGGATTTTATTAAATATACCTCTATCGAGCGGAGTGTTATACATGTCGCTGGACCCCAAATTCATCCCCAGGACAAGGGCTCATTGCCGAAACATCACCATACCATGCATATTCGTACGCCTGCCATAACACGAATGAAGGAAAATCGTATTGACACTTTTAACATGCACGCTTCTATCTTAACTCATCCAAAAGAAGAAAAAATGCCCAATTACACTTATTTCTGGTTCTCTCCTGCCTTTTCCAAAACAGCTTCTGTCTTGGTCTGGCTCGACTCCTCTTCGTCAATTTCATCAGAAGTCTCTGCTTCCATGTGAGCGAGATCTACTTCGATCTCCTCACTCTCGGTAAGGTGGCCTGCGGACTCCCCAGATCGCTTTTCTGCAGCGTCACCACCACTCATTTGCCATTCCATTAACTTCGTGAACTCAGAGTTAGGATTGCTAGACAGAGCGGCATATGTGCCTTGTTCAGCGACCCTTCCATTGCTGCCAAGAACTATAATACGATCAGATCTCATGATCGTCGACAGTCGGTGGGCAATGGAGATTGTGGTGTTGTGACCTCTGAGCAACGCTGCCAGGGCCGAATTCACAAGAGTCTCGGACTCGGCATCTAATGCTGATGTAGCTTCATCAAGAATCAGGATATCAGGGTTCTTAAGCAAAGCTCGTGCAATAGCAATTCTCTGCTTCTGTCCTCCGGACAATTGGGCTCCACGGGCCCCAACAGAAGTATCCAACCCTTCCGGGAAGTCACTGATGAATTGGCAGTTTGCCTGCTTGGCTGCTGCAATGATTTCTGCCCGTGATGCATGTGGCTTGCCATAGGCAATGTTTTCTGCTATGGAGCCAGACATAAGGACCGGCTCTTGTCCCACCATTCCAATTCTTCGGCGAAGGGATTTTATGTTTACGGTAGAAATGTCCCGGCCATTAATAGAGATAGTTCCTTTGGTTGGGTTGTAGAATCTTAGCAAAAGAGAGCCAATGGTTGATTTACCACCTCCACTTGGCCCAACAATGGCAACATTCGTCCCAGACGGGATTTCAAAGTCGAGGCCTTCGAAAATATTGACTGCGGGCCGTGTTGGATATGCGAAATGCACATCCGAGAATTTGATTATGCCTCGAGCTGATTTGACCTTGGTTCCGACCGTGACTGGGATTGTTGGCTTACGGTCCTGAAGTTCGAATAAACGACTTGCTGCACCCGCACCTTTCATCAGTTCGGAGTAGAAGCTTGAGACACCAAAAAGACTGGATCCTGCATAAGCAGTGTACATCAAGAACGATGTTAATTCACCAATGCTGATGAGTCCATCCTTAACCATGGACCCTCCGGAATACAGCAGAGCCAGTATGGTCATGTTCCCGAAGAATCCAGAGGTGCTGAAAAACGTGGCACTGATGATAGCTTCTTTTTTACCCAAAGCGAATATTTTCTTGACCTGATGGTTGTATCGGCCAACCTCTTGCGTCTCAGCCGCGAAAGCTTGAGACGTCCGAACATTACCAAGTCTTTCTTCGGCAATCTTTGACAAAGCCCCCAAATTTCGCTGGATCTTTCTACTCAGATTTCGAATCATTCGGCCGTAGAAGAAAGCACCAATGGCCACGGGGGGGAACATCAAGCACAAAATGCTGGTGAGCTTCAAGCTAACCCACGCCATGGCAGCAAACCCGGCTCCTCCACTGACCATGGCTCTGAGCCCATCAGAAAGATTCTGCGTGATACTCTTACCGACAATGACTGTATCGGAACCGAGGCGAGAAATGAGGTCTCCTACACGATTGGCATCAAAGAATTCTGCATTTTGGACATAAGTACGTCTGTAAAGTTGCGATCGGAGTCTGGAGACGATTCGTTCTCCAACAATTCGTAAAATAATAATTCGCCCATAATTTGCTGCAGCTCCCAATGTCAGAATCGCGCCTAGTGCAAGGTAGAACTGCGTGATTTCTAATCCAAACAAAGTGCCACTTTCAGAGGGATCCTTAGTCGCGAGATCCAGGATTTTGCCGATGGAGAATGGTATAGACATGGTGATGGTGCTGGATATGAGAAGAAAGGCGAAAGCAAGGCCCAACCATTTTGCTTCTGGTCTTGCAACTTTAAGCAACCTCACAATCTCCCCAAACCCAGCAGAGTTTCCTTGTTTCTTCTGGCTCGATAGGCGGGCGCTCAGGTTGACCTGGGCCGCCTTGGATGCCTTTTCACTTCTTCCAAATCCCTCTTCTTCGTCTCTTTTATCCTCCTCTTCCTCCTCTTTCCGCGCCTTTTCTTTTTCCCTCAAATCCTGTCTATCCGTGTCTTTTGGGGCTTCCCTTAGTAATGGTCCGCTGCTAAAGGACCGTAATAGTGAAACCGCAGGCTCCCATCGTGGCTGGAATCCCGTCGGTGACCGTCTGGAGAAATGGGCACCAATAGGCTGGGAGCTAATTTTGAATGAAGATGATGAGGTTCTTGAAGAGCTATGAAAGGGCGAATCATGCCGAACTGGAATATGTGGTATGCGTGCCGTAGATAGTCGGGACGCTATCGATGTGGGATTGCTCGAGAGCTGTCGTGAAGCTATTTGGTAAACAGAGGCCCCCCAACTATGGGCTTGAAGGACTGTTGCTGGTCGCATCGCGCCCAATGGATTGGATAGATGAATTGAGCAGCGCCACAGCTATCCCATACTCGAGTATCACCGCAGATTATCAGAGGTGTGGTCACGTAGATCTCTCATCTTCTGAGTGGAAGAAATGTGTGTTTGTGTAAGCAATGTTGTAAGGATAGACTGTGAAGGGTTCAAAGACTGCGATGCGAAAACGGAGCGCACGAGAGTTACTTTTTACGCTGACGGGGTGTCAAGGTAGTGGTGCTGTCATCAGCCACAAAACCCTGCAACCGCATTATGCAAAGACAAATATATTTACTTCAAAAATCAACCATAATAATATAGTTATGTAGTTTCTGTTGAGGCTGACTGCACAAAACTTGGTGCCTTTGCTCTCATTATACCTATACCTAAACCTACACCTATACCTACGAGTACTCATACCTACCCATAGCTAGCAACGAGTTCGTACCAAGCTACCTATACGCACCATTGCTGGGCGCCGCTTTTGTTCAAGTTCCAGAAGCTTCGCGAGCCACCCAGTCGTCATAACCACAACCCTCCACCTCCTCCTCCCAAATCCCTGTCCATCTTGACCCGCTGCCATCACCCGCAGCCGTCGCATTCGATTATTTTTGATACGCGCCACAACTAGTTCCACGGTTCAACTCAACATTTCCACCTCTATTGATATCATTCGAGTACACGCTTTTGCAACCAGTACAACCGCAACCTAGTTTGTCATTTCCATACGCAGAGTAGTCGCCACCGTTCGGCAAAACCGCTACGATGGTCCTGGACTATAGCAAGTGGGGTAGGTAACTACGGAAATGCCCCTCATTCCTTTCCAGATGCTGATTAGCACCGCCATAAACCTCGAAGCTTACTATTTCCTACAGATGCCTTAGAACTATCCGATGATAGCGACATTGAAGTGCAGTAAGTAAACACTTTGCTTCCTCTGAAACCCCATCTTCCTCGAAACTGGCACAATACTGATAGACAAAAGTCCAAATGTCGACAAGAGATCTTTTATCCGAGCCAAACAAAACCAACTTCATAATGCCCGCGCGGTAAGTCCACTGCCGTCAAAACTACCAAATAAATGTGCTGATAGTGGGGCAGGAGAGAAAGCACAAGATTGAGACCTACAAATATGAACGGATAATAAACGATGGTCTCCTCAAGCGCATCAACTCTCTTCTTACTGCCCTGGAGTCGCATACCACCGAAGCCGAGAACAGAAACCCGGACGAGCTAATATTTCAAGCAATCATGGAATCAGTAGGAAATTCCAAGGATGATCTCCCACCACCACGACCGGAAGGCGTGCACACGCAAGAAACAGAGCTTCCCACTTACTCGAAGATGATGGCGGCATTGGTGGACCAAGTAAAAGCCAAAGTGGACGAAGAGAAAGCGGAAAATCGTTTCACGGCATATATCAAGGAAGTAAATGAGCACAAAACGAAGGTGGAGGGACTACAGAAGCAATTGTTGCAAGAGCTGAATAAGCTCGAGAAGGAGGAGGGCAGCAAGATCACAAGTGAAAGTTATAAGACGGGATTTGACAGCTCACATATCGCCAAGCCAGATAGCAAAACTTGGGAGGAAGAGTCAAAAAAGAAGCCCGCCAAAAAGGAGAAGGTCCAGGCCGTCGAGGTGTTAAATCCGAAGGCCCTCGCAAACCAAACGCCAATCTTAGGGGAGTCTTCAGGCGCTGACGCCGATGTCGATGAGCCAGATGCTGATGATGACGATGCTGATATTGAGGCTTCGGCAACGGGCAAGAAATTTGCTGCCATAAAGATGGGCGATTACAAATCTTGTTTACAATTCATTTCTGCAAACCCCCATGTGCTAGCAGAAAAAGAGACTGATGGACTGTTGGTAATGGCATTCAACTCTGCTCTCGCTGGAGCACAAGACGCCGCAAAGCAATGTGTGCACCAAGCACTTCTACTTCAGTACTGCCGAGCTTTAGGAAAGGACGGCGTTGGAATGTTCTTCAAGCGGATCACAACTCATGGCCACCAAGCCCAGAAGGTTTTCTTCGATGATGTCAACAGCACATACATGAGAATTAAGACCAGAGCAAAGGAACTCGAGAAGCAGAGAATCCAGGAAGAAGCCGAGGGTGCTGGTACTGAACAGATCCAACTTCATGCGGTTGATCCAGGAACTACAATCAATATCAGCATACCTCCTGAAAAGAGCGAAGATCCAGCGGAAATTAAGGCCAGAGAATTGTTCTTGGCTTTCCCTCCCGGACTCCAACGAGCTCTGGAGAGTGGAAGTTTGGATGAGGTCAACAAAGTCTTAGGCAAAATGAGTGTAGAGAGTGCTGAAGAGGTTGTGGCACAGCTGAGTGAGGTAATCAGTGGTAACTCTCATGGAATAGAAGATCTGCTAACGTACGTACAGGGTGGTATGCTGTCTCTAGAAGAACAAATTATCGACGCCACAACTGAAGAAGGTCAAAAGGCATTGAAGGAATTTGAGGAACAAGAGAAAGCTGCCCAAAAAGAAGCTGCTACCCTCGCCTCAAAGTATTCTGAGGATCCAGAGTGATTTCTGGTTAACTGATTATGGACCACGATTTACGCAGATCATGACAAATGTTACTCTTGGAAGATAGTATTCTCGTCAAGAATGAGCGTGAAGAAGTATATCTCGGATTTTTTGATGCATCTTCAAGCTCACTCCTACAAGGATACCTGTTCTCGCGAGTACTCAAGACTAATTCAATAAAATCCAGCGACGCGCTTATTAGGCATCATGTAGTAATAAAGAAAATCCATCATGAATTAGTTAGTCAAAAGTATTCGTGATTTCTGCCGTGTATTTTAACGCCGCCCATATCCACCCGAAGAGGCAGGCCTTAGAGAAATACAAACCAACCATTTCGCTCAGATCTTACAAGCCCGCCAGTTTCCCAAATATTCACAGTGACAATTTTAGATGCCAGTAGCACCCGGAGCCTTCTCATCTTTTCTCAAACTAAGCAACAGCTCACGGAACTTCTCCTTTCCAGTTCCACTAGCACCTCCTCTGGCACCCTTTCCGCTCAAATCGACCAACTTGGCAATCCGCTCCCAGCTTGTACCGCCCGCACTCGTATCCTCTCTGCTAGCTAAGAACTCCTCGGCATCGCGCTTGGTCTGCGCCAACATCTTCTCCTTCTTGGTGTTGTAGTTGTTGTAGAAATCATCGATGTTCTCCTGGGCTGCCTTGATGGTCTCGGCCTTGCGCTCTTCTGACTTCTCCTCGCGCGCCTGCAGTTGCAGATCTCGTCGCTCACGCCATTGTTTGATCATTTCGGGCTCCTCTTCGTCTTCGACGCGTGGGTAATAGGAGCTTTGAAAGGGGGCGCTGGTGCCGGTGATGGTTCCGCCTGCTGCTACACCCTGTATAACTTGATCAGCATAAAGTTTGAAGTAGACCTTTCGCGGACTGGGGTAGACGTACCTCGTTTTGTGTGTCGATGGCTGGGAAGGAGCTCTCGAATTCGATCTCCTCGTTCCCACCTCCACCTCCTCCACCCAAAAGATCGTCGTCCCCATCCTCTACGAAAGCAGCATTGGAAAATTGGTTTGCATCATCGCCCAGGAGTGCCTTCTCTCGGCTCAGGAAGTCGTCGCCGCCCGAGCTCTCGAAGCCTGGTGTGTCTTGTGCTGTTGATTGTGCTGCTCCTCATCAGTATTGAGGGTGGTGTATAGGGAGCTGGAAGGAGGATTGAAGAGCGCATAACTTACCGCCAGAGTCAAACTCCTCAAGCGAAGGGAATCGGTCAGCCATGATTGTGTGTTGTGTTGTTGTCGGTTGAAGGTTATGGGATGGAGTTTAAAGTTGCCTAGGTAGTTCACGATTGATATCTGGCCGACAAGCAAGCGTGAGCCGCGCCAAGAACATGTACGTGCTCCTTGATTAGGTATTAGTGGCTCTGCTCCCCAAGAGCAAACATAATCAACAAAAGGATATCACGATTTTGTTTACGACTTTGGATTCAATTTTGAGATTGGAAAAGAACGTGTACGTGTGGTTGACAGATGTAATATATGTTTTATTTGAAATTGCAATTTATAAGATTGCGGATTGCCCGTTGCCTAACAATCATTGAGACAGACAGACAGTCTGAACAGCCCTCCAAATTCCTTGTTACGTCTGCTCTTTATCCAGCTGCACATACTCCATTTCCCGCCTCGTACTGATAGCAATTTGCGAAAGTGTCGCTGCACATGTTATAACAAAAGTTGGGTGCATCCTGGGCGCATCCACTCGCGGAATTTGCAGTATAGCACACAGCGTTAGCTGAAGCTGTGAGGAGGGCGATTGTTGGGATGATGAGGGAGACTGAAGATGATTAGATGGGTCATTGGTGAGAATAGTAGGGAACATATACTTCATCTTGACTTAGGGAAATGATGTTGCTTAGAGGTGTAATTGTTCAGGAAGCTGAAAGGATGGCAGAGGGTGACAGGCAGTAGGATGGACAGAAGAGTAGTTATATAGCTGGTCTGTAGACCCATAGTTACGGAACAACGGATGAACACTCATATTGATTTCATCCAGGCATAACATAGATCAAGAATTTGGTGGGTTTACAGAAGGGTTCTTTTAGTAGAATGCAGGGTAAACACCCACTACTACCTCCTTGATTTTCGTCACAAGCGTATTAATCGTATCTTTCCAAGGGCCTTTCTGTGGAGAACAGGACAGAAAACGCCAGTAAAAGCTACAATATTATGCCTAAGAGGAAGTAAATCTTGGAAGTGAATTTATACCTTTTCAACTTCTTACTTCAAAGTAGCTCACCTCAGCAATGGAAGGGCCTGTCACTAGCCCGTGCCATAGTATATAAATAGTATATACTCCGAGACTCCGTACACCAGACATACTTGAGAATAAGAAGCGATCTCCTTTCCCACTTTCGCTACTTCGCGATTACTTCTTGACACATCTTCGCACAAATCCATTATTCAATCTTGATAACAATTGTCCCTCACAATTGATGTTCTGTTGGAAAGTGCTGCCCAGGCAAGGCAACGAAATGTCACAAGATAGCAACACTATGCACTTCCTTGCTTTGCCGTTTGCTTGCATTGCTAACCAGATTTACATACACCTACGATGTGACACTACTGCCCAATACAGCTTTATACCCGGTGTCGGTGCCAGTACCACAGAAGTTTCTGTGTCCAAGACTTCGACACCTGCTCCTCTGTACTTCTGTATGGCTCTGAGTCTCTCGGAGACATCCTACCCTCGGTAACTCCCATCCTCCCGCCCCTCCACCATCACCACCACCACCACCCACTCGGACTGTCTTGGGGTAAAGAGGAAAGGAACCCCGGGTAAAGTGATAACCCATGCCACTACTGGGCCGTTCTTACATTCTTCCTGCGAGATGGTATAGAATGCACCTTAGCGCTATCTGAAAGGTAGCATTTGCATCAGCTTCCTCTTTTAGCAGACCATAAGATGTAGCCATTTACTGCAGCCCCTGAAGTCTCACTTCTCCGTCCTTCCTTCACGTACACACACTCTTCGAGTACAAGGTACTTGTACAAGTACCGTACCGTTACCTCCTCCCTGCTTCCACGTGTGCTTGCTGCTTCATGACACGCTCTGCTTTCTGTTCTTTGGCAATTGCAAGGATATTATATGGTATGGGTACATGCCTCGACCACGCGACTATTGTATGCAAAACGCTGCCTTGATGAGACCAAGAGAAAATTGGGGAGCTCAATAAAAGCTCGAATAGTTGGGACTACTCGTACTGAACCACACAGTCAATCCAGAGAGATTCTGGAAGGTGGAGCTAAGCAGTGAATTTTATCACGAGCATCGCAACTCAACCACTAGTCTCTAGAGATTCACCCTTTCAACCCTCTGGACCTCTTCACTTACAGAGGGCGTTGTATATCACCAGCCTTTACCCATTACTCCTTTTTTTGCTTTTGCGAGACGCAACCCCAGCATCAACCTAAACTGGCATTTCCTACTGGTTCCAAAATTAGGAACAAACTTATCTACCAAACCAGAAAGAGCAAGCAGGTCAGCTCTTAAATCCGTTGGGAGACAATCTACATCACCGAAGCAAGCCACCTTCATTACAGCTACAATCGCATATAGCTGCAAGATATAGGTTGGCTCAAACACTTGCCAACCGAATCGGTTCAGATTCAACATGGATCCAAAAGGCACACAGCAAGCAGCAAATGCCCCCCCTCAGCAGCCGACTCCCGCGGGAAACTCGGGTATTCTCTCGAGCTCACACCAGGTAGCCGTTGGTGTTAAGTCACAGGATACTCCGGCGCTCAAAGAAGGGTCTAGTTCACCTCTAAGCGCAGAGTCTAACAACTCAAATGCAACGGATACCGCATATCAATTCTATGAAGCTCAACATGGATCCCAAAGTCAAGAGACTTACCCAGAGCCACACGTCGATGAATCAGCTGGACAAGTCAATGAAATGAGCGATCAGCCAGCAAATTCAAATGTCCAGAACAGAGATGATGTAGTACTGCCAGACGACAACTATTCTCCATCTTCATTACATGTTGACTCCGAAATGAGCGATTCTGATTCAGCCATCGGATCTGATATCCAGTCCTCTACCATGTCACTGCGATCAAGCATATATGAAACGATAATGGAAAATGGCAGGAGTTATCACAAATATAAAGCAGGGCAATACTATTTACCCAATGATGACGTGGAACAAGAGCGGCTGAACCTCCAACATCATTTGTGGACCCTCACACTCGATGGACGTCTTCACATCGCACCTACCGATAACCCTCACCGAGTACTTGACATCGGGACCGGAACTGGCTCATGGGCATTGGAATATGCTGAGAGGAATCCTGCGGCTACCGTCATTGGAGCCGGTAACTCCTATTCACATCTCACCTTTCCAAATATCACTGACCAAAAACATTAGATCTAAGTCCAATACAACCGGAATACGTCCCGCCAAATTGTCAATTTGAGATTGACGACGCAGAAGATGAGTGGACTTATTCCGCACCATTCGACTTCATTCACGGTCGCATGCTCTTCACATGTTTCCAGAACCCGGCTCAAGTTTTCAAACGCGCTTACGATGCTCTCTCGCCAGGCGGCTACTTTGAAATTCAAGACATAGTCTTTGACCTCATGTCCATTGACGGCACCGCTGACGGAACTGCTATCCAAGCGTGGAATCGCAAAGTTGTTAGTGGAGCCGCGAAGATCGGTCGTGACTGGACTTGTACTCTCAAATACGCTCAATTCATGAGGGAAGCGGGATTTGAAGGTGTGACGGAACGAAATGCAAAGTGGCCCAGTAATACTTGGCCGAAGGGGAAGACGCAAAAGTTGATGGGGATGTGGAGTATGGCAAATTTTTTGGAGGGGCTCCCGAGTATCAGCATGGCTATTATGACGAGGGCGCATGGGATGTCGAGGGAAGAGGTTGAGGTGGGAATGGTGGAGGTCAGGAATAATATCAAGGATAAGAATATTCATGGCTATGTTCCTGTGTGAGTTTTTTTTCCTTCTTTCTCTTTTTCCTTTCGATTTTCGATTCATTAGTGGATGCTAATTCGTTTTGGGAATAGGGTTGTCGTGTATGGTCGGAAACCGTATGGGGCAGAGACTAGGGGAATGAGTATGTAGGTAGTTTGGCAATGATATCATATATTATGGGGTATCTCTCGATCTTGTGAGTGATTGAATAGATTCTAGGTAATCTTGCTTTCCAGGAATCCCATCTCATTCCGGTTTTGAAAACAAGAGATATTGATTTTGTATAATTAATCTGCTCGAAACCGGGTCCGGCGACTTCCTACCTTTTACACCTGCTCCATATCGTATCCCACACGCACCTCGCTCAGGATACCCAAGCTCTCGGGAATCCACGAGTCGGTGTCACTTTCCTTAGTTTTATCTAGGCCACGTTATATTGTCCGCCAGCTTTGGATTTACTTCTTTTCGAAAATAAATACATCCTGGCTTTTATTGATTCATTTGATTTTTGTCTACCTTATAAACAGTCCTTCCATCCCTCAGTTTCCGATCTCATTCAACCAGGTAGATGGATCATCTTTCTCTGCATGTCTTACCATACTCTAAGCAGAATTCATGAGAAATCGACGCCTGATGAATGGAAAAGTGGCAGTGTGTGACCACGCCTTTACCTCTTTTCTAATCACTTTATGGAAGTAGATCAGATATTTTGGGTGTACTCGAGGTGCTGTCACTACCTTGCCTGGAATAGGCTCGATTAATTGAGTTGGTTACTGAAAGGATTTGGGATAATGAGGAGTTATTGGAGGTTTTGGGTTGGGATTGGAACTTGGAGGTTATTTGCCCCGGCCTTTTTTTCTTCTAATCTCTGAGGTTGTGGATTGCTTCTTGCCGCTTATGAGTTGACATGGAAGATTTGAGGGTTCGGCTCACTGCTTAATCTAGGAGTATTAGTTTCTATGTTTCGAGAAAGGTTATGGGTTCTAGCGGTCCTGGATTCCCCTTCCCCGGTTTTGGGGAGGAGGCCATGGTTTTGTTTGGTCGATAGGATGGGTGGGGTTGTTCTACAATTAAACCTTTGGGAGATGGATTTCATTGTGGAGATATGGATGAGATAGTTTTGAATTGGTGGTGGAGATACAGTCTTCGGTACCTAATCTTTCACCTTGATATAGGAGTGAGTGCCCGGGATTGAAAATCCATGTTGGGTAAAAGAAATGGAAGGGGTGGGAGATGTGGAATGAAAAATGGAAGCGGGTTGTCGTCCTTGTAATACTTACGCATTGATACGAATTTCGGCTTGTGGTGATTCCAATCATGTTTCGAATCTTGTGTTATATCTGTATTTTCAGAATGGAAAAGTGGTGTTAATTGAATTAAGAGAAGGTGCTTTGGTTATGGGTCAGTATGAAACTTCCACATGGCAATCATGTTAGTCTACCGCTTCAAGTAGCCAACATAGCCAATATATCGACGATGGATTCTGGATTATTGGAGCTCATATGATATTGCAACCAATTTCATATATCTAATTTCAGAAATCCAGTTAAGGGATTAGGGAGTTGGGGTTTGGTGTTTTTGTGCAGAGCTTATCACACCCGTAATGTAACTTCGATGAGGAAAAGGTGTAATCATAAGAGGCGAGAGGGGATCATACTCTGGATCTTGCCATTATCGTGCCTTCCCTTCTCGACTTGGACCATTTTCTAGCCATTGTAGCACACGGGACAACAATGTGCAGCCGGAGCGAGCAACCCAGGACTCTAGATTTTGCCATCCTTCTTGACGACCAGAACCTCGACACTCAGCTCGTCATCAAGCAGGGAAATTTGAGAAGAGACAGGGGCAAGAGAGTACCATCAAATAGGGATTTCAATTCAAGATGGTTTCTTATTTCCAACGGGTAGTAAAACATAGTCTTGATATAAGCATCTGGAAGAGAAACGATTCCCAGAATACCCCATCTATTTTCTCACATGGAATTCGCTTCCGTAATAAATTACAGATATTAGTTATTTACTAATGTCACTAAAGTATCTCAAATGGTTCTCGGTGGAATGGTGCGAGGGAACAAGCAACCAATATGTAATGGTAAAGTTGTATTAGGGTCCATTTGGCTCAGATTAGTGGAATCAGGTTTTTAGCTAGCGTACCTTAGGAATCACAAAACTCACAAAAACTCTATTCGCTTATCGATCATAAGTCCGAATAAGGTAGGTTTATATTTGATTTGAATCCCATTTAGATAGAATTATCTATTTTTATTAGACGTGTGATAGTAGTGTTATAGCACAGCTACTAACATTATATATAATTATGCTAACGACACTACTTACGCGAGCGATAGCTATAAGAGCTACCGTTCTTGCTCTCCTATCACTAGTACGACGTCTTTAAAGGACATGTTTCATGATTTCAATATAAAGATATACTTATGTATAGGATAAGTAGTGGTGTTAGCAGTGGGTGGAATAAGCGAATAAGGACAGAAATAAGGGGTTGGGCCGTATTTTAGTTTTGTACTATATACAAGTATTCCAAAAAAGGCCAGATTACTCATTCGGAGTGGTACTTGCCTTACAATCGATTTACGAGCCAAATGGAACCTATAATCGATACGAACTACGATTCGTACCGAGTATAAAACTCTAATTTTTATGGTGGACCACAGATTCTTGTTCCGAATCAGGCTAAGCCAAATATAACTAGAAAGAAAGGGACTCTCTATAAACTGGGTGAGAATGTATATGAGGAACCCTAGTACCTAGGGTCTATGCCCTACATATCCGCTATGGTGGTTAACAAATACTTAACTGCATAATATGTAATATGTAACAACATGCTCCGGCTCTCCAGCTCTCCAGCTCTCTGTAGGTCACGTTCTCTCTAACACTTTCCAACCTCGGAAGGTTCTCTCAAATTAATGAATACTAAACCCCTTCAAAGTTTCTGGGATTTCTTGTCCTTTCCTACTGGTAGTGAATAGCGTATTCGTACAGTATAAGAAACAGGTTAAGCTCAACCCCAGGTTTGACAAGGTTCCATGGGAGGGTCCATCTGCGGATGGATATCAGGTTGTCACGTGAAACGCCCAACGAATAGGTAGATGCAGTTATCCATTGGAGTTTAGGCACTCTCCAATTGACTATTTTCACAGTCGATTGAACTGACGGCATCGCAGCGAATACAACATCACTACATAATTTTATTTTGAAGTAAATCGTGCAGGTGTTTGATTAAGAGTGCCAATGGTTGTTATTTCTCCGAACGATAGGCATCTTTTCTGAAGGTTGACCCTGGAAAAGGTACAGAGTACTAAGTTGGTTATGAGGGGATTATTCTCAAGTATACATTTTTTGAAAAGCTTCATTTTAACTCGAATTCTTTTCATTACTTGGCTCGTCCTGTTATTGTTTCTTTGTTCTTCTAGGATAGCAGTGGATATATGAGATTTTCGAGTTTTTTCCGGTTATGCTAACATACTCCTTTGAACTGTAACTTGAATTTTTCTAGAAGCGGAACATTAATATAGTAATCTTACAGTGCCTACGCCACTTAGCTATTACTAGACGTCTGAACGAAGCGGATTCCTCAATTTGTCAATACGTTTTAGCACGTGGGGATTTTGAATGTCACAGATACTTGATGTAATTCGAGCCAGGTCTGTGTTCCTTATGCTACGGATGAGTGTGAGTGAGCCGTGTACGAACGCGTGCGGGAAGTCTGAATAGCTTCTACTTTTGCATAGAGCCAGACTCAATTGAGCACTATTCGCCACTAACTTCTGGAATAACTTGGTATTTAGGTTTCCTTATATACTGTATATATAATTACGCTCAATCTCCTTTTGTCTCCACAAATTATACAGTCACTGAGATTAGCACGGATTTAGTACGAACCCCAATTCGAACTCGAGTAAAGGGCGTGGACAGTTAAAGCTGGACACTGTCGCTGATCATAGTACGTCTTGGCCCCGCCTTTTAGCTAAACCAGCGAATCAAAGACTCATACCTGGGCGATATAGACTTTTTTCACATATGATCTACGTAACAGTGTCCAGCATTAACTTTCCACCCCCTTTACTACGGAGTTCTATCAAGAAAATCGGCTGCAAAAGCTAACCTCAGTATAATTTCGATGAACGAGTAAAATTTCGAACCGTAACTAAGACACTAGATAGATTGTGCAAACCCTCTCTAATGGGCATAAATATGGAGGAATTTAGAAACCGTTGCCTAAAGTTTCTTTTTTCATTCATGCCTGAACAGAAAAGGATATCGAGGTTTGCCAGCGATGTTCAGAGAAATGAAATATTATTTTGATAGGAAAAGGCTATGGTAACTCAAAAATAGCCCTATAACTCAAAACAAGGGTCTTGGAGCTCTTACACAAATTTCCCACAAGAGACTGCCTACCTCAAGACTTCCGACCTGCAGCCGTAAAAACTAGTCTGGGGTCGTGAAGGTTTATTGTACAGTTGCAAGGATCGTGGCTAGCAGACAAAATATTCTTGTTTCGTAAAGTACCTAAAGCAGATTCTGCCTGATATCATTATTGAGGGATCGCAGTCCCCTCTGCCAATCAGCCAAAAAATCCATCCAAATCTACCTGGTAAATTCTAGCTTTCGTGCTACAGGATCCAGTGATTGAACCGAGACCCTGCGGATCCACATCCCGTCCACCAGGTCCATAAGCACAAACGCCAACGCTGGGACACATCAATGGACAATTCAAATAGCAGACCGAAACCCAGATCTGAGCATGGCAAAAAAGAGCTCATGGATCGAATTTCGATTTTGTACGTACATATGTAATTACGGGGCGCTACCCGAAGTGCATGCAGATCCCCCTCATTTGCGTCACGTGAAAAGGGCAGGTTCATCGGAAAACAACGTTTCCGCATGTAATCGAGCACAGAAATGGGCAGCGAAGTGTCACGGAGTTTCAAATGCCAGAGATGTCGTCCGCGGGAGACTGCGCGTTGCACTGTCCTCCGTACCATCCAGACCTTGAGCGATCGGTAGGTGTTCCCAAAGAGGAAATCTGCCGTCCATTAGTTTTCATGTAGGCGGAGAAGGCTGATAGTGGTGGGGGTGTTAGGGCAAAAGTTGGTTTGGGTTTGGGTTGGGTGACTTTGCCATCTCCCGTTTTTGGTGGGCGAGGGCGAGGGACCATGCCATGCCATGCCATGTCCAATTCGCTTATTCTTTTTCACGATGGGCGCTGCCTCTCCTCACACGCCTCAGATCGGACCAACTAAAGTCAATCACAATCATGGCGTTCGTCAACACTTTCTGGGTGGATCGCCCAGCCAGCTCACCCATTATTATCATATCCCTACATCTGCGCTCCAATCAGGCAAGAAAAGGGCAGTTTGAAAAACAACCTATTTTTATAGTAGAGTGGCGATCCACACTGAAAAATGCCATCCGTGATCTTCCACGTTCGATTGAGAAGTCCCAGCTAGTCGGACATTTCATCTGTTTATTCCTTCCTCCACAATAGGCCTAGAGGAGTGTTTCACGACGAGAGAAAAACGCCCGGGATGCATTTACCACAACGAGAAAGAGCAACAAAAGAATAAAAAAGGCAGTTGAGAACATCTAATCGCTGCGAATATGAGTGATCAGGCCCGTCAAGAGCAGTTTCGCCAGCAAACTGAGAGGCTCGAAGAGGTGTGTGGGTTTCGTGTCCCCCATTTTTCCCAGTATTTTACCTTCCTTTTCCAGTGGCTGGGACATGAAGTCTGGGATATGAAAAATCCGTACTTATCAAATACTCTTCTACTCAGTTTCGTCGACGCAACCAAGAACAACAGAATGAGCAATTTGATTTCTCTGGAGGACATGGCTCTGGCGGCAGTACCATGAGGGCGAATGTGGGTTTGAATCCCGGATACCAGCCTGTAAAGGACGCCCTCATTCCTCAGCATATATATTCCCCAAGTGGCTATGATATACTTTCTATTCTTGTGAGTGTTTCCCTCTTAGCGATTTTGAACCAACCATTACCTACTATTTTCCAATATTTTATTGGATAGGAGCTGTCTGCCGATCCCCACTGCCCTTTTCTTTTT